TTTTTTTTCTTCCTTCTTCCCTTCATCTTTTTTTTCTCCCATCTTCTCTTCATCTTTTTTTCTTCTTTCTTCTCTTCATCTTGATTATCTAAAGCCCCAGATTTCTGTTTTAAATAATAAAGAAATATATATATAAGACAGATTGTACAGAGAGTAAAAAAATTAAATCAAAACGTCGTGGTAAGGCATAACATAAGACGGTATGTAAGAATTATGGACGTCTTAAAATTATTAAACGATGGTAAATAATAAACGTCGTGGTAATTGTCTATTACGTCGTTAAGGACTAAAACCGTCGTCTAAAAACCACAAAGTACGACGTCTAATGGCGTGTAAAACAAGTAAACTAAATACGACGTGGTATTTAAATAAACACGACGGTTTATTTATAAAATCGTCGTGGTATGGTTTTAAAACGACGGGTTTATTCATAATAACGACGTCTAATGTTTTAAAAAAAAACAGAGAATTCAAAGTTCAGATATGTTACCGTTTCTTCCTGCTGTTCCCCATTTTTGGCAGTATCATCCTCTAAATGTAGGGATCTCACTTCAGCCCCAGAACAGCTTGCTTTATCAGACATTGGATTTTTGGGACTTTGCTCTAGACCTTGGTTTTGACAGGGGCTAGTTTTCGGTTTAAGCATGCTTGGATCAAAATTGGGGATGAGGTGGGAAAGCTGACTTAGTAAATGTTCCCTCTCAGCCTCTACCAATTGTTTGGTTCTAGCTTCCATCTTCTTAGTCTCTTCTTGAAGGACAATTCTTACACTTTCCTTCAATTGATCGGCAAACTTTATCCTCTGTGGTCTAGGTAAATTGAAGAATTGCCTAGGGGAAATCCCAGCACCTACCCCTCTTACTCTCCCTGGATGCTCGGGACCCAAAGCCAAGGTCAACACATCATTACTGCCAGTTAAACTCAGACTGCCTTCAGCCACTTGTTTTTGCAATTCATCCTAAAACAAAGACATACAAAAAAGTCAGCACAAGAAAACACACGACGGTTATTTATAAACAAACGACGCATTATATAATTTCACACGACGCACCAATATAGAAATCGACGTTATAATATATTTATAACGACGTTAATTAAAACCGACGTGGTTAGTTGTTTCAAAACGACGCAATAAATAAACCACCGACGTCTTATGCTGTAATTACAGAAAACAGAGTTGTGATTCCAGATTTAGATCTTTCACGACGTTTTTGAAAACATTTCGACGTAGTAATAACATTAACACGACGAAAAAATTAACCACCGACGTCTTATGCTATAATTACAGAAAACAGAGTTGTGATTCCAGATTTAGATCTTTCACGACGTTTTTTAAAATATTTCGACGTAGTAAAATCATTCACACGACGGAAAAATATAACATAAGACGTAATAAGAATTATACACAGTTTAATAAAAATTTAAAACAGAGTGTGTAGGCTTACAATTAATTTTGCTTTCTCTGCCACCTTTGGATCCGGGATGTTACCATGTTTGTCCTGTCTAGCTTTCTTCCATAAGGTAGATCGATCAATTTCTACCCCAGGCATGGTTTCCTCCAATTGATCCTCCAAACCAGCATATCCTTTTCGAGACAATCGATGATTGTACTCAAGTTTCTCCCTAATCTGTGAATGTTGAGAATGCACAGACTCAAATTCTTTGGATAACCTTGAAGCTACATGACAGGACCCGCCCCGAATTTTTTCACAAAACCCGAGATGAATCCTGCGGAGACCCCGGCATCACACCCATGCCAGGTTCACTCCTTAAAAAGATACCTCCTTCTTCAAAAGGAGTAAGGGCATGAGATTTTCTGCCGAAAATTCGGCAGAGTCTCCCCTGTAATTGAACTTTCCCAAAATTTCCACATGCATAAAACATAGTTGTATAACCCAACCAGCAGCACGCACAATATAATTTCATGCAATTCATCTATAAATTATCACCAATATTCCAAGGCCTCAGCCCAATATATCACACACTTTATTCAATAGTACACCTTCACAACCCTCCCTTAGCCAACCGGGAGTATGAACAAAAATTTAAACATACCTCGATTTCAAACGAGTTTCAGGACCAACAACAAGGTCAACATCACCTCACAAAACACATAATTAGAGTTTATCCGCGGCTGCACCTAGTCACTTTAGGCTGCCTACGTACCCTTACTAAGGATCAAGCCACACGTAGTTCTTTCATATCAACGGTCACATCTCCGATAATATACAATTAATTAAAGCAGAACCAACAAATGCATTTCACATTTATCACCGATCATTTCCCCACTAAACACAAAGAACACATTCTCAAACTCTTCCTTTATATCAATCAACCTGCAACCATACCCTATCCAAGGCGTATGTTGCCACCCATTACTCCCCCAATCCGGACTCAGACCATGCATAACAATGTAGGTAATCACAAAGCACAACCTTACGAATAACATATATATAAATCTAGAAACAAATCCACGTATAAACATATATAAATAAGCACACCTACCTCTCACCATCATCATGTACCAGGGAAAACAATCCAATTCAGGGATTGTTTGACTAGTCAACATGGCAGAGCCATTCCTCAATTCACCATGTGGCTAGGGAGCGAGCCATCCAACCGGGGGACTAACTCTCAACCAGCACATACAGCCGACACAGTCAAAGCTTGTACGCCTGAAATACCAGTCCTACGCGCGCAGACTACCCCAAATCCAGGGTCCACAGCAACATCCCCTCAAGGATGTCCTGAGTTCTAATAACTCCAAAAGTATCCAATGTTCGTAACCAAATGCAGATCAGGGAGGTACATATGATGATGTACATCATGTACTAGGGAAAACAATCCAACTGGGGATCGTTTGACTAGTCCACATGGCAGAGCCATTCCTCAATTCACCATGTGGCTAGGGAACGAGCCGTCCAACTGGGGGACTAACTCTCAGCCCAGCACGTACGGACGACACAGTCAAGACCCGTACGCCCTGTAAACAGTCCTACGCGCGCAGACTACCACCCCTCAGGGTCCACGGCAACATCTCATCAAGGATGCCCCGTATTCCAACATATCCAAACCATATCATAATATTCCCGGCATCCCACAATTCCAGGATCCGTAACCAAGAAAGCCCACACGCCCGAAACACGGCACGTGTGTGAATAGTAACCAAGGAAGGTACGTATGATGGTGGAGGTCGTAACCCTTTTTCACAACATTATAAAATGATATTTTCTTCCTTAATTCAATTGTTCCAAACCTCTATACCTTTCGGATCTATCATCATAATTCTAAATCAGATAAAAACACATTGAAACATTAACACTTCCTTTCCAAGGCATCGTATCAAGAAGATATTCGAAGGGCCTGGACAAACTCCGACGGCCTGGTCAAAAATAAATCTCAAACATAAAACCCATAACCGATAGGTATTTAAGATAGTGCGTATAGCCCTTCAAACTGACAATCTATACTCTTTTCATACCTTTATAAATACATACAAAAATATATATAAATTGCTAATATTGTAAGCACCTCAACGACAATTCACAGGGTGGCACTTATAGTGCCCTCAAGCATCTTTATAAAATATAATATATATAAATATAATCCACTATTGCATCAACCTCAACCCCAAGATATAACATCCGATAAACCCCCAATTTATCACCATAATTGATATACTAATCCCACATAATCAATCTCACTCAACAACTCTCAAGACCTGCCACTAGGGTCATTATATCTTCCTAGGAAGGTGACACTACCTAGGAAGTCTCACAGTCAACCTAGGGTCAAACTACCCAGTCTCGGTCAAACGAGCCCTCGGGTCCACGACCTTCAAATTCCGATCCGACAGTTCCTATAGGTCCTACAAGGTCTAGGACACACGTCCTGCAAGTTTGATCCAGATCGAACGGTCAGATCGCTCACGATCGGACGATCGGACGATTACGAAAACCCTAACCCTAGGGTTGGCTTATATCCGGAGTATCCTATACGATCCTAGTAATGCCTAGATCAACATAGTATAATCTCAGGACCATCCAACGGTCCAAACCTAACGAACCCAGAAAAATACGCAATATGCGATATCCGTTCAAGGCTCTAACGGTATCCAAATTTAGATCCGCAAAATCCTACGCGCTCATGACATCAATGGGATCACATTGGGACAAAAATCCCCAAAGCTACCGCGCCCACGCGCCGCCACACGCGTCGGTAGCGCTTGGTGTCCAAAGCGATATCGCATCGCCGGAAAACTTCCAATCGAGAGCCAGACTCCTACCCTAGGTAATACACCTAAATTTGGAGTCACTTTTGTTCTTGGACGTACCCCAAAAACTGACCGGAAGTTGCTGGAATCGCGATCGCAAACCGGCCGAAATCCAATTCGTAAATCGAGTTGCCTACACTACAAATTGATCAATTTCTACCCAACAGGCAGCCAGAGCTCAGAAAATAGGTGGGAATCCATACCTCAATCACCAGAAACGGTGGCCGGAGGAGGGAGATCGAGCCGGCGAAGTTTCAAGCGAAAATCAGCCAAAAACCTGCATTTTTCGGCGACTAGAGCGGCGGCCGATGTCGGGGAAGGGCCGGGTCATGACACCGGGGCTGAGCCGGTCATTTTGGCACTGGTCCCGTCCGCATCCGTGGCCAGTGGCCGGAGTTGCGAGGGAGGAGGGCGACGGCTGTCGCACGGAGGAGAGAGAGAGCACCCCCCCGAGAGAGAGAGAGAGAGTTTTTTCATATTTTATTAAAAATCCATTTTGAAATATTTACGATTATGCCCTGAGGGTATTTTGATCCTATCTCTCCTCGTTACAACTCCGATTCGAGCCCACTACGTGTCTACGGACTCATCTCGCCGTGCTTTATGCAACGGTACTGTTGAAATTTTCAAATTCCATCCCGATCAAAAAGTCAACTCTAAACCCTCACAAAATATTTTAGGGGCAAAATGGTCCTTTTATCTGAATAAATTAATATTCACCAATTATTTAGGACCGGGTCGTTACACTACAAAGGCATCCCCATTCTGCTTTCTCTATGAATTTATATACTTCAGGGGGTTGGCTTAATTTCTCCCTCTCCTTGATGTATGGAAGGATATAATGCCTCGTCAGTGTAGACTTGAAATCCTTCCATTTCTTGGCAGCAGAAGATAACACCGAGGTCTTGCCCCCTTGACCTACCACAAAAGCCATGTCAACGGCTTCCCAAATCTGCTCCTTTATATCCTTGGGGATTTCAGCCCATTTCTTGTCCACAAGTGGGACTCTGGAGCGTGCCAACACACCAATGTAGGACTGCATCTCAGTATGTGCAGGGCCACATCCTTTCCCCCTTTTATTGTACTCAACAACTGGCTTGATTTTCTGCAATTTTCTCTTCACAACACGAGGCATTGTGCTCATACCTCGACCTGACTTTGAATCCTCAGAAATTGTTGTCGTGCTGGTTGGTTCTGTCTCAGCAGATGAAACAAACTTCATCTTCTTCAAGGGCTTGTCTTGAGGAGTTACCATTCCAAGCTCCTTACCTCCATTTTTTTTGGAGCCAGAGTCCTTACTTTGGTCTTGAGAAACCATGGTTACAGAAAAAACAAACCTGCAAGTGAAAATATTTCAGGAAAAAAATTAGAACACAAACGACGGTTATTTATAAAATACGACGTATGATAAGATTTTACACGACGTAATAACATAACATCAGACGTAATAAATGTTTAAAGAAGAAACAATATAAATGTTTAAACAACGACGAAACAATATTAAATAAGACGTAATAAGAACTTATTACGGCGATATTTACACGACGTCGTGATATTCAAATTAACACGACGTAAATATTAATATAACGTCGTGTTATGGATATTCACACGACGTGAATAATAAGCTACCGTCGTATTTATAAGAAACCAAAAACATTTTTCTTTCTCTGTGAATGTTTGATTGCAGGTTTAATTTCTCTGAAACATGGTTTTTGTTTTTCCTAATTTGATAAAATACAAAGAAAAAGAAAGAAAGCTTTGGCATCTTTTTATAGACGACGGTATCTTAGTATAACGTCGTGGTATGAACATTCACACGGCGTCAATAATAAGATACCGTCGTCTATATAAGATACCAAACCCTACTTTCTTTGTCTTTGTATTTTATCAAATTAGGAAAAACGAAAACCATGGTTCAGAGAAATCAAACCTGCAACTAAACAAGCAAATAAAAAATTGACCGTCATTTTAAAAACAACTTAGATCAATTTTAAGACGACGCTAGGACGACTGACGAACCGTCGTGGTCTACATATTTAACCACGTAAATAAGAAGCTACCGTCGTCTTATTTAGTTGAATTAGTTGTGTTCAAAGTTGGAAACTTTCCCTCTCTGTCTGTGTATTTTATCAAACTTGGAAAGAATAAAAATGATTTTCGCCAGAAAAAAGGTAAAAAGATTTTCAAAACAAAAACCGTATGAGCATGCAAAATAGCAACAAAAATAGTGAGAAATGAAAGCTTACCTTTTGCGTGCAATGAAAGCTTTCTCTCGGATTTTGGTGTTTAAGTTCAGAGGCGACGACGAAGACGAGAGGAAGACGATGAGATACTCTGACAGTGCTCTGACAAGGAAAAAAGACGAAAAGTTTTCTCTGGGAGATTGAAATTTTTTCTCGGGTTTGGAAACAGTGCATGTGTAAGTCAGGTAGACGAAAAGTTGTATATGTATACAAACCGTTTCATAGTAATAAGACGGCGGTTTACATAGAACGACGACGTATTAATAGACAAACTACGACGATAATTTGAACTTAGGACGTGGTACATAAATACGACAGTAGTGTTGTAGGTACCGCCGTAGTAAACTCCTAAATAAAAGTCGATAACTCAATATCTCGCGTCATGGTAGAAATATTTAACACGACGGTTTTTTTAAATTTACGACGTTTATTTTTATAATATACGTCGTTTTATTGTAATATACCGACGTGGATAACACTAAACTAAAACGACGTAATATTTTTTTCGCGACGTGGATTCGTTTTTAAACGTCGTTATGTGTAATATAACCGACGTGGATTTTATTTTTTTATTATAAATATAATTTTTTTCCCTTTTTCTTTCAGTTTATTTTTCAAAAACAGTGCCTTATAATATAGTTTTTTTTCCCGAGGAAATTAATGTTCTAGAATTTGTAAAGTTTCTTTTCTGGGTGACTGATTTAAATCAAATAAAAATATAAAAACAACGACTGTTTTTTGTTATACCGTCGTCTTTTCTTGTCGTCTTAAGTAAGAATAAAACGACGTAATGTATTTGTTTACCGACGTGGATTATTTTTGTTAAACGTCGTTATGTGTAATATAACCGACGTGGATTTGGTTTTTTAATTATAAATAGGGTTTTTTTTCACGGGTTCTTTCAGTTTTAGTATTCGATTAGGGTTTCAACTTCTTCTTGCCCCTTTCTCTGTCTCACCTCATCTCTTGGGAGGCAATTGTTTGAATGTTGGTTTGTGTGTATGTTTGTGTATCTGATTCACAAACATACACACATCACCAATTTTCAATAAATTGTCTCTCTGATTGCAAATCTGTGGCTGCCGTCGTGAAGTTTTAGGAGGCAATTGTTTGGATGTGGATGTGTGTGTGCGTTTGTGTAGATACACAAACGCACACACATCATTCACTTCCAAAAAATTGTCTCTCTGATTGCAAATCTGAGGCTGCCGTCGTCAAATTTCAGAAGCAATTTTTTGGATGTTAATGTGTATGTGCGTTTGTGTATCTCAAAGACACAAATACACATACATCATTAACCTCTAAAATATTGTCTTTCTGGTAAGATTATGATGAGCAACAGAGTTCCATCTTGTAAGATTTCCTAACCCTTGTGATCTCAGAATAATCTGATTATGTCGGCGGTTTTCTATATAAACCGTCGTGGTTATTTCAATTCTTGTCATTAAGTAGATCTACCGACGTAGGATAACAAAATCCAAGAAATAAATTGTTAAAAAAAATTCTTATTCAGACGACGGTTTAAATATAATGTATGACGTATAAAGTGGACAAATACGACGTTAAATTGTATAATACGTCGTTAAATGAAAACCCCAACTTGGTAAGATTTAAAGATATCGTCGTAGAAATACGAGAAAGACGTCGTTATATTTACCTTTGCCGTAGTTGTACATTAATTTAATACGGCGGTATTTTGTATTTTACCGCCGTGGATTTATTTGTAATTATACGGCGCCTTATACAAAAACTTGGTCGTGTTAATTTCTGGGTAAAAACGACGGCTTTTTTTGAAATCGTCGTCTTTACTTTCTACGTCGGTCGGTTCATAACTTTCCGCCGTTATTTGTTGGCTATGATTTTACCACTTGAAAATCCTATTTCAATAAGACGTCGGTTTTTAATTAAGTACGTCGTGTTTTAGGAACAGCCATTTGAAACTCATTTTTTAGTTGTCTAATGTGTTATTACACGGCGGTTTTATAAAACCGTCGTCTTTTAAAAAACAACGACGGTTTTCACTTAGACCGTCGTGTTTTCTGGTCGTCTTTTTCACTTTTTGTAGTAGTGAGCAGCAGCAATCACTAGAAGAAGTATCAAGCTTAGCCATCCTCTTGATGATAATGCATAAGGAACTGACAATATCCCAATTCCTGAAACCAAATTAAGAGGAGTAAACGACACAATTGGCAAAGGTTGCACTGAGGAAAGTAAAGTTGAAATGAAAATCTATCAATTTAATCAATATATGTAATATATTGAGTTCTTCACTGAACATGTTATGGGTTTTTTCTTCAAGAACAGACCAATAAATGGCAAAGCTGAATAAAATTGAGCATAAGTGAGATTTTCTCAAAGTGCCTATCCTTAAGGAGCAGCGGAAAAATTACGCCATTATGCTCCATTGAAATGAATACATTTAACTTGTTTGTAGTGATATATTTTAGAAATTTGAGGCAACAAATAGAGACATTCTTGAAATACATAAAAGAATAACTTCTCCTTTGCTAATAAATTTAGGAACACATATGTTCCTATGATTTGCCTTAGGGCACATATGTAACAGATGAAACCATAGAGACATGATGGTGTTAGCAATCTTTTTCACTGGGTGAGAATAGGGGAGTTGCTTCTCAGCTTAAAATCTCAAATGCTGAAACGCTGAATAGGAAGAGAGACACAAGGTTCTTTAAATAGTGCTTAAAACAAGTGAAATCCAATATGCCTCGTACTGTGGCCGGCCATGCCTAGTCAATGGGCCTATTGGGCCTGTTGAAATTAAGTTGTCACCCAACTAAAGTCACAAGCTCAATGGGCCTAAAATCCCGAATTGTATTTTAAGGCCTAACCTAACATCATATGTTTGATTACTTAATTTCTTAATTATATTTGGTTTAATTGATGGGAGTTTCACTAAAACACTCAAAATGGGGGTTGAAATTATAAAAAAACCCAACACCCAAAACACTTTATAAACACACTCAAAACCCATCATTACACACACTCAAAATCCATTGATAAACATACCCAAAAAATATACAATTGTTGATTTTGGGTGTGTTTCTATGTTTAAATAGTGTTTGAGTTTATTTATAAATACATGTTTATGATTGGGTTTATTTATAAATTTTTATTAATGGATTAACTAAACTTAACTAACGTCATTGACTTATTCATCTTCATTAGTTTTTCTAAGACTCAACCTTATCAAAGTGCAAACCATTGTTTATATTTAGTCAGGAAGTGGGCAATTAGAAACTGAATATAATCATGACACATTTATAATCCACCATATGCATAGCGAATAAGATATTTTAATTACAATCTATAGAATTTGAGTTTGGGCTGGTTTGAGAGAGAGAGAGAGAGAGAGAGAGAGAGAGAGAGAGAGATTTTCAACTTGAAAACGTCCAAAAAATGACCAAACACAAGAAGAATTACAATTTTTGTTTCATCACCAAATTCTCAGCAACCAGACAGAAAAATTTAGATAAAAAATATATAAAAATATATATTTTCTTTCCATACCTTTTCTCAGCTACCAAACATATTAATTATACCGCAAATTGCATAATAATTCAATTCAAATTAAACCCTATATAAACCCCAAATTCCAGATTGATTTTAATTCAAATGAAATCGCAAATTGCATCATATGTTTGAAAACTGAATTGGTTAATTAAACCCCAGAACCGAAACCCAATTGGAATCCCTAATTTCAAACCCTTTAACCGAAACCCTAAAGTCGAAGCCCTAAACTATACCGCAAAATTGACGTGCATAATAATTGCATTCCGAATTCAAAAGCATCATTTAACCCTAAATCGAAACCCTAGAATTCCCAATTCGAAGCCCTCATTGAAACCCTCAATTTCAGAAATTAGGGTTGGATAAAAAATTTACCTGATGAGGAGGAGGAGATGGCGATTCAGAGGCCACTGATAAGCTTCAAATCGATGACAGACGTGAGGCTGAGATGATGAGATGAGATACAGAGACAGACTGAGAGAGAGAGAGAGAGATAGAGACTGAGACCAGAGACTAGGGTTGAGTCTCAGATGGTCGACGACGAGCGGGTAATCGAGGCTGAGAGAGGCGAGCCCAGGTCGTAATGGTGAATCAAGCAGACCACAAAATTCTGTGAAAGGGCTCAGCAAAGTTCAACCTTTAAGTTCACTTAATAAGCAGAATGAAGTGGAGGCTGTAAAAGCAGCAAATGATAGTTTACCAGCATCTTTAACTACTCCTGCAGAGAATGTATGCATTGATAATTATAAAAATGGTTCTGCCCATAGTGATGGCGTGAAAGAGGCGACAACGGATAATATTAATGTACCTTCATTACCTTTATCCAATAACAAAGGTGGTCTCTCCAATCAATTTTCAAGTCTGGAATTGCAGAACATAGAGCAGAATGGTTGTGTTGATGATTTATCAGCTTCTAAGGTAAAGGGGGAACTACAGAAGTGTTTGAATGAGCCTGTTACAGTTTCTACGGTCTTGTTGTCTCGTGGTTTAATCAATTCAGGGAATTTGTGCTTTCTCAATGCAACGCTACAGGCTCTTCTATCCTATTCTCCTTTTGTTCAGCTTCTGCAGGAATTGAGAACTTGCAAAGTGCCTAAGGTCTCTATCTGTAGCAGTGGGGCTGGACTAGTGAAAATTGGTGCACATCCTATATTAGATAACTCTGGAAGGAGATGAGATTGTTTAAAGGGAGAGTATAGGGAAACTTAGAGAGAAGCTTTCTCTGTTTTTAACTATTGACCATGTGAAATATAAACTTACGGGAAACTCCAAGGAACTTAAGCTCCGGTGGCATCCTATCAAAGTTTGTGGGATAGGGATGGCCAGTCATTAGCTTAATGTCCTACCACTTAGTTTGGCATCTTGATCTTGGTCTTTCTTTCTTTTTTCCTGCAGAGGAAAGACGAACTTTTTTTAGAGAAGGGTGGGTGACTATCAAAAAGCATTATGTCAAGCCTCCAAGATGGTGGAAAGAATTCATCTTCAAGATGGACGCAGACTTATAGTCATCAATTTGTTGCAACTTCCTCCACCATTGTACTGAAATGCTGGATTTGGAATCAAAATTTTCTTACTCTTCTTTGAGACAACAATTTTTATATTGTATTTCAAGGGATATATATAATGCCATAGTCTGACTAAAGTTGTATTAATTTATGCCGAGCCGTCCGTAGCTTGGGGTGGTTATCATTATCAGTAAAGAATTTGTATTAACTTACACCTTAATGGAATCACATTCTTACACCAATAGCCGAACATGAATAAATCATATTGAAGAAATACATATACGGTTCTTATTGTACCTTATTTATATGATAATGAATAATGATCTAGCATTTTCCTTTACAAAATAAACTTATACAATCAAGCGTTTTCTTTCTCCATTTGGATGAAGGAATTGCAAATTATATGGAATTCTAAAATGACGGAATTTAGATTTCCGTCATTTCAATTTCGGGCAATTGAAGATTTCAGTGTTTGGATTTATATATGTGGAATTTTGTAAATGACAGAAATTGAAAATTTCAATGTTTGGATAACTCATGTAAATTATAAATGACAGAAATTAAATATTTTGAAAGAATAAAAAAACTGATAACCGACATAGAAGGTATTCCTCGAAGTATAAAATAACATATTGTTTGATGAACTAAATAACTCAACTTAAACAAACAAAGCATAATAGCAAACCAAATCACTCCCCACATGCAATAACCATCAGCAACATACTCTCTTTTTTCTCAATTGGGATTGCCTTTAGCATCTGAAATTGTTTGTCATTTTCTATCAGCCAAGCACATGCTTTGAGTTGTTCATTTTCACTAAGACCTGGTACTGCTTGTACTTCAGCATATACCTCTGGTGGATCAAGGTTCTTAGTATCAGCACGGATAAACTCTTCAAATGATAAAGCCATTCTAGCAATCAAATCAGCAATAACATCTTTGACAACACCTCTTTTCTTTGTATGAAGAATACCAGAAGAATTTGATGCACGATTTCTTCTCTTTTGACCATTTGTTGAGGTTGGTGAAATATCATCAATAACATGAATATCTTCTAAATCTTGTGTATCACCATCCAAATCAACATGATCAACTTCATTAGTAGGAGTCATAACCTCAGTTGCATCTGCACCTATTTCAACGCCCTCTCCAGTGGCTCTATCTTTGCCACACAAATCTACTATATCATCCCAATTTTCTATAACTTTAAATAAAAAACCTCTAGCATCGTCATGAGACTAAAAACAAATAATCAAAGTCAAATAAGAATCTTATAAGTACTCTTTAACAATAGAAAGAAAAAATATATATATATATATTTACCTTCACATATTCTTCCCAAACATGATCTTCATCTACACTTATCATCTTTTTGTTGAATCCTAACTGAATCCACTTTGACTTAATATATCACTCACTACTCCATAGAACTTTTTCCATGACTTAACACGATTTCTAATATTATCAGCACTTATCTGGAGATTAAATTGTGCAGCTAATATATTTGCAGCAGTATTGTAAGCAACTGCCTTCCATCCACCATCTCCTTTGTGACCTAAGCTGCGCTCCTCGCGAAGTATATCAGCTAATTCACGTTTCATAACTATATTCCACCGAAAATAATTTTTGTCTTCTTCTTCAGGTTCAACTCCTTGTTTGTCTTTCGTTTTTCTTGACTTTCCTTTGCAAGCCTCTTTTCCTCCAAATCCATTCATGACTTTAGCCCCTGCTTGTTCACTTTTGCATGTTTAAAATACAATCAGTATCTAGTGTGAGTTCTCAAAAATCAAGATGCATCTTGAATCTTGTACGAGTCTCCAAAGTGGGAAACAAATTTATATTCCTTCCCTCTTATACTAATCTAATATAATGCTCTATTCTAGAACCGAAGTTGGTCGCATTTTTATTTGTTTGATCTTAGTTAGTACTTCTCTTTTGATTATTACTTCTCATTTTTATTGTGAGGTTGTTATTGATGTGAACACTTTTGGATCCGCATAAGAAAAGTTAGTGAAAAAATTATTGAAAGTAGACGCATGGTCATGTATTTTTGGGTCTTATTATGCACATGCAATATTGTTTTTAAATACAAGTGATCCTTTTTTTATTTGGTTGGACCCGTTGACATGCGCTTGCAATTTAATTTGTCCTTTTTTTCCCTTCAAAAGGTAAATCTTTAGTTAAAAAGATGCTAACGAACTTTCCTAAAATATCTGAATAGTTGATATTACAAATTATCCAATATAAGAAAATTTTAAATACAAATTTATAAATAAACCCAATCCTAGATATGTATTTATAAAAAAACCCAAGCACTATTTAAACATAGAAACACACCCAAAATCAACCCCAAAGTCAACTTTTTGGGTGTGTTTATAAATGGGTTTTGAGTGTGTGTAATGATGGGTTTTGGGTGTGTTTATATGTTTAAATAGTGCTTGGGTTTTTTTATAATTTCAACCCCCATTTTGGGTGTTTTAGTGAAACTCCCAATTTTAAAATGTAACCATCATGCTGTCACGTAGTGTTACTGAGACCGCAAAGGGTACTGCAACTTTCGGTTCATCAAATTGATTTTGAATTGGCGAAGGGTAGAGATGTTCATAATCCCCTGCGCTTCTGCAAATAGACTTAAATTATTACTTTAGCTTGAGGCGTAATAATCTGAATATCAGATTATGAATATGATCTGAATCCTGAATCCCAGTTGTCCATGACCTCAAGGAGATCAAGGAGGAACTTCCACATTTGTCATTTGTCCAAGGAATGCATGGAAGAATCTATAAGAGATCGGCCACATAAAGCTTTTTTATGTCATCAACTATATCTGTCATGCTTCATTCTTCTTTTACTTTTGTTCGGGCTTCGTCACTTTCATGACAGTTTTTCATTTCAATTTCTGGCTCCTATGTAAAATCCTCAGATAAGAAATATGTAAAATTGTGAAAGACAGAAAACACATATTTGGATAATTATATATGGCTTTGAAATCAACATGTTAGATAAGTTTATGTATTGGCTACTTTAGTGATAACTTCATGTATTACGTTTTATAGAAACTTTGACTTCTCCCCTTCCGACTAATTTTTTCTTACCTGCAGTTCATTACTCTATTTTTCTATAAATAAAACTTAATTTTTATAAGTGAAATTTGATCACTAGGATCCAACTTAGCAAGTTACCTAATGAAGCTTAATGTGTTAGATTTAATATTTTTTAGATCCCTAAAATACCCCCACTTACTTTTTGACATGTTATTTGAGTTTTCTCCATTTATTGTATTAAACATATGTTAAACGTATTCTCTGCAATTCAATTGCCATTCATGTTTGTCATTTCATTAGTGTTTTAATTTCAAATGTGAAATTAAATTGGCATACATTTAGGGCATGTGTATTTACCAAGAAAGAGAATGAGAGGAATGGGTGTCATCCCCTTTCCATACCACTCCTTTGTTTACTTGCATGTTGGAATGAAAAGTTATGCGGGGCTCACTTGTAATCGTGACTTTAATTCTTGATATAGGGGCAACAGCATTCCGGATAGGGGAGGTGGTATTGGGCATAGATGAATTAGAGTGGACATTTTCTACCCAAATTCCCCTCATTATTTTGTGAAAACACCAAAAGACCAACCAAAAAAAAACAAATTGATGCCATTTTCTTTCACTAGAACAATAAATGAAATAGACGACACTAAATAGATGACTAAAGTCATAAACACTGGTCTTATTTTATCATACAACAATTTGACCTTAAAACTGTCGTCTATAGGGTGTAAAATTGTTAATTTAAAATTTCCCTCTTGTAAGGACGACGATTTTTAACCAACCGTCGTTTGTCTTATTTGCATCAAAGGCAAAATCCTGAAATTCATTATAGCTGAGCAGAAGATTCACGGAACTTAAAAATCACGTCACGACCTCCTCAACCAAAAACCAAAGCCTCGGTTGACCGAAAAAGACAGAGACTTGGGCATTTTCGAGAGAAAAAAAAACAAAGGAAAAAGAGGAGGCCTGGAATTTACATATCAACCATTTTAAGTGTATCTTTCAACTATTAACCAAGCAGGGCCTGCAACAATCATTATATTATAGTTGTATTCACCCACAGGCCTCCAAAACTTGATCCTTACTTGGGTAAGTCAAATTAAATAATGACCAAGTTCGGGTAACTTCACAAAAGAAAAATTGTTAATTTCCATGAGGTATCTATTTATCTGGCTTATCAGGCATATCACTTACAACTACCATTCCATGAGGTAGCATCCAGCAGGACATGTGATGACACATCATAGAATAAATAATTTCCACTAAAATATTTCTATAAATATATCATGACTCTTCTTTAACAAATACTATACAAAAATAGTATTCAGAAAATAGACCATAATGCTGTTATGCTCTTTATATATTGATATGTCGTACCTTTATATGTTTTGTACTTCTATATGAATGAACACTCCAGCAATTAAAGAAAAAAAAAAGTGGCACGGGGGAGGGACAGAATACCTCGACGGAGCATTTATCAGAGATTTGATAAACAATAAACATTGTGTGGATCACAACATTAAATCCAATTTTTGAATTAGTAAAGAAGGAATCTTATAAAAAGTAAAACTCGCAAGTTTAATGCCAGTGTCAATTGATCTTACCCCAGGGTTCCCGACTATGGCCCAGTTGGGATTGTTGTCACTTTTAGAAAAAGTTGCTTTTGTTGTGCTTTGAAAATAATTAGCTTTAAAGTAAAGCATCTCTATATTTGGTAAACTACATAACCAAAGCTATTAAATTAGGATAATTAAGTCATAAATCCCATAAGGTAAGGTAAGATAGCAAATCAAATCCATCATGAAGTCAGTATAAACTATGAAGAAGCACTACTACAAAAAATGAAATAGACGACGGGAAACCACCATCGTATAGAAGGTTTTCCAACTGTCATGAAATTGACCGCCATCTTTTGTACAACAAACAACGACGGTTAATACCCGATGTCGTTAAGGAATTCAACGTCCAGATTTATTACAAACCGACGTGTAATAACTATATAATTAGCCTAAAATGAAATCTTGGACAACATTATGCAACGGTTTTATGAAAAATGAGACGTCTAAATAGTGTTACATGTCAAAATCAAAAGAAGAACCGACGTACAGATAATTATCCATGTCCCTAAAAGAAGGAAAAACATCTTGGATAAGCTAGGAACCGTCGTGGTTAATTTGTACTACGTTAAACAAACAAAAAAAAACGACGTCTAAAACATAAACTACGACGTTAACACAAACCAACAGACTTTTAAAGAGTATTACATGTCATTTGCCTCCCAATAACCGCCGTAACATGATATAACCACATCCTGCACCTGGCATCACCGAAGCTTATGTAATTATCCACGTCGAGAACTTTAATAAAAACCAACGTGTTAAGTATATTCCACGTCTGTTTCTTGCGAGACTCGTCATTTAAATTGCACAAAGAAGGCCCTTTGACAAATTTAGACATCACTTTTTATAAATAACCGACGTCTAAAAGATTTAAGATGACATAATATTACTCAATATCGACGTACAAAACTGTACCCCACGTCGGTTTTTGTCAAATGATGACGTTATAAATAGTACTGAAGGCGTGGATAGGAAAGTAACCGACATGGATTATATATTCAACGTCTGTGACATTAAAATAATGGACGTGGTTAATTATATCACTACGTCTAAAGTTCCACCTGCTTGACGTTGTAATTGCTTACCACGTCGGTTTTGATTACATAATGACATGGCTGTCCTTTTAAAAATCGCTTGTTTAACCTGCCTTGACGTATGTATGGTTGGAGACGTCAGTTATGTTTTACTAGCCGACGTGCAGAACATCTGTCACGACAGTTACTGGAACTGAACGACCTTTATTTCGCCCTTGAGACGATGGTTTATTTTAACCAAACCGACTTGATTTCTTTTTCAGTTGTCTGTTTTTTTTTGCTTTACGGTCTTTTGCCTTTTTAAAACCCAACGTTGTTTTTATTTTAGACGTTTGTATTTCTGTTGGCTCTGCGCAAATCTCGCGGCATGATGCTCCGGGCCGAGGGGATGTGCGTCAACACGTGACGTCCTTCTTTTAGATGCAGTGCAGTTGTGCGCGGGCGTGCCAGCACGGTCTATCGTGCGTCGAGATGGTGATGAGGTTCGGGTAGAAGATGGTTAAATGATGTGCCTGTTTTGCGTTCGATTCCTAATCAAATGATTGTGGCCGAGAGAGGAACTGATCTCGGCCGTCAGGTTCACGGCCTGAGCTACAAGGCCGTTTAGTGGTGGTGTTGGTGGCGGGTTTTAGGCGGTGCTCCGGCGCGTTGCTCAGAGAGCGACGGTCGTATGATATATGGGGTGAATGAGATGATAACAGAGATGGTGCTCCGGCGCCATGAAAATCAAGGGTTGTATGATATATTGATGAATGAGTTTTCCTTACAATCTATCACTACTCCTAGGAAAGCAAATAAAGGTATTGAAAGTGCATTACAGGAAAATATAATTTGCTCCGTGGGAGGCTTTTGGTTTGGTGTTTGAACCCTTTGAATGTAGTCCTGAGCTTAATATTTATGGGAGGAGTCCTGGAGGGACAATCGAGGCTGAAAAGACCTACGTGGTGGAGCCTGATCGGGGCAAGTGGGTAGTCAAATCGGCATTTGGGATCTTGATGCATGGTGGTTTGGGATCGTGAAGCATGGTGGTGTGACCCCCATAAATCTCGATAAATCTCGGCCACCGCCCTGATGGTGGGTTCTGCCCCCTTGGCCGTGGGAATGCATTTAATGCCCTGGCATGGTGGTTGGTGATCGACCTTAAGTCGTAAGATTACTTGTGAGAATGTCTGCGCCTAACCACCCTGATTTCCATCACCAAATCCTGACTTCAGTCACTTCCCTCTTTCCCTTGTGCATTAAATGCTTCTTGCTACTAGTGGGTTTGCTGCGAAAGTCAGAGGAATTACTTCATTAAATGTGGCGTGGGACCCTGAGACCACGTGGCGATTTAACCACAGTTTCTTCGGCTATGTCTTTTACGGCCTTCGGCTTCGGCCTTCAATACTGCGGTCGCGAGGCCGAGAGGATTCTGCCTTTGCAGCTTTTCTTTTGTTTTTAGGAATGCGAAACGCTTAACGAAACTGTAGGTGCCAGGACCGAGAGGAAGTCCCTTCAATCAGTCTATGACCGTGATTTATTAGGCGCAAACAGTTTCCAATTTTTTTACCGGACCGTCATACTTTACAACTTTAACCCAATTTTTTTAATTTTTGATTTGTCGTGCCCAAAGCCTGCATAATGAAAATGTGATCAGAATTAAAATGATGTACGTAATTATTAATTAATGTCATACAATTAACTGAATAAGTAATGTCATACATTACAACAATCAATCAATCCATATATCTTCACACCCATCTCTACTGAAAAGTATATGACTATTGTGCTTTGCCTCTAAATCTTTTTGACTTTTGTTATCACTTCTAACTTTGAAATCTAAAATTAAAATTTCCAGGCATGTAGGGGGGAGATATTGCCTCAATGAGTGCACAGAATTTGTTGGTTTATTTTTTGGATATTTTTTTTGAATATATTATGAATATTAGTAAATAAATACAAATTAAAATTTTTAAAGATTTAGGGGAGATAAAATCTTTCAATGAGTGCATGGTAGTTGTTAGTTTATTCTATGGAATTTGTTTTGAAATTATTATGAATATTAGGAATAAAATATAAAAGTCATATAAAATTAAATGAAAAATGTACATAACCGACGTTGCATCCGTTTACAACGACGTTACATAACACATGACTCCGTCCTAGAACACATTAGACGTCGTAATGTACTCCCCGACGTGGTTAGTATGTTACAACGTCAACCATTTCTTAAGAGCCGATGTAAGTAGAATTTACATCGTCAATTATTATGTTGACGATGTTGTTTAGCTATACAACGTCGGATTTTACCCTATAACCGACGTTGTACTCTTTTAACACGTCCTCTCTATTGTACTAACGGACGTAGTATATCTATACAAATTTTTTCGTAGATTTCATATTTAAATAATTTAATTTGAAAAATATTTTTAATTTTATTTAATTGCTAATGAGTGCATGGTAGTTTTTTTTATGGAATTTGTTTTGAAATTATTAAGAATATTAGGAATAAAATATAAAAGTCATACAAAAATTAGTTTGTACAAATCTACATAACCGACGTGGCATCCGTTTACAATGATGTTAAATAATACATGACGTCGTTCTAGAACACATTAGACGTCCCAATGTAATACATGACGTGGTTAGTAAGTTACCACGTCTATCTTTTCTGAATAACCGACGTAGGTAAAATTTACACTGACGATTATATATACAACGTCACATTTTAACTTGTAACGGACGTTGTATATCTATACAAATTTTTTTGTAGATTTCAGTTTTATATATTAACCATTGTGTATATCAACCTTACATGACGTTTTTGAGAAATGCAGCCGATGTTTTCTTTCCCGCTATAATAAGACAGCGGTTGTTCATAGATATGAGACCTGTAAATAAGAATGAGACGTCGATTTTTGGGAATTAATTTAAATTTTTATGATTTGTTTTCATTTTATTTCATTTAAAAAAACATAAATATCTTATACAAAACAAGAAACAAAAATATATATTCAATTTGATTTTTTTTTTTGAATGTTCAATTAATTACCAAAAATATGTTTATATACATTATCAAAAAATTAAAATAAACTTAAACATTTGTAAAATAAATTATATCACTTATTGTTCTGTAATTGCTTGTTCACGAATTCTGCCCATTCTAGCCTGACTTCGTCAATATGTTCTTAAGTATACACAACTGGTTCCTTTTTCTTGTCAAACTGCAAATAAAGAACAAAAACTGACGTGTTATAAATATTAAAACGACGATTTTCAAAGAAAACGTCGTGGTATTAAAATAAAGAAATTATATCTTAAATTTTACCTTCTTCTCAAATGCTAGGCCTGGATCATGAATTATATCTCTCATGAAACGCATCACATAATAGCCACACTCTACATTTGTTGGTTGTCTAGGAGTGCCTTGTAGATTTTTCCATATGGGTGATTTACGTGATGATTGTTTGCCTGTGTGAGAGTTATACATTTTGATTGAACTATTTCAAGAAAACAAAAAATGTTAGTGACAAAACTAAAAATCAGCATAAAAAATATTAATTGTCGTGAAATATAAGTGAAAACGACGGTTTTGCAAAACAAATGACGTCGTATTTTATTTCAAACGTTGGAAAATAAGAACGGTCGTTGTGTATCATTCTAACATCGGTGACGAAAAAAAACAACGTATAACCAAAGTTGTTTTTAAATGAAAGTTGAACAGAAAAAATTAAAACGTTCTAAAATGAAAAACACAAACAACGTGGTATTTCAATGAAGACGACGGTTTCAAGAAAATACTGACGTTGTAAATGATTTCAAACATCGGTTATAATAACCGTCGTATCATTCAAATGCATAAATAAAAATTCTTAGTGTTTCATTAATAAACTTACGTATTCACTATATTTCTCATGTCCTCGTCAATAGAGCGGTTTGGCAACGAATCCATGTAATAGACAGTCTCCTTAGTTGGTCACACAATTATTAACACCCAATGACCCCTACACAAAATGATCCATATATATTAAATATACTACCAAAAAAATATTACAAGGGACCAAGTATAAAAAGGGCTAACCCTGGATTATAAGGCACCAAGTAAAATTGATCCCCATCTGCGTTTTTCAGGCATTTTGAGAGATGTTTTGAATGATGAGATAACGTTCCAGATTGAGAGCTGACTTGTCTAGGGTCCACGAGGCCAACAAGGTTTACCATATATGAAATTCAATTAAATGAGATTTTAATTTAAAAGAAAGGAAATGTAAAAAAAAACAAAATTGGATTTCTAGAATTACCTCATGTATACTGCAATCATTGTGGATCCAATCTCAACCATGGAAGCAAACTGTAAAATGTCTTCACTCAAGAGCCAGGTATCATGATCAGTGCCAAACATTTCCTCTGGCATGTGAATTCTAATGGTTTCGTTAAATGGCTTCAACTTGGTCTCAACATATTGGCATATGGCTAACAGAGGAGCTGGCATGTCAAGCTTTGAGAGATCCTGTAACAAGAAATAAATAAAGAAATAAAAGTTAGTTTGTACATGAAGTAAAATAAACGACTCCAACAAATCAACAAAACCGACGTGGTATATAATATGAATGATGGTTTCTATAACATACTGACGGGGTAAAGGTTATAGACGACGGTAAATACATAACAGTCGTTGTGTAAATGTTATAACGTCGATACACAATAGAAAGGTCGTCTAGGTTAAAATAGAAGATGGGTTGTAAAATAAAACCCGACGTCTATTTAAAATTTAAAATCAGAAAAAATCAAATGTCAGAGATTTTACTGTTTCATCTTGACGGTTTTCAGGAGCATTAGCATCAGTATCAACATAATTCATGGGATTGTCTTCATCCAATTCAAGGGCTCTCACATTAGAGCAACTTGCTTCGTCAGGCATTGGATTTTTTAGGCTTTGCTCTTGAGGAATTGTAGGAATTGGAGTAATTGGTGTAGTAGGAGTTTTACCGAGCAAGTTGGGATCAAAGTTGGGAATTAGTTGACTGAATTGTTTCAACAAAATTTCCCTCTCTGCTTTGACTGCCTCCATAACACTTTCCTTTGCCCTGGCCTCCATCTTTTTGGTTTCCTATCTCACTACTTCCATAACACTTTCCTTCAATTTGTCAGCAAATTTTACTCTCTACTGTCTTGGCAAATTGAAGAATTGAGTTGGGGAAACCCCAGCTCCAACACGTCTGACTCTCCCACCATGTTCAGGGGTTCCTAAAGCCAAGGTCAAAACATCGTTGCTCCCAGAGACAGTCAAAGTGCCCTCAAAGACTTGTTTTTTCAAATCATCCTAAAAGTGAGAGAGAAATGTTAGTGAGTGAACATATAGTAAAATTGATTAAATTAATAAATTAATAAAAATATTAACCGACGTGGTAAAGTAATTAAGACGACGGTTTATTTAAAAAACAGCTACAGAAAATCATTTAATACGTCGGCCCAAAACTACCATTGTGTTATATACGTTAAAACGTCGGTCCTTGAAAAAAACCGTTGTTTATTTGACATCAGAGATAAAAAAAAACTCAACCAAAATATTCATTGATCCAGATATAGTGTACAAACCAATTGCAGAGAAATAGAGAGGGAGATATAGTGTGTGCGTGTGAATATGAAGAAAGTTCAAAATTTAATTTAAAAAACCTAAAACAGAAACACAAAACCGTCGTTGTAATTCAATACAAATGTCAGTTTTATAAAAATACTGACATTATATATTTTTTAAAAGGTGGTAAATAAAAACCATCGTGGGGTTTCATGTCTAACGACGGTTACTAAAAAGATCGATGTCTGAATGAAAAATAAAACCTTTGTTTTACAAGTTTAGAACAGAGTCAGTGAGACTTACGATTAATTTTGCCTTCTCTACAACCTTTGGATCAGGGATGTTTCCCTGTTTATCTTCTCTTGCCTTTTTCCATAGCATAGATCGATCGATTTCTTCACCGGGCATGGTTTCTTCCAATTCATCCTCCAAACCAACGTACCCTTTTCGAGACAACCTATGGTTGTACTCGCATTTCTCCATTCTCTGTGACTGCTCAGAATGCACAGCCTCAAAATCTGGGGATAACCTTGAAGCTACAAAGGTATCCCATTGCGATTTCTCTATGAAGTTATAAAGCTGAGGGGGGCTCTTTTAACTTCTCCTCATTTGCGAATGGAAGGATAAACTGCCTAGTTAAGGTAGACTTAAAATCCTTCCATTGTTTGGCAGCAGACGACAACACCATCTTCTTACCCCCTTCCCCAACAACAGAAGCCATTTGAACAGCTTCCCAAATATGCTCCTTCAGGTCCTTGGGCAATTGAGTCCATTTCTTGTCCACAAGAGGGACTCTAGTGCGTGCCAAACCACCAATGTAACTCCGCATCTCAATAGCAGCCTTGCCATGTGGTCTACCACTTTTATTGTACTCAACCACAAGCTTAATCTTCTAGATTTTTCTCTTCACAATACGGCTCATTGTGTTGATATCGCGAGTCGATTTTGTCACTTCATCAAATGTTGTAGAGCTTGGGTCTTTCTCAGAGGATGAAGTAAATCTCATCTTCTTTGCAGGATTGCTTGGATCATATTTGGATTCACCCATTTGTACCGTTGAAACTACAATGTCCTTGCCTTGACCTTTTGACGCTTGAGCCTCCTTACTTTGAGATTTTGAAACCATGTTTAGAGAGAAATACAAACTACAAGAAAAACGACAGTTAGGTAAAATATAGATGTAAAATAAACGTTCACATGACGATAACCAAACAGAACCGTCGTTCTAACCTATAGAAACATGTATGTGCTAATACGACATGGTCATTAATTTAACACAACAGTAATTAAATAAAACCGTCGTCATATTATAAGTTCATAAATAAAAAAATCGCCCAGTTTTCTCTCTCCCACGTTTGTTTCAAATCAGACGACGGTTTTTATCTTTCAAACGTCGTATTTATTAACACACCACATCGGTTATTATGAACAGCCGTGCTATTGAAATAACACGATTGTAATTATCGTTGTGGTGTGTCAACAAAAACGTCAAATTCGAGAAAAACTCGTCGCCCTCACATGACTTGTAAGTGGGAACAGTGAAAGATTTGGTCTTTTCAAACCTGAGTCGTGGTTCAAACACCAGTGGGACTCATTCTTTAAAAAAAAAACTTTAAATGACATGGAAAGTGAAGAAAGAAAAAAAACAGTGAGAGAAAATACATTTGGCTTGCAAAGAAAGTTTTCTTCGTAATCAAATTTTGGAGACGAAGACGAGAAAGAACGTAAAAGAAAGGGAAATTGAGAATCAGAAACGTAAAAGTTTAGAGAGAACGTAAAAGTTTAGGTCAGGTGACCAAAAAGTTTATATAGTGACCCAAAGATAAATACAACGACGATAGTCATAAAAACCACCCTAGTATGTACTTACCACAACATTAAAATAACATCAACTGACGTGTTAGTAAAAAATCCTTTTGACTTTTTGTATTCCGAAAACGACGTGGTCAGTTGGGGGCTACACGTCAAAAGTTTACTTTTGAAGAAGTATTATAATAAGTTACCGCATCGATGTTTTATAAGGAACCGATGTTGTTTGTCTAATCCTCGTTGCCTTCAGTTTAAAACCCGACGTTGTTTGTCTGTTTAATATGTCTTCTGTGTTTCAAGAACCGACATCTATTCATTTGTTACATGGCCTTAGGTGTAATATAACCGACGTGGATATGAATTTTTTTTTATAAATTGAGTTTTTTTTTACGAGTTCTTTCATTTTCAATTTTCAATTAGGGGTTCCAACTTCTTCTTTCCCTTGGCTTTGTCTCACCTCTTAGGAGGCAATTGTTTGGATGTTGATGTGTGTGTGTGTTTGTGTATCTGAAAGACACAAACACACACACATCATCAACTTACAAAAAATTGTTATTTGAATGCAATTCTGTGGCTGCCGTCATCAAATTTTAGAGGCAAATTTTTGGATGTTGATGTGTATGTGCCTTTGTGTATCTCAAAGACACAAAGATACACACATCATCAACGTCTAAAATATTTTCTTTCTCTCACATTGGTGGTCTGATTATGATGAGGAACAAAGTTCCATCTGGTAAGATTTCTTAACTCTTGGGATCTCAGAAAAATTTGATTCTGTCGGCGGTTTTCTATATAAACCGTCGTGGTTATTCTCAAATCGTGTCATTAAATTGATCTACCGACATAGGATACCAAAATTCAATAAATAAATTGTAAAAAAATTTACAATTAAGACGACGGTTTAGATATAACGTGAGACGTTTAAAGTGAATAAATTAGACGGTAATTTTAACTTCACGACGTATCTCTTGGGATCTCAGAAAAATCTGATTCTGTCGGCGGTTTTCTATATAAATCGTTGTGGTTATTCTCAATTCTTGTCATTAAGTTGGTCTATCGTCATAGGATACCAAAATAAATAGTAAAAAAATAATATTATTAAGATGACGGTTTAGAGGTAAAAGTAGACATATAAAGAGAATAAATACGACGGTAAATTTAACTTCACGATGTGGTAAATTTTATTATATGGCGTTAATTGAATAAACCAACGTGGTTGGAGTTAAAGATACTGTCGTAGTACGCTATAAGAAATAATTCGATAAATTTATCTTTACCGTTGTTGTACATTTATCTAATACGGCGATATTTTGTAATATACCGCCGTGGATTATTTTGAAATTATATGGCACCGGATACGAAAACTTGGTCGTGTTTATTATGGAGTAAAAACGGCGGCTGTTTATTTACACCGTCGTCTTTACTTTCTACGTTGGTGAATTCATACCTTCTGTCGTTGTTTGTGGGCTCAGAGTTTACTCTGAGGAAAACGTTTTTCAATAAGACATCGCTTTTTAATTAGGTGTGTCGTTTTTTAAAAACACCCTTTGGAATCTCCATTTTTTAGTTGTTTAAGTTAATCATACACGTCGGTTTTATAAAACTGTCGTCTTTTCAAACACAACGATAGTTTTCCGTTGAACCGTTGTTTTTTTCTAGTCGTCTTTTTCACTTTTTGTAGTAGTGCAGGAATCCCTTGTGTCTTTTTGGTTTTGGCCACATAAATTAATTGTCCCTCCCTGTTTGTTTCTCTCCAAGTAAAACCCCAAAAATCTTGAGTTAATTTAAACATAAATAGAGTATGGGAATTGGTACAACGTCACCTGATTTTTATCCAGTAAAATAAGAATGGGTAAAGTCAAAGAAAAACATGAGTTTCTCCTAGGAGTTCAAAAAAGACGGTTAACAACATGCTCTAAACATGAAATCAACGTGCTCTAAACCTGGATGCCATCCAGGTGTCCATTAATGAAGTAGTTGAGTGGTGGGTATATTTAATTGGAAAGGTAACATATAACTGAGTAGTTGAGTGGGTATATTTAATTGGAAAGGTAATATAGAACTGACTGCATACAATCCGATTAAGGGATTAGAAAGTCACAATGTAAAAATCACGGATCATAAAACAAGGCTAATACGGCATAGAACTAACGAACAATATATATATATATATATATTCTAACATCAGTTCATTACAGTATTCAACAGTACAATGTAAAGGATATTTCTCGTTGTGTGCTAGTAGAACTATGAATACAGCTTTGCTGATAAAAATTAAAGAGGAAATTTTCGTACTGTGAAATATGCATGAATTTTGGGAATCACAATCTTGAATTGCTCAAGAGACAGACCCTATCACATAATTAAAGTGAAAATTGTGTAAAGCACATTGTCAAAAGAATCTTGCCATAAACTAGAATAAAGTCTAAATTTATTTCATTAGGGAATAATCATAATAGGTTTTTGCTTTTGGCAAGAATCATTAAAGGCCAACGCAAAAATTTGTACAAAAAACAGACCATTTAGAAGCTTTTGGCATACAAGAAAAGAATCAATCTTCTCTTTTATATATATATATATATATATATATATTTTATTTTTTATGTGTAAGAATAAATAATAAATGGCACAACAATGTCATATCTAACTAAGCATTTAAACAAGAAGCATAATCAGACAAGTAAATGTATTCCAGAAATAAAAGTTCCCAAAACAGTGACCGCGTTTTGAAAATTCTAGAAGAACATATAAAAAAAAATTTAACACTGGAATGACCAACTTTTAAGCCCAACTAAAAAATCCCAAACCTTAAGGGTGTGTTTGGTAGGCCTCACTGGATTGGACTAGCTTAAATAGTACTTGAAACCCATAATTGTTAAGAGAGGGGACTAACTTAAATGAGATTATACAGTCCAACAGTGAAAAATGCCCCTCACTCGCTCCTCTAATTTAGCGAGCTTGAAAAGCAGCTCGCAATATAACACCCACGCTATATTGAACTCGCGAGTCCGAACCAAACCATCGCAGAACTAAACCTTCGCATTGTCATCGCCCAACCTCACTGTCACCACCACCAACCGTATCGACACCAACAACAATACCCAATTGAATACCCAATCAGTTGACCCAGAGAGCCCTTTCTATCTGCTCCGATTCCTCATGGGGTTACCCAATTTCTGCAACCAAACAAACCCAAATCACTAGCTTGTCAAGATCGAAGAGGTTGTGCTACGTGCCTGGGAGAACACCTTTGCTGAAGCCTCTGTTTGAAGCTTTCCCGATTGAATTTTTTTTTGTAAAAAAAAGTGTCAAAAGGGGAGAAGGAGAACTGGGGAAAAAGGGGATGTGGGGTTGCGATGGGAGAGAGAGAGAGAGAGAGAGAGAGAGAGAGAGAGAGAGAGATAGAAAATTGGGGTTGGTTTGCAAAGGCACCGAAGGTGAAGAAGCAAGAATGAATCTATTAATCCCAGGGAGCAAGAGAAGATGGCTTCAATGGGGGAGGGGGATCGCAGCAGGTATCACTGCATTGATGATTTGATCCATAGGAGGCAAAACCTCTGTTTTTTCTCCCCGTCCTATTTCCAATGCAATGAACCTAATTATCTTAAACAAAAACAAAAAACAAAAAGATAAAAAAAAGATAAAAAGAATGGGGAGGTTGAGTTGGGTAAGGATCTTATGGGTTTTTTTGTTTAAAAAAATTCAGAATTTTTGTTGTTTTTTTAAGGGAGTTTCACTAAAAACACCCAAAATGGGAGTTGAAATTATAAAAAAACCCAAGCACTATTTAAACATATAAACACACCCAAAACCCATCATTACACACACTCAAAACTCATTTATAAACACACCCAAAAAGTTGACTTTGGAGTTGATTTTGGGTGTGTTTCTATGTTTAAATAGTGTTTAAGTTTTTTTATAAATACATGTCTAGGATTGGGTTTATTTATAAATTTGTATTTTTTTAATTATTGTTTTAAATTTAAATATTACAATAACTATTTTTTAGTCCGACCACACAACACCAAACATAGGTTTTCATTATTTTTACAATCCAACTTCTTAGTCTGACGCAGAACCAAATGTAGGTCAGTACTTAATCCAGCTTAGGCCAATCCAAGCCAATCCAAGATAGTCACAGGATTTAATCCAGTCCATAATAGTCCGTCGTACCATACGACCCCTAAGTGTAATTTCATTTGTAGACAAGAACTCACCCTTTCCTTAGGATGGCTACCAATTAGAAGAAGATTACCATCGATATTTAAACAGAGAGAGAGAGAGAGAGAGAGAGAGAGGGCAACATTAAATAGAACTGCACAAACAAGTTTCCACGTGTATAAGAATCAAAACAGATGAAACATTACATAGAAACGCACAAACAAGTTTCCACATGTACACCAAGCGAGTACCCTTTAATGAATACCTAGGAAAGATTACCACCTATATTAATGCTTGTCACAACCAGAGATAGATCAAATTTACGCATTATAATATGAAACTGAGAGAGGTATAGGGACAGAGACAGATCTAACATTAACTAGAAGTGCACAATCAAGTAATTTTATATTCCCCCAAATTCGGCTTCAATTTGATTGAAAAAATAATATGATGCACAACAAGTGAATATCAGGATCAGTACAGTGCATATTCAGTAAGTAACTATAAAAGATTTACCGTATAAAATGCAGAGGGTAAGGATAAAGGATAATTTAAAACAACGAAGATTCAACAAAGAAAAGGAGAGAATAGAGAAGCAAAGCTGATATTCACTAGGAAAGTTTGTATGGACCCCTATATTAACTAAGGTACATGAATTAGTTTGGAAATACCAAAACTCTTATCTCATTAACAGATTTAATTATTTGCTTTGAAATACCAAATGTGCGCATGCATGCTTTGTGATTCTGAATATTTTCTACATCAATATTAACCAGAAATAGAAAGCCTCTTGAATTGGCAGCACTGGACTTTCTTTATCTCTATCTCTGAACAAATAAAAAGAATTCACCTAACCAACTTGCAACTCAATAAGATACCAAATAACAGTAACTCACTATTGATAGTTTTTCAGGATACAAAGATTAGGGAGAGAAACAAAACAAGACCATAACAAAATATGTATTTGTTTTCACTAAATAAGTTTCGCACACACACAAAATGTGTATTTGTTTTCACTAACTTACCTTGAAGTACCAGTCAAATAAGCAAACAATTTATCATTCCATTATCACACAAATTGCCATAAAAAATCACATGCGAGATATCAAATTCAATATTAGAATTCATTCATGCAGAAAGGATACATTCAATATTTTAACTTTTAGAGGAAATTTAAGATTCAAGTTTGGCATGTTATTTTTTCCCTTGAGTTTTCTCAGTGACCAAACACAAACAAAACCGTCAATATCTAGATCGTATGAGATTGAATACTCAGAACTCAACCAGTCTCGGAGGGCAGAATCAAGGAAAGGATTGGACGAGCCATTTCTGAATTTCTCAAGCTTCGCGAGCTTGCCTACCTTTTTCCTCACCATCCAATAAAAAGAAAAGACAAAAAAGAAGAAGGTCAAAATCAATTCAAGAATCCATAACATCAGAAATAACCAGCAGCAATAGTATGATCTTCCTCAATATTAAGTATTTCCAGAGCTATGATGGAAATACTTAATATTGAGCGGACAAAACTATATATATTGTGTTTAGTTAGAGTTTCCCACCCATCAAAGAAAATCCTAACTATCCTAAAACAAGTGGTAAATAGTTCAAGCCTATTTACACCATAAAAAGGGGTAACTACTTTTCACCTTTACCGTTACTCTGCCAAAATTACCACGTATACTCGCTGACTTAAGCATTGTAGAGCCTTCGGTAGGTACCACACTAGTGCCCGAAGCTTGACGATCGCTTCTTCCTTATTTCCTTCTACAGGATCCCTCCATACCGAAGGTCCACAACCTTTTCCCCCTGCTGAAGATCCAACACTCCTTTATCAAAGTTGACCCTCCCAAAAAGAGCATTAACAATTTGTCGCCTTCCGTGGGAATCGACTTCTGAATCCCACCTCTCTACCAGTTATGCTGGCTCCATCTCCCATCTAACCCCGTCGTCTCTTCTACCCCTCACACTCCGCTATGCCAAGTGAGGCTAGCCTTGATACATCATACCCCTTATTACGGGTCCTCCCAAAGGAAGCCTTCTGCCGATGTGCACCTCCAGGCTGAAGTGGAGAGCCTTCGTGGCGATGTTGTGAAGATGACGGAGAGCTACGACCACCTTCGTACCAAGAATGCTAAACTAGAGCATGACTGTCGAATCTTGAAGCGTAATTGAGAGAACGCTAACCACTAATTCACCTAGCAAGACTTCACTTGGGGTGTTGAGCGAACCCAACCAAACCAACCAATTGTCTCCCGTCATAGTGCCCCGACACAGCCTAGACCTGACAAAGGCAAAGGCCACCTTCATCCTGAGGCGACCAAGTCGCGACTTCTCTAAATCTCCCCACCAAGGGATCGACCTCATTCCCCAACCAAGGTTTACATGGACTGTAGGGATCGCATCTCGGAGCTTCAGTCGAAGCCCACCCCGATTCCTGTAGACTTTGATGATTCACAGGTGGCTCACCTTAGCTCCTTACCGAAGCCCACTCGCTTACCTACCTAGGAAGGGGTTGGGAACTCGGAGGATTGGGAACTTTACCACCCTGAGGACTGGGAGCCTTACCATTCCGAAGCATTCGAAGAGTGGGAAACTTATCCACCTTCACCTAACCACAACAACAAGTATTTGCCACCCGATGCTCTCCCTCATGCCAACCCTACCATGCGACTCCTCTTCAAGAAGGTTCGATATCTTGAGAATGAGCAACATTGCAGCCGTTAACCCCTCTGGACAAAGCCATGCCCTGGCCCCTTCACTAAACATATCCTTAACTATCGTTAGGAGAAGGACGTTCAGCCGCTCCTCATTGCCTTCTACATAGGAAAAGAGGATCCCTTAACCCACATCCATTATTTTTCAATATGCCCTAGGGTGCACGGGTCTCAGTGAGGAAGGCAGCCTCCTTTTTGCCTCCACCTTTAGTGGTGTCGCTTTGAACTAATTCTGTCAGTTGAACTATCAACTCATTTGACAGCCTGAAGCAGACTTTCCTAGACCATTTCATGATTCAGATTGATCATTTGTATTCTACGGACGACTTATACATGATTCGACAAGATGAAGACGAGCCCCTGCGGGAGTACGCCGCCTTCTTCAGTCACGAGTATTCCCACTACCTAAAGACAGACGATCGAGCTGCCTTTGGCGCCTTCAAGAGTGGTCTTTGCAAATCCAACTTTTGCTACCTGGTCTACAACAACCCATGAAACATAGCAAGCAATCATCCATGCCAAGGCCAAATACTTTAACTCCAAGTGTGGCCCTGCTAACCAGTTACAGACCACCTTTTGATGATCCCCCGCAGGCTTCGGCACCCACTCCTATTAAACCAAAGCATTACGCTCCTGCTCTTGACGCTCAGAGTGCCCAGAACCCCAAGAGGAAGGATGGCTACCAGCACTCCTTCAACAATGGGAAGCGCGGTAGACACTCTAACCATCATCAATCCTGCAGCAACAACCCCCCAAAGACAAATAATCGTGCCTCACTCCCCTTCGAGCCTAAACCCAGGTTTGAGGTGTTCACCACACTGAACACCACTTATGAAAATGTTTTGGTCAATAAGGCACCTATTATACCAATACCCATTCCCCGGAGACCTACCAACAAGCCTATGCCGAACACCAGTGTCTTATGCCGTTTTCACCAATGTTTTGAAAGGCGAGGCTCTAGGGTGAGGCGTTTTATGCCATATGAGGCGAGGCGTAAGCCTTTCGGGTATTAGTTATTATAATTACAAAAATATAAAACAGCTATTGAATGTATTGAATGCCACTCTAGAATATAAATTAACCATCAAACTTTCAAAATTTCTCTTACTATTGCTCAATTCTTTAGCATATATCATTTCGGTTATATTATCTCTCTAAGTCTAGTGCCTTTCTACCTAGTTCAAATAGATAAAAGAGTAGATTATGGAGGTGGACTGAACTGATGGTGAAAGGTGGGAGGCAGTTTCTGTTGGTCTGTTTAGGAACTTTGGCTTTTGGGAGAGGGAAGGAATAAATGGGTAAACTAGTTTCTTTTGAACAAAACGGTGCGTGTCTAATGTTCGAACTTAAAACTGAAACGCACAGCTTAACTAAAGGGAAACAAAACAACACAGCCCGTGCAAACGAAGTTGTTCGGAATCAGATTTTTCAAATAAAGGAACTCTGTCTTCCTTCCGAGGCTTGCGCCTTTCACAGCGCATTTGTGTTTAGCAGCCGCCTCGGACCGCCTTGACTTTAAGGCGTACGCCTTTCATGAAATTCGCTAAACTGAGCTGTGCCTGAGGCAAATCACCGCAGCCTTGCTCCTAAACGTGCCTCAACGCGTCCCTAGGCATACCTTTGAAAACACTGGTTTTCACCAATTCAATGGCCACAATACAGAATCTTGCATCGCTCTGCGAAATATCATTAAAGGACTCATTTGTGAAGGAAAATTAGACAAGTATGTCCCCAACCTTCCACCTACCTTAAACCCTTACCAGCATTAGATCAACATGACCTCCACAATCAGCAGCAGCCCTACTCTAGTTGGCACATCCAACAACTTCATAAAGCATTATGCCCGGTCTTCCTACACGCATCAAGTCTTTAGTACCAAGTGTGGGTGCATGCCGAAAATGTCCAAAACAAGTTGGGTCCCTATTTCTAAAGGACTCAAGCGACACCGTTGACATCATACCTTCCATTCGGCACCCTCCGTGTCGAAGCTACGAAGAGATGCACATGACTCTCGCTGATGTCATACATTCCCTTGAGAACCCTCCCTTTCGAAGCTTGGAAGGAGACCAATGCGACTCGCGATGACATCATACTTTCCCTTCAGAACCCTCCATTCCGAAGCTTGGAAGGAGACTCACACGACTCGCGATGACGTCATACCTTCCCTTCGGCACCCGCCATGCCAAAGCTACGAAGGGACTTACGCGACATCATTGACATCATACCTTCCCTTCGGTACCTTCTATGCCGAAGCTACGAAGAGATGCACACGACTCTCGCTAATGTCATACCTTCCCTTCAGCTCCCTATGTACCGGTTTCGAAGACATGTCCTTTCAAGAACAACTTTCCCGATAAATGTGCCTTCTAGCTTCCGAACTTGGGGGACCAAGGGACTGCTTAGGGCACCCGCCTTGCCGAAACGCTCGATTTAATTACTTAACATTTTACAAGTTCCCAACCCAGAAGCCACTCACTGATTGGAAACTTGGGGGACTACTGTTTACACCATAATCAACCGAGCACATTCGACAATAGACGACTGATACCTAAGCAGGCACTCATTTTGCCAAGGAAACTCTGAAAGATACTCGAACAAGCCCTTATAATACAAGTGACATCACCACCTTTTTAACCTATCGAAGGAAGACCTCATTCCGAAGCGATAACCGCCTGTCGATGCTCTCAACTACAGAACCTAGTTTCCATGGACACGTGTCACCTCCATAATAGTTTGCATAAAGCCCCACATCGAAACTTTGTGCAAAACTCTCAGTTCCACTTCCCTATAAATAGGGAATAGTGCCCAAGTATAAAGGGGTAACTAATTTTTACCTTTACTGTTACTCTGCCAAAATTACCACGTATACTTGCTGACTTAAGCATCGGAGAGCCTTCGGCAGGTGCCACACTGGTGCCCGAAGCTTGATGATCGCTTCTTCTTTGTTTCCTTCTACAAAATCCCTCAATACTGAAGGTCCACAACCTTCACCCCCCGGTTGAAGATCCAACACTCCTTTATCAAAGTTGACCCTCCCAAAAAGAGCATCAACAAAGCCCAACAACTTAAGCAACCCACCACATATATAATAGAAGATAGGGTCCACCTATATTATATAGTCGGAGATTTTCTAATAAGTATTTAAGTTAAGGATTGGTTACATACTTTTCATCTCAGCCAAATATCATCGTTACCATTAACATATCATGGGTTTACCTATTTATAGCACATAGCTTACCAAATGCTAATGATCGGGCCCGAAAGCTCTTACAACTTGTCATCTCAATCTTTCATAATTCGAAATATGTGTACTAATGCTAACTCCTTCAAGAATTCTGCTAAAAAAAAATTTTATGTATCATGCACATGCGTCATTTTCTATGGTTGTTTCAGTTGGAACTTCAATTGAGGAATATCTCAAATAACTTGTTTGAGGGACACCCTTGTAGGATTCACTTTGTCTTATGTTTCAACAATTCAAAATGTCTATTATTGATCTTTAATTCTAATAAATATTTCCGTAATAAAAATTTGGTATTACCAACCATCACTTAATTTTTATTTCTAATTATTTTCAATGATTTACTGATATCCAAATAATGAAATTTTAAATGATGAAGTTGTAAATTTTATCTTTTAATAATTTCTATATATGATATTTGAATTAATTCATTAAAACACCCAGCGAAAGGTGCAATTGGATAACCAATGGAAAAATTAGTAAAATGTTTAATAGTAAATATTGGATTGTTAAACTTGAACAAGAAGATTTTTTTCCGCCCCATTACAATTGGGTAGATTGAGTTGTGATTTTAGTGATTTTAAATGTGTACAACCAACTAGCTATTGGTTTGGTGTACTTCTCTTTTCAATGTTAGAAGAGGTCCCAAGTTTGAATTCCCCCTCCCTTATTGACAAAGGGTAAATTATTGAGTTATTGACCGAAATGGTTCCCCAACTATTGCTCAAGTTTTATTTTGGTTCACAAACTAAAATTTTCATTTCAATAGTCCTCCAATTCTCCATTTAGTATCAAAATGGTACGGTCCTACCGTCAAAGTTTGTCAATTGTTTTTGAAATTGAGGGGCCAAAGCGTCTCTCTCTCTCTCTCTCTATTCTCTCTGTGCTCTATTCCTTCCTCGACCCACCTCCCATGGCTGCAAATCCTGATTTTGAAGAGAAGAAGGCTGACCATCTTTATCTTGCCACATGTCCATTTAAGAAGCTATCAAATTTCTTCTCAAATGAGACAATAATGAATGTAGGTGAGAAAGCAACAAGGATCGACATAATTGATTTTGGTATCCATTATGATTTTCAATGGCCTTGCCTCATACAAAATATCTCTTCTAGGCCTGATTACCATAAAGCTTCGGATTACTGGGATATCTATGATTGATCTCCACAACTAACTCCAAGAAGATGCAGCAAGAGGGGACAGAGAGTTGGTTGCATAGACCGCACCCCATAGCCAAATCCCATTCCCACCATCAAACTGAAGGAGACTCGGAAGAAGGACAAAAAGGCTTTATTCTTTCTCTTTCATGCTGTGGATGAAGCTATTTTTGAAAGAATCTCATCATGCACTACAGCAGATCAGTGATGATATGCTCAAGGAAATTGAACTTTATTCTTTCAAGCCGTGGATGAAGCTATCTTTCAAGCTGTGGATGAAGCTATCTTTCAAGCTTTATTCTTTCAAGGAAAACGAACTTTATTCTTTCAAGCTATGGATGAAGCTATATCTTTCAAGCTTTATTCTTTCAAGCTGTAGATGAAGCTATCTTTGAAGCTTTATTCTTGTATTAAGGATACGTTTCATGCTCAAGGAAATCGAACTTAATCTGAATTAATTAATATTCTGTTGAAATTAATGAATTTAAAAGCTTCACACAAGAAATTGAAATATATGAATTAATTAATATTCTCTTCTTCTTTTTTCTTTGATTTATTTGTTTGTAGAGGGTCGAAATTAAAAGAATCTTCCGCAATTGTCAAACCTACGTAAAACTGATAGATTATTTTGCTTACGAGAAATGGTTTCTCAGTAAAATAATGAAGATGTGTCTGTGTGAAAGGAACAATTGAAACTACGTACCACTCTCCTAAACCTATCATACGTCTGTAATTAAAGTATGTAAACACCTCAACAACTATGTTGTTGAATCCTAATTAATGACATAATTATAATTGGTAAATGGCTATGGCCCATAAGTACAAGTAGTAGAAATTACATAATCAAGTTCACATTACAACAAAGAAGAAAATACGTACTAAGTTTATCTTTGTTTTATTTGAAGATGTGAAGCACGCCTTTTTTTATTTTATTTTTTTATTTTTTATGTGGAGTGTTGTTAAACGAATCCTAAAATTAACTGAGTACACTCTATGATATAAGTACACCGTAATATTTAAATCAAAATGTAAAATTAACTAGGTACACCCTACACCATAATACTAATTAGTACACCCCATTTTACATGAATTGGTCGTCTTCATCAAATATGTTCCTGTCAACTCCTTTTCCCTTCATCAAATCTAAACCGTCAGGGATACACCCACTCATTGAACCAAATTCATGAGTACTAACCAGAAGGTCTAAAGATGATGATCTGTCTTGAGGGTTCTTCTGTATGCTGCAAATGTAATGGGAAATATAAACAGTCACATGCCAGTGAATTAGATATGTATAAGGTGAAGTATGCATGTAAATATCTTATTAACGGGCAGACGAACAAAACTCGTGGAGAACTCATCTGATGGTGCAGAAGGTGGTGGACTTTCCACAATTCCCTCCAAAAGTTCATAAAAGCTTGGCCAGCTTTGCTGATCAAAATGAAATAATATTTAAGTTGCTTTCACGCTGTTTGATGAATAACCATGGATTTTTGGCAAGGGATTATGTTCGGCAGCTTAAATCTTTTCTCCTCTCAAAGCTTCTTCTACATTGATGTCAGGAATTATGGAAGTGATCATAGAAAAAAAATTTATGCCCGACAAAAGCTTTGAATTTTTATCTCAAATATGTTTGGAATCAAACTCGAAAATTCTAATTTGATTAGGGTTCAATATATTGAGTAGGGTGTACTTATTAAAATTACTTTTGTTTCACAATTCAATATATCTTTTTTGATCATTTTATATTAGGGTAAAATAGTAATTCAATAAATAGTTTGGTGGTATGGTGTATTAAGTTAATTGTTCGTTTAACAGCACGATTTTTGTGGATTTAATTTTCTCTGTTATGGCGGGCCAGTACAGCAAGAAAAATAAGTGAAAGCTGCATGCATGGTTTGGGTTTGCTTATTATAAGTAGCACAGCAGGTTGTAGCTAGGAAAAGCAATAAGCAACGAGAGAGAGAGAAACAGAGATCATCAGAAATGGCAGACTTACCAAAGTTTTTTGCCCTTAAGTCAGTCAGGAACCAGAAATACGTGGTCCTCAAAGACCAATCCACTGCAGAGCTGCCAAATAGGCTCGAAGTCTCCGGAGAGGAAAGTCACAGCAAATACGCAAGGTTCAAAGTGGAGAAGGACGTAAACCAACCCAGTCTGGTGCATATAAAATCCACGTACAACGACAAATACTTGAGAACAGCAGGCCAAGACAGTACTTGGATTGTGGCTGATGCTGATGAGAAGCAGCCAAATAAAAACCAGTGGTCATGTACACTCTTCAAGCCTGTGGTTTTGCAAAAACCGGCACCATACGTCGACGGCGTATACCAGTTCGTCCACGTGCAATTGGGAAACCTTACAGAGCCAAAATCTGGAACCAACTTCGATGATGCCCTTGCTGCCGATAGTGAAAAACCCATCAATACCCCTGCCTTCATTGTCGAAAAACTTCCAGGATGATCATCCTGTTAACTTAATTTGATGTTTGTGGGTAGCATCACTGGAAACCCTCACGAGACTTCACTCGTCCTATCAGGGTCACCTATAGGTTTAAAAGGCTTGTTGCATATGCTAAATGCAATTGCGTTCCCTGCGAAAGTGGCATTTTCTTAAGTTTTCCTTATGTTGTGATTTGGGTTTCAATAATATTGCATCCAGCTGCTGCTCATGCATTAATTTATGTAACCTAGCTAAGACTATCTGTGGGAATAAAAGTTGTGCTTCTTTCGTTTTACTATTCCGATCTAGATTACTTGATGCATTCATGCATTACTTCCATGATCCAAGATTACTTAGGTCCTTGATTATTACAAGACTAGTGAGAATAATTGACATTGAGAATTATCAAGCCAGATAAACAATAATAGTTCAATCCATGCATTTCAAGGTACGCACATTAGAAAATCAAAAGGGGAATTAAAGATTCAAACAAAATTCTCAACAATATATCAACATCTTAGAACTTTTGTTCCATCTCCTATAAACATTTTTCATTTAATCGATAAACGTATTATTGATAATACACATTGATCAGAAACATGCATAGGTAGTTTCTTGATGATACTGATCTGAGAACTCTGACAACTGCAAAGCTCTAGCAACTTCTAGTAGTTTGATTAGTTTCTTGTTTCCACTAATACGGGCTTCATCAAGTGGAGTGCTTCCCTCATCTGCAATCAGGAAGTAGACTAATTAGTAAGGTTAAACATGCATCACTACTACAAAAAAGGCAAAAGACAGCGGGAATTCACCATCGTGTATTCAGTTTTCAAACCGTCGTGAAATCAACCGACATCTATTTGAGTGTCAAACCACGACGCTAAATCACCGTCGTTGTTAAAACGAACAACGTCATTAACAAATAATAACCGACATCTTTGTAATGGAAAAAGAGATAAAAAAAACAGTCGAGGATGAGAATAGATGACCAATTATAACAAAAAAAACGTCGTTTAAAAGGAAACATATGACATATATTAACAGAACATGGCCGCAAGATATACATACAACGACGAAAACTAAAACTCACCGCCGTTAAATATACCTTTCACGACAAATAAAAATATGACGTCTTTAAATACATAATCGACGACGTTATTGACTCCTACTACGTCACTACATTTTCAACAACCGTCGTGAAATGAATTTTCCACTTCAATTTTTCTATTAATGATGACGTGGAAATAGATGTATGGGTCATTATTTACTATGCATGTATTTAAACTGATGACGTGGTACTAATAAACAACGTCGGTTCCAAATAAATGAGAACCGTATTACAGAATTTATACGTCATCTTTTAAAATATAATCGTCGTCTAATGAATCTGAGACGACAACGTTTCTCAGTCCACCGCCGTGTAAAATAGCTTTAACGACACGATCTGAAAATAAATGACGTGGAAAATATGTTGGGGTCATTACTTATGACACATTAATTAATAAAGACGACGTTGTCGTCAATATACAACGTCGTTATCATGCAAAAGACAACGGTGTTCCATAATTTATACGTCATCATTAACAAAATTACCGTCGTCTAATTCCTATTAGACGACGTTGTTTATCTGAAATTTACCGTGTAAAGAAATTTTAACGACATTATCATAAGAAAAGAGACGTGGATACATTCATATAACGTTGTTTTTGTAAAGGAACAACGTCCAAATATATCTTAACATCGACAAATTTACCAATGGATTTCAAATACCGTCGTGAATTCGTCCTTTTCCACTTCGTTTATGAAAGAACATGCGACGGGGTAAAGTTAAGACGACGTCGTCTTTTGTAAGGTTCAGGTTAGATATCTCATCTTTTAGACGTCGATATTATGGGATTGGAGTCGCGTTATTTGGAATTACATGGCAGCTCTTTATGCTTCTCCGACGTGATATCCTTAATAATTGTTTCACAATAGCGTCGTGGTTCTTCTTCGTTACATTGCTTTAAAACGTCGGTAAATATATTGCGGTCGTTGAATGCTCCAAAACGTCGTTCTTTATTAGAACAGACGTTTGTTTTTCACATTTTTATCAAGACCGTCGTGTTTGTAATCTTGAACCAGTATTTTTTGTACTGATTGTTTTGTGGCCAAAACCTGTATAATGAAAGTGAAGAAATCACATTACAATATATTACAAAATTAATGTCATACACTGCCAATTACATAAGCATCATTGAATCCATATATCTTCACACCCATCTCGAATATTTTGACTCCCAAACTCACCCACTAGTTCATCAAATGTGTCAACATTTGGCATCCCTCTAGTAAATGGCTCACACTCAATTCTCACATCACCTAAGACATCATCACCAATAACATCATTATATTCTCTATTAGGCATTGATAACACTACCGACCAACCACGATGCATTGGGTCATCAACAAAAAATACTTGTTTGACTTGAGAAGCCAAAACAAATTGGTCATTCCTATGTCCAATTTTACTCAAATCTACAAGGGTAAATCCAAGTTCGTCGACTACAAGACCAGAAGTACTATCTATCCAATCACACCTAAAGACTGGGATTGTAAACTTTTGGTAGTCACGGTCCCAAATTTCTTGAATGACACCATAGAAACCCATATTTGAGAGAATTGGGTTTTTATCCTTGGCACTAGCAACTTGCATGGTATGTGCAAGTAAATAAACTCCACTATTTTGAGTTGTCCGCACATCATCTTGTGCCTTGATGTTAAATTTAATACCTTTAATAAGATAGCTCCTATATGATGGCACTGCCATGTTTGGACCAGCTGCTAGCCACCTTAAATTTTCTGATATGCCATGATTGTCTTCCTTATTAAGTTCACTTTGAACCTGCAAATTAATCATATCTTAATTCAATCTAACATAGAAAGAAGAAAATTAAAATTCCAATATGTTATTCAATAACATATACCTTGAAGCGTAGCCATTGAATGAAAGTGCTATTGTGCTTATCCTGCAGCCACTTTGTTCTCTTTCTAAATTTTGGATAAGCGGTCTTGATGTGGATCATATGTTGCCTACATGACACGAAAAATTCAAGCATTACGGTCCAACATATAAGATAAACATAAGAAATAATTTAAAATGGAAACTTAAAGAATAAAACTCATACGTACTCGATATAAGGTAGGACTTCCTCCGTATTCTCCAAGACATATAGATGTGCTTGGTTCAACAGGTCCCGATCAACTACGCTCACTGTGCAACCTGATAATGGCTTTGAAACTCCCATCTTTTGGCTTGAAGGCACTCCAACTGTACTAACATTAGATAAATGCTCGGTACAAAACTCTACAGCTTCTTCAGCTATATACCGCTCAGCAATGCAACCTTCGGGACGAGTACGATTCTAAACATACCCCTTTAGCACTTTCATATATCTTTCAAACGGATACATCCATCTAAAATATACTGGCCCACATAGACGAACTTCTCTGACAAGATGTACTACTAGATGAACCATGATATCAAAGAATGAAGGGGGAAAGTACTTCTCAAGCAAACACAAAGTAACTACTACATCTTCTTCCAACTTATCTAGCTTGGAAACATCAACAGTCTTTCCACATATAGCATTGAAGAAGAAGCACAAAAGAGTTATTGCATACCTTGCAGGCTTCTCCAAAACAGAATGAATTGTCACAAGGAGCAATTGTTGCATTAAGGTATGACAATCATGTGATTTAAGGCTAAGAAGTCTTGAATCTTGTAAAGATACAAGATTTTTTATATTTGAAGAATAACATTCAGGGACCTTCATACCATAGAAAGAATTGCAAACCTCTCTCTTCTCTGCTCTGTACAAATTCCAAGTCTCGGGAGGCAAACGAGTATGTCTTTCTCCATACTCGGGTTGCAAATCAGTTTTGACCCCCATGTTCAATAAATCTAATCGAGCAGCAATCCCATCTTTATTTTTCCAGGGATCTCCAGCAATGTACCAATGATACTATGCAAACATTCTTCTCAATGTGCATAACATCTAGGACATGCCTCACAGGAAGGTATTTCCAATACTCGAGATCAAAGAATATTGATTTCTTCTTCCAACAAACTCTGTCACCATCTTCAACCATATGCAGCACTTCTTCTCCGGTTAATGGCTCGGGAGGCGTGTCATATTCAGGTTTCCCATTAAAGGCTACACGTTGCCTCCTATATGGATGATTGATTGGTAACCATTTTCTATGCCCAATGTAACAAATTTTGTGGCCATTTTTCAACCTGTGACTAAGTGTATCATCGCCGCATATTGGACAAGCTTTATATCCTTTAACAACACAACCAAATAAGTTTCCATAGGCGGGGAAATCATTAATTGTCCACATTAATGCAGCTTTGAGTGTAAAGTATTCTCCATTATGTGCATCATACACTCCTCCAATCTCCTCCCACAAAGATTTTAAATCATCAATCAAAGGCTCCAAGTAGACGTCTATATCATTTCTGGGTTGTTTAGGACTGGAAATCAATAAGGTAAACATCATGAACTTTCGTTTCATGCACAGCCATGGAGGGAGATTATATGTAACTAAGATAACTGGCCAGCAACTATATCTGCTACTTAGAGAACTGTGGGGATTGAATTCATCAGATGAAAGAGCCAATCTCAAGTTTCTCGGCTCATTACCAAACTCGGGCCATTTATCATCAAGAAGTTTCCAAGACGGGGAATCCGCCAGATGAGACATCTGACCATCAATTGATTTTCTAGCAGCATGTCAAGTCAAACTCTTAGCTGTCTCATGTGATCGAAACATCCTTTTAAACCTTAGAATTGGAGGAAAATACCATACCACCTTCGCTGGCACACCCTTTTTCAAGATTGAATCTTTGCCTTCCTTCCATCTTGAGATATCACAAGTAGGACAATTATTTGAATCTTCATACTCCTTCCTATACAAGATGCAATCATTGGGGCATGCGTGCATTTTCTCATAACTCAGCCCCAATGCACACAAAGTCTTTTTTGCCTCATAAATAGAGGCCCCGCTAAAGATCCAACACTCATTTATCTAAGTTGACCATCCCAAAAAGCGCATCAACAAAGCCCAACAACTTAAGCAACCCACCACATATATAATAGAAGATAGGGTCTACCTATATTATATAGTCGGAGATTTTCTAATAAGTATTTAAGTTAAGGATTGGTTACATACTTTTAATCTCAGCCAAAATCATCGTTACCATTAACATGATATTAAACGACCCGACCCAAATTCCACTTTGAAATCCGGGCCGAATCCTGTTTAAAACTGACACCTGGTAACCGTGGGTCGCAAAAGACCAAAATACCCTGATAAACAATAACATAAACCCTGAGCCCCTAACTCGTGGTTGTGTCTGATAACTGTAGGCTACCTACGTACCCTTACTGAGGGATCAAGCCACACGTAGTTCTTTTTTCTGTTCCTAATCTGTAACTGAACTGTTTACTGTAAACCTGGTTCTAGGGTTGGCATTCCTGGAGTATCCAAGACTCCGTTTTACGATCCTTCAAACACTATATGATCCTGGCCAAGTACAGATTACCATATCCGAAAATGGTTACGATCCAACAGTTCGAAACTATTGAACCCGGAAATCACACAATATGCGAGATCCGTTCGGGGTACAAACGTTAACCAAATTGAGATCCGTGAATTCCTACGCGCTCGTGACGACCCAAGGATGATTCTAGAACTGAAAGTGGTTTCTACCAATCTGCCCACGCGCCGCCACACGCGCCGGCAGCGTGTGGGTGGCTTGATCAATTCCTGGCGGTCTGAAAAACTCCAAACCACCGGCCCAAACTCCTAACGTAGGTAAAATACCCCATTTGGAACAACCTTTGTTTTTGGACATACCCCAAAAACTGGCCGGAAGTGGCCGAAACAGTGACCCGAAAATCTGCTGGAACCTAACTTAAACAATCGAATGATCTACGCTTGAAATCTCTGAAATCCTACCCAACCAGAAGCTAGATCATGAAAAATAGCTAGAAAACCATACCTCACTTGACCGATTTGGTGGCCGGACGACGAAGAACGAAAGGTTGGAAGTTCTGTCAAACACTGTCCAGCACCGCCTGTTTCGTGGAGGATTCTGGCGACTATGGAGGCGGATCGTGGAGGTGAAGGGCTGAGGCTGGAAGAGAGAAGTTTTTTGGTTCGTTTGGCACTGGTCTTGCCTGAATCGGAGGTCAGAGATCAGAGAAAACAGCTCCCAAAGTCGGTTGGTCGTGCCCCCGAATCCAGAAATTTCTGGGTTTATATAAACTGAAGTTCGAAATATTTACGGTTATGCCACTGAACTTCTTTAAATCGTAACTCCTTCGTTACAACTCCAATTTGAGTCCACTACGTGTCTACGGACTCATCTCGCTGCGCTCTACGCAAAGGTATAACTGAAATCCCAAAATTCCTTCCTGGTCAAAAAGTCAACTTTTATATTATTAAAATATTCTAGGGGTATAGTGGTCTTTTATTGGAATAAATTATTAATTAAATATTAATTAAGGCCTGGGTTGTTACATGATACATAGCTTACCAAATGCTAATGATCGAGCCTGAAAGCTCTTACAACTTGTCATCTCGATCTTTCATAATTCGAAATATGTCTACTAATGCTAACTCCTTCAAGAATTCTGATAAAAAAATAAAGTTATGTATCATGCACATGCATCATTTTCTATGGTTGTTTCAGTTGGAACTTCAATTGAGGAATATATCAAATAACTTGTTTGAGGGACACCCTTGTAGGATTCATTTTGTCTTATGTTTCAACAATTCAAAATGTCTATTATTAATCTTTAATTATGATAAATATTTCCGTAATAAAAATTTGGTATTACCAACCATCACTTAATTTTTATTTCTAATTATTTTCAATAATTTATTGATATCCAAATAATGAAATTTTAAATGATGAAGTTGTAAATTTTATCTTTTAATAATTTCCATATATGATATTTGAATTAATTCATTAAAACACCCAGCGAAAGGTGCAATTGGATAACCAATGGAAAAATTAGTAAAAATGTTTAATAGTAAATATTGGATTGTTAAACTTGAACAAGAAGGGTTTTTTTCCCCCCATTACAATTGGGTAGATTGAGTTGTGATTTTAGTGATTTTAAATGTGTACAACCAACTAGCTATTGGTTTGGTGGTACTTCTCTTTCCAATGTTAGAAGAGGTCCCAAGTTTGAATTCCCCCTCCCTTATTGACAAAGGGTAAATTATTGAGTTATTGACCGAAATGGTCCCCCAACTATTGCCAAGTTTTATTTTGGTTCACAAACTAAAATTTTCATTTCAATAGTCCTCCAATTCTCCATTTAGTATCAAAATGGTCCCAAGGATTGAAATATCGGCTGATACACCGATATATCTGCCGATATATCGGTATTTTTAACTATCGACACTGATACAGGGGGTAAGGCCATATCTTCTCCTGTATCGACGACATATCCCCGATAAGTGCGATATCCCCAATATTTTGCCAATATCCCCGATATTTCCCGATACCATAATAGAACCAAAAAAAAATTTAGAAGTTTGAAGGCAATTGAAGCAAATTGAAACCCAAAAATAACTAATCCTTGCCTTGAACCCTAGAATTTATTAATATGAAGAATCTACGCACAGTCCACTGCCCACATACCTCCAATCCATCTGAAGAGGACATGACGATCAGTTTTGGATCTATGAGCATAGGAACTAGACCTAGTACTAACTCAAATGAATCTTTATGATGGCTATGGTTATGTCATGTCTGATTATAGTGGAACTAGTTATGGAGCTCAAGATGATAAAAAAGATTATGAACCTACTAGTTGGTTAATCCTAACTATCCCATATATGAGAGGACAATAGGGAGCTCAAGAGAGACCTATGTGCACCATGTTCAAACATGGCTTATAAACTGCTCGAGTTACATGACTTGGTATGACTATTGTATGAATCTAGATGGTTGTTCCTCATTGTTTGAACCTCATAGGAGCTCTTCATTTATGTAGATGGACGTTTATCTAAATTGTAATTCAATGTTTAAACAAACTATGAATTTATGCATGGTTTATTCATTCTAATCAACATTTTATTTTCAAACTTTTCATTAACGCGCATTATATACCACTTATATTTCATCATATGTATATCTTATTATTAGTAAATTTTGAGTTTTATTTGTTCAATACATTCATTGATAATGCACATAACATTTATGAAAGTTTTACACCAAAATTATTTGTTTCAATGCCTATATCTGTCATTTTTGTTGATTTTTTCCCGATACCTAAAACAATAACGATATATCCCTTGAAATATCCATAAATTAGAGGCCCGATATTATCTGCACGACCGATATTTTAATCCTTGAACGGTCCTACCGTCAGAGTCTGTCAATTGTTTTTGAAATTGAGGGGCCAAAGCGTCTCTCACTCTCTCTCTATTCTTTCTGTGCTCTATTCCTTCCTCAACCCACCTCCCATGGCTGCAAATCCTGATTTTGAAGAGAAGAAGGCTGACCATCTTTATCGTGCCACATGTCCATTTAAGAAGCTTACAAATTTCTTCTCAAATGAGACAATAATGAATGTAGGTGAGAAAGCAACAAGGATCTACATAATTGATTTTGGTATCCATTGTGATTTTCAATGGCCTTGCCTCATACAAAATATCTCTTCTAGGCCTGATTACCATAAAGCTTCGGATTACTGGGATTACTATGATTGATCTTCCACAACTAACTCCAAGAAGACGAAGCAAGAGGGGACAAAGAGGTGGTTGCATAGACCGCATCCCGTAGCCAAATCCCATTCCCACCATCAAACTGAAGGAGACTCGGAAGAAGGACAAAAAGGCTTTATTCTTTCTCTTTCATGCTGTGGATGAAGCTATTTTTGAAAGAATCTCATCATGCACTACAGCAGATCAATGATGATGCTCAAGGAAATTGAACTTTATTCTTTCTAGCCGTGGATGAAGCTATCTTTCAAACTGTGGATGAAGCTGTCTTTCAAGGAAAACGAACTTTATTCTTTCAAGCTATGGATGAACTATCTTTCAAGCTTTATTCTTTCAAGCTGTAGATGAAGCTATCTTTGAAGCTTTATTCCTGTATTAAGGATACGTTTCATGCTCAAGGAAATCGAATAATCTTATTGATATTCTCAGTAAAATAATGAAGATGTGCCTGTGTGAAAGGAACAATTGAAACTACGTACCACTCTCCTAAACCTATCATACGTCTGTAATTAAAGTATGTAAACACCTCAACAACTATGTTCAATCCTAAATGGCTATGGCCCATAAGTACAAGTAGTAGAAATTACATAATCAAGTTCACATTACAACAAAGAAGAAAATACGTACTAAGTTTATCTTTGTTTTATTTGAAGATGTGAAGCACGCCTTTTTTTATTTTATTTTTTTATTTTTTATGTGGAGTGTTGTTAAACGAATCCTAAAATTAACTGAGTACACTCTATGATATAAGTACACCGTAATATTTAAATCAAAATGTAAAATTAACTAGGTACACCCTACACCATAATACTAATTAGCACACCCCATTTTACATGAATTGGTCGTCTTCATCAAATATGTTCCTGTCAACTCCTTTTCCCTTCATCAAATCTAAACCGTCGGGGATACACCCACTCATTGAACCAAATTCATGAGTACTAACCAGAAGGTCTAAAGATGATGATCTGTCTTGAGGGTTCTTCTGTATGCTGCAAATGTAATGGGAAATATAAACAGTCACATGCCAGTGAATTAGATATGTATAAGGTGAAGTATGCATGTAAATATCTTATTAACGGGCAGACGAACAAAACTCGGGGAGAACTCATCTGATGGTGCAGAAGGTGGTGGACTTTCCACAATTCCCTCCAAAAGTTCATAAAAGCTTGGCCAGCTTTGCTGATCAAAATGAAATAATATTTAAGTTGCTTTCACGCTGTTTGATGAATAACCATGGCTTTTTGGCAAGGGATTATGTTCGGCAGCTTAAATCTTTTCTCCTCTCAAAGCTTCTTCTTCATTGATGTCAGGAATTATGGAAGTGATAGAAAAAAAATTTACGCCCGACAAAAACTTTGAATTTTTATCTCAAATATGTTTGGAATCAAACTCAAAAATTCTAATTTGATTAGGGTTCAATATATTGAGTAGGGTGTACTTATTAAAATTAATTTTGTTTCACAATTCAATATATTTTTTTTGGTCATTTTATATTAGGGTAAATTAGTAATTCAATAAATAGTTTGGTAGTATGGTGTATTAAGTTAATTGTTCGTTTAACAGCACGAATTTTGTGGATTTAATTTTCTCTGTTATGGCGGGCCAGTACAGCAAGAAAAATAAGTGAAAGCTGCATGCATGGTTTGGGTTTGCTTATTATAAGTAGCACAGCAGGTTGTAGCTAGGAAAAGCAATAAGCAACGAGAGAGAGAGAAACAGAGATCATCAGAAATGGCAGACTTACCAAAGTTTTTTGCCCTTAAGTCAGTCAGGAACCAGAAATACGTGGTTTTCAAAGACCAATCCACGGCAGAGCTGCCAAATAGGCTCGAAGCCTCCGGAGAGGAAAGGCAAAGCAAATACGCAAGGTTCAAAGCAGAGAAGGACATAAACCAACCCAGTCTGGTGCATATAAAATCCACGTACAACGACAAATACTTGAGAACGGCAGGCCAAGACAGTACGTGGCTTGTGGCCGATGCTGATGAGAAGCAGCCAAATAAAAACCAGTGGTCATGTACACTCTTCAAGCCTGTGGTTTTGCAAAAACCGGCACCATACGTCGACGGCGTATACCAGTTCGTCCACGTGCAATTGGAAACACCCATCAATATCCCTGCCTTCATTGTCGAAAAACTTCCAGGTTGATCATCCTGTTAAGTTCATTTGATGTTTGTGGGTAGCGTCACTGGAAACCCTCACGAGACTTCACTCGTCCTATCAGGATCACCTATAGGTTTAAAAGGCTTATTGCATACGCTAAATGCAATTGCGTTCCCTGCAAAAGTGGCATTTTCTTAAGTTTTCCTTATGTTGTGATTTGGGTTTCAATAATATTGCATCCAGCTGCTGCTCATGCATTAATTTATCTAACCTAGCTAAGACTATTTGTGGGAATAAAAGTTGTGCTTCTTTCGTTTTACTATTCCGATCTAGATTACTTGATGCATTCATGCATTACTTCCATGATCCAAGATTACTCAGGTCCTTGATTATTACAAGACTAGTGAGAGTAATTGACATTGAGAATTATCAAGCCAGATAAACAATAATAGTTCAATCCATGCATTTCAAGGTACGCACATTAGAAAATCAAAGGGGGAATTAAAGATTCAAAAAAATTCTCAACAATATATCAACATCTCAGAACTTTTGTTCCATCTCCTATAAACATTTATCATTTCATCGATCAACGTATTATTGATAATACACATTGATCAGAAACATGCATAGGTAGTTTCTTGATGATACTGATCAGAGAACTCTGACAACTACAAAGCTCTAGCAACTTCTAGCAGTTTGATTAGTTTCTTATTTCCACTAATACGGGCTTCATCAAGTGGAGTGCTTCCCCCATCTGCAATCAGGAAGTAGACTAATTAGAAAGGTTAAACATGCATGTTGGAATTATTTATTTTTTAAATAGGCAGTCCTTTGCTTTAGTCTAACCAGAATTATCAGAATATTGTTCATCTTCTCGTCTATTGCTCCTATAACGTCATTGGATCCTATTGGATTCAGGAGCTTAAAGAAATTTAAAGAATAGATATCTGACAAGCCAGATGAACACTCAGATTGTACCTGTCCTTTTATAGAACACTTGTTCCTACTTCTAGAAGGAATTCTGCCATTGGATATAATTTTTCATATTTGGGTTAATGTCAGTGGCTGAAAGCCTTTTCACGAGGTCCAAATTCCTCCTTGATAACGTAATATAGAGAAAATCACCAACATCATCAATAGTAAGCGACGCCCCTGCCTTCACAAGTAAAGAAGCTACTTGCACTACTACGTTTTATTATTTGCGCGACGAACACGAATTCGTCGCGCAAATGCACTATAGTGACGGAAAAAAAATTTCGTCACGCAAACCACCGAAAACTGGCCCAACCAAATTGTTCGTCGCGCAAAATGTCTTAGCGCGACAGAAAATTCCTTTGTCGCGCAAAGTGAGGAAGAAAAACCCGGGTTTTTGTTTTGGCACCAAACACTTGTGTGACGACAAAAATCGTCGCGTAAGAGAACCTAGCGCAACGTTTGGACACTTCGTCATATAAAGGTGGACAGAAAACAGTGGGTTCTGTTATTTGGCGGCAAAAACTTGTGCGACGACGGTTTTCGTCGCAAAAGAGAACTTAGCGCGACGACATGATTTATCGTCGCGTGAGAAAATGTGGGATATATTTTTTTTGGTGCCAAAATACTGATGTGGGATTTTTTTTTTGCATGACGGAAATAGTCTTCGTCGCGTAAAGTTTGATGTCGGTACAGTCTTGCGTGATGGAAGATTGATTTTGCACAACGGAAAATTGTTTTTGCGTGACGAATGTTGTGCGATGAACTAAATCATGCGTCCCGCAAAAGTGTGATGTCGACACATGCTTGCGCGACGAAAAAGTTATTTTATGCGACTTAAAAGTGGTTTTTCGCGGCGGCAGTTTGCGCGACGAAATCAAGGTTTCATCGCGCAAAGTCCTTTTTCTTCATATTAGAATTCTGCCATTATAGAGGCAGAATGCCAAAAAAAAAAAGCATTCTGCCTCTCTTTCAACCTTTCTGCCGCTGCTTCTGCTAATAATTCAATACGTTCATTGGTTAAGTATTTTTTGTCATTAGTTTAAAAGTATTAATGTAAATTCATACTAATGCTATTAATTTCGTTATCGTTAGGGATATTTGTAATTAGCGATTAGTGGAGAACGATTAAGAAGGTATTTTATTCGTTTTATATATTAAAAATGTTAAATTAATTACATTATGTTAAAGTTAGGTTGTTATGTTTATATTTTTTTTGTGAAGTTATATTTATATTATGTTGTTAAATTGTGCGTGACATAGCACAATGTGTTGTGATGTACGAAGTTAAATGAAATTAACTATGTACTTTTATTTTTATGTTTAGTAACACTTAGTTTCCTGTTCGAGATTAGTTGGATTTCGTGCATGGATGTGTAAAGCATGACTGCGGTCCAATTAATTCTTGAATTGTCCCATTATTTGGACAGTTTGGGAATGCATAGTTATGTCACGTAATGTACGGCTACAGGATTAGGTTTCGATTATAGAGATTTCGATTTATCTCTGTACGTTCTTCGGGTGGTACGTAGGTATTTATATCTATGGTACACCTCAAGAACTGTATTGAGATGCTGCCGAAATTCATCAACGTCGAAATCTAATCTCATGTAGCCGTACATTACGTGACATGACTATGCATTCTCGAATAGGATAGGGCCCTTACCGGAGGCATAAGGTGACATTATGACTTCGTATGAAGTTGTTGTGATTGTTGTGTTGTGATTGTGGGTCTAGGAATTATAAGCAGGAGGTGGATACAGAATCCGAATAGATGCGTAGACGAATACTTGGATGGAATCGAGGATTTTATTGAGTTTGTACGTACACACAACCCTGGTGCAATTAGAATCCATTGTCCTTGTGGGATGTGTAACAACACGTTGTGGGAGACAATTGAAAATGTTGGATTTCATTTAGTAATGAATGGACTGATTGAGACATATAGCATTTGGAACCTTCACGGGGAACAATTAGACTATGCTTCGTCTTCAAATACCACAAGAGTGGACAATGTTGAACCTATTGTGGATCATAATGATCAAGTCATGGTTATTATACAGGATGCTTTTCCATTTGCATCGACCAACATCAATCAGGAAGGGGAAGATGACGTGCCTACACCAATAGACAGTGCAGAGTTTGAACAATATGAAAAACTGTTAAAAAATGACAACCAAGAGTTATATCCGAGGTGCGAGAGTTTTTCAGTTCTCATGATCATTGTGGAGCTAATGCGCTGAAAAATAAAATATTGTATGTCGAACCTGTGTTTCGATTACTTTTTGGGGGTTTTCAAGAGAATGCTTCCGACGGACAATTGTTTGTCGAAAGACCATAAACACGCGCAGAAGGTGTTGAATGATCTTGGATTGGGTTATGAAAATGTTAATGTATGGTTTTTACTATTTTCTTTTGGCTTCCCTTGACAACTTTGTAATAGGATGTGTAATGTAATTTATCAAGCTCAAGTCTAGATTAGGGAAAACTTTTAATGGTGCTCTTCTCTAATCTCTGCTCTATGGTGGCTCAAGCAAGTTGACAAAGGTATTGAGCATTGCATATCATTACATTAAAGTCTTCATAAAATGATGACTAGTCATCCGTTTCTCATATGACTAGTCATCCTTGCTTCTAGCTAGATAACAAACTGTTTTGTCCTATTCTTCTTTCTCTCTCTCTGCTGCCAAGTGGGTTTCTGACCTAAGGAATTTGTTGGACTGTAAAGGCCACGATATTTCTCATTTGGCAGTTGTCTCTTTTGGGAGGAAGTTTTGGAAAGATTGGCTTACGATCTTTCTCTTCTTCTTTCTCAAGAGAGAACCAAATATTTCATCTATGAGTTTTTCCAATTGATATCTTTTTGAAAAACTGCTTTTGAAACCCGAATCTGCATCTAGCTACTTAAATCATCTCTCATTTATATCTAGGTCAGATTCAAGATTGATTTCTTTAAGAGTATGGTTTCTTGAAGAAATTGGTCATTCTCCTTTGAATCCAAATATTGGTTTCGGTCTGTGTTGGAGCTTGCAAGCTAGTGCCATGGGATGAACGAGCTGGAGAAGGAGCTGCCATTGCCATGAAGAACTGAGCTTCAAGTTTTGCTAAGTTGGAGAAGAAGATTGCACAAAGGAGGTATTGCTCATATTCCTAAATAGACCTAGGTGCTTCTTGAGCTTGGTTGTGTTTCTTTTGTAAGAATCTTTTTCTACTTAGTGGAGTGCCTGGTCGGTTGATGACTCCCAGTTTTTCCCAATGGTGGGTTTCTGGGTGAACAAAATTGTTTTGCATATCTGTAATTTTTCTGGGTTTGTGTTCTTGGTGGTTGACTAGTTATCTCTATCTGCTGTTTGATGTTTACATGATAATGATGATTTCACACACTTTCACCATAGTTGTTGCTAGCACAGGGGATGCCTAGATTGACGGGTCCTTCTGAGTGCCTAGGTTGTCACTAGTAATCTTCTAGGATTGCAGGTACATTGTGGCATGCTCTGTGTATTCTCTTGGTTGTGATTGTTTCATGACTAGTAGTTGCCTAGTCATATGTGTATTTGGTCAAGGTTTAAAGTGTGTGAAGATTGCTGTGTTGTTGTGTCTTGTTTGTGTGATTAAATTTACCCCTCGTCACCTAAGTACCATTTTCAGAAAAAATTCACGCTTGCAAAAACAATTGCATGTTATTCTACAAAGAGCATGAAATGTTGGATACATGCCCTATATGCAATGAGTCAAGGTTCAAAATGACATCTCAGAGTAGAACGACTAAGATCTCATAAAAAGTCATGCGTTATCTGCCCCTGAAACCTAGGTTGCAGGGATTGTATATGTCGACACATACTGCCACATACATGAGATGGCATAAGGAAAAATAGGTAGACGATGATGTGATGCGGCATCCTGCAGATGGGGAGGCATGGAAAATGACATCCCCGAGTTTGCTGCTGATCCCTGAAATGTTAGATTGGGACTTGCCACTGACGGATTCAATCCGTATGGGGTTCTAAACCAACATCACAACACTTGGCCGATTTTCATATTCCCATATAATTTGCCGCCTTGAAAATGCATGAAAAAAGAATACATGATGATGATGTTTTGATACCTGAGGATCCTGGCAGGTCAATCGATGTTTACTTAAGGCAGTTGGTTGATGAGCTGAAGGATTTATGGACAAACGGTGTGCGCACGTATGATAAATCAACTAGGAAGATGTTCACTTTGCGGACAGCAGTTATGTGGACTGTGAATGATTTTCCAGCATATTCAATGGTTTCTGGGTGGAGCACAAAGGGTTATATAGCATGTCCTGTATGCAAGGAAGATGTAACTTCTGATTGGCACGCTAGAAAAGTTTGTTACCTTGGTCATCAGAGATGGTTGCCATGGGACCACGAGTGGCAGGAAAAAGATAAAGAGTTCGACAAGAACACAGAGTGTCGCCTCAGACCTAGAGAATGGTTCAGTGATGAGATCTTGGAACAGCTTAACCGTTTGGATTTTGCTCCGTTCGAGAAAACAGTTAGTCGGACCAGAACTTCTACACATATGAACTGGTTGAAACTCAAATTGAGGCACAATCTAGATGTGATGCATGTTGAGAAAAATGTATTCGACACATTGGTAGGCACGATTCTAGATATCGAGGGCAAGACAAAGGACACAATCAAAGCTCGTCTTAATTTGGAAAGAATGGGCATACGAAGGGGTTTATGGATGAATATGGACAGTGATAAAGCTAAAAGGGATCTTGCATTTTTGCTATGAAACCGAATGACAAAAAAGAGTTTCTAAAGTTTGTATCGTTTGTAAAGTTTCCCAATGGGTATGCTTCTAATATCGCATGTTGAGTGAATGTTGAGGGGGGTGAATTTACTGGACTTAAGAGCCATGACTGCCATGTGTTTATGCAATGCCTACTTCTTGTGGGTATTTGACATCTATTGCCGGAAGATGTAGTGAAGCCAATCATGTTGTTGTCCAGATTTTTTTCCCAACTTACGGTAAAAACATTGCAAAAGAGAGACATGTTTCAGTTGCGCCATGACATTGTCCAAGTCCTATGCAAGTTTGGGATGATATTTCCTCCAGCTTTCTTCACAAGTATGATGCACGTGATGGTTCACTTGCCAGAAGAGGCATTGCTTGCTGGTCCTATCAACTATCGCTAGATGTATCCAATAGAAAGGTATATAATCCTTATCGTCTGTGTATGCATCATTATCACAGGCTTGCTAATTTGTATCATATCGTTTTATTTTGATAGGCTTCTCGGAGAGCTGAAAAAAAGTGTACACAACACGGCGAAGCCCGAAGGATTAATTATAGAGGCTTGGGTTCAATATGAGTCGCTTACTTTCTGTGGAATGTATTTAAAAGATGTGGAGACGGCTTTCAATCGTCCTCAGCGCAATAATGACGGAGGTATGAGAAATGAAAAACTTTCTGTTTTTGCCCAAAACGCACGACCCTTTGGAGATCTTGGACGGGGAGAGTCGTTTTCTAGAAATGACATGGAGGTAGCGCATTGGTTCGTACTGAACAATTGTGATGAGATAATGGCATATTTAGATGAGCATGAAGAGATGATGAAGCGAGAACATCCATCACATTTGTATGCCAACAAACACCGTGAATTGTTTCCACAATGGTTTTTGGATTCTGTAAGTTATAAGTATTTTGTATTTGACAAATATAAATTGTAGTATTTAATTTTGTCATACTAACATGTGAATGGTTTTGTATAATATTAGGTGAAAAAGTTGAAATCATCGAATTCCCCCACTTACAGTGATGAGTTATATAACTTGGTTGTAATGTTAACGGCGTCAAATTTTTGGGGACTGCACAAGATGACAAGTTGTGTACGCAAAACAGCGGTGTCCATGTCCCAGGTGGAGGCGAAAGTATAGACATTGATTTCGATGGCAAACTCACAACTGTCGTGCAATTGCTTTACAAAGATTGATACCAAGTGATCATGTTTAAGTGTCGATGGTTTGATACCAACCCAAATAGGCCGAGAAGTGTTAAAATCGACCATGGCTTACTATCTTTGAACATTAACAGAACTTGGTATGATGACAACCCTTACATTTTGGCAAACATGGCAACACAAATTGTGTATCTAGATGACCCTAAAGCCGGGAGCGGTTGGAAAGTTGTTCAGAAGATGGATCATTGGAACGTGTATGCTATACTAGAACTAGACCCAACTGACAACGACGTCGACAATGTGGTTGACCAACGTTTAGAATCTTCAGTGGAAAATTATGCGGAAACAGTTCGAGATACAAATGTTATACAAGAACCGTTTCAAATACAAGGAGTGTCTTCAATCGAAATACCGATTTAGTCAATTACAATTGACCTTGGTGATCTTCCGCGATACGATGTTGCAGTGGGCCCGAGCAACGACGATGATGTAGTTATAGTGGAGGAGGAGGAGGAGGATTGGGAGACCAAAAGTGATGATAGCGATGATAACGAAAGTTATTATAGTTCAAATGATGAATAATGAATTTTTTTGTAATTTTATTATGTTAGGGTACAGATTTTGTGTAATACAAATGTTTGAATATATGTAGTTGTTATATCCAAACCTTATATATGTGGAGAAATGAAACATTGCTAAATAATTTCAGTTATAAAACATTGGTAAATAAAATTATTTTGACAAAACATTTTTAAAAAATGAAAATGATAAAGAATCTGACCCAAGGGGATTGTATCCAATTCTAACTTTTATTGACTTTTCATGAGTTTATGAAAGTTTATCACTTCACTTTATAAAAGAAAATGGACAAGCGAGTTAGCTCAACGCAATAAAAACCGCGTGAGACATTGCTAAATAAATTGAGATATACGAGAAAATGAAAAATGAAATAAAAATTTGTTATAAAACATTGGTAAATAAATATATCCAAACCCTTTGGATACAAAGTTTGAGAATTATTGACACAAAACATTTTAAAAAAATGAAAATGATACACAATTTGACCTAAATATGTAAATGGCGCCAAATACTTGCGCGACGAATCTCGCCTCGTCGCGTAAAGTTACAATTTCGTGCCACAACCTACCATCCGTCGCTGAAGAAATTTTGCGCGACGACTAGATAGTTCTCGTCGCGCAAATATATTTATTTTACTATATAATATATACACACATATATATTTGACATTGATGATCGAATTAGTTCATCGTATTCATACAGGGTCAAGGAGTGTAGCTGTAAAAAATCATCAAAATCGGAGTTCAAATAACCGTTAAATCATGACTTTTCATTTATAACCGTCGAAAGTTTTGTCCCGTTACTTGATCTCTGAATGTTTTTTTGTTGTTGTGATTTTTCGGGTCTATTATCTGGAAGTATAAACAAACAAGTTTGACGGTTGGATTACTGAAACTAGTTTCGTAGAATGCGTATGCCATCAAAACAATAAATTCACCAACAATGAAGAGTTTATTTATACTTTCGTTAAATATAGCATAAGATTATGTGGTATCCACTAGTGTAAATATCTTAAATTGAAGATCAAATTCAGTCATTGTATTCATATAGGGTCAAGAAATGTAGCTGTAAAAAATCATCAAAATCGGAGTTAAAATAACCGTTAAATAGTGACTTTTCATTTATAACCGTCGAAAAGTTTTGTTCTGTTACTTGATCATTTTTGTTTTTTTTTTTTTTTTTTTTTTCGGTCGTTTACGTATACTCCAAGTATAAAAACACAAGTTTGCCAGTTGGATCATTGAAACTAGTTTAGGGTTTGCGCGATGAAATAGTACTTATTTCGTCGCGCAAAGTGTACAGAACATACCTTTGCGCGACGACTGCATATATTTGTCGTGCAATATCAGTTAGACATTTCACTTTCTCTCTCTCCCCCCTATTAACCCTAAACCCCAAATTTTGACGGAATCACAACCTTGCGTGACAGAACATAGCGTATGTCGTCGGGCAAAGTGTACAGAACATACCTTTGCGCGACGCCGGCATGTATTGGTCGCGCAATATAGGCAGACCTTTCACTTTCTCTCTCTCGTCCCTATAAACCCTAAACCCCAAATTTTGGTGGAATCACAACCTTGCGCGATGAATAAGTTATATGTGTCGCGCAAAGTGAACAATAAACAACGCCCAGACACTTCACTTTCTCTCTCTCTCTCGCTAAACCCTAAATCCCAAAATTTTGGCGGAATAACAACCTTGTGCGACGAAAGACCAGACTTTGTGTCGCGCAAAGTAAATAATAGAGAACCTTGTGTGACGCTGTTCTCACTTTGTCGCACAAACCCTAATCCCTAATTCCAAAATTTGGCGAACTTACAACATTGCGCGACGGACTACAACTTAAAATATTTTGTCGCGCATGATGCATTTAAAATATTTTGTGCGATGCTTTAAATTGTTCTTTGCGCAAGATCGAATAAAGTTTCAGAAACAACACGACTGCCTCATTCTTCCTCAGTTTTAGATTTTTTGCCCAAAACCTCCTCTCTCTCTGCCGTCACCTCAGCCCACTACTCCGCCGAAATTTGGACAGGGCCTTCACAACCTTCGAACCCCGGAGCTTCCCCGCCGTCACCATCGAGCCTGCCGTCGGAATTTGCTTGGTTTTCACCGAATCTTCGCCGGCCTCGTTGTCTCTCCCCCGACCACCAAATCCGACACCTGAGGTATAGTTTCTGGACTATTTTTTCTACTTTAGCTGATGGTTGGGTAGGATTTGATTAATTGTCACAAAAGGGCAATCGATTTTAAACCCTAAACCTTAAGTTTTCGGCCGATTTTTGAATTTAAATTCCGGCCACTTCCGGCCATTTTTCGGGGTAGGTTCGAGAACAATAGTGGCTCCAATTGGTGTTTTCAACTTAATTTTTCGGGGTAGGAACCTTGGCCCTTAGTTTTTAGAATTTTCAAGCGATGGCTATCGCTTTTCACACCCACGCATTGCCGGCGCATGTTGTAGCGCGTGGAATACTGTAGCAGTGGTTCATTGGGTCCCAATGCAATCCCCTAGTTGTCATGAGCGCGTAGGTGTGTTCAGATTGGAATTTGGTTACCGTTTGAGTCTCGAACAAATTTTGCCTATTGTGCGATTCTCGAGTTTGATATTTCCGGGTCTCAAACTCAAACTCACGTATGTTGTACCTTGTATTTCTAGGATCGTGTAAGATTCAACGGATCGTGGATCAGAGTCCCGGATACTCCGATTGCAAACCCTAGGTCAAGCTATGCTTTTAATTAATTAGTTAAGAATCTTAATAAAATTGTATGTGCTTACAAATATTCGTATATTTTATGAATTTGTATGTGTATGAATGAAATTCTGCAGATGTCAAACTTGATTAGACGTCGTAGGGCGGTGACGACTACACAGAGTTCGGAGCCCCCGGCTTAGCCATCATCTGCTGCCACTGCACCAACACTAATGGACCACTTGCCAGCACTGATGGGTCCCAGGCGAGTGCTTCATCGGCTTCATTAGTGGCGCAGCCTGTTAGTGCCAGGTGGCATCATCGGCCCACCACCACCACCACCACCCACACCACATCGACTGATGCGTCGGCGTCACAGCCAGGTATAGATTTCCTTAAACTCTAGTTCTTTTTTTTTCTTTTTTTTGTGTGTGCATTTTATAGTTAAATTTGTTATTTATTTAACATTAATGTTATATTTCTTTGCAGCCAAGAAGAACACTCGAGGGGTATGTCGGCAGTTGAAGACGGCGAAGGTCACTCGGGTGACCAACAGTCGTATCAACATCGGATACAACGAGCGACATCGGGCTGCGCCGATGGCGGAGTTGCACAGCTCCTTGGCCCACGACATTGGTCACATCGTGCGGACCCATTGCCCAATGCAATGGAAGTCTTGGAAGGTCATGCTTGACGAGATCAAGACGGAGGTGTGCGGCTAGTTGTTGGTATGTATCCCACCTTTTAATTCTTTTTCTTTCAAACTTTATATATTTGTATTACTTATGTATGTAATTAACTTATTGCAGACGAACTACAACTTAGAGGACCTCGACGACGAGTCATTGGCGTACGTTAACAGACTCTTCTCTGAAAGGTACAAGTAGTGGAAGAGCGACTTGCACCACCATTTTGAGGCTTTTGATGATCTGAATGTCGCTCTTCAGGAGGGTTGCCCGAAGTAGCTTGAGGGGCGGGAGGATAGTTGGGCGTGGCTCTGCGCTCATTTTCAGGTGCCCGATTTTGTGGTAATTTGTAATATGAATTTCAAATTTATTATATGTTTCTTACTAATGTTTATTTAATTTTTATATTTCATTTCAATTTCAACTAATACGTTTTATTTTTTGTATAACAAAATAAAGCTAAAGTCAATAAGGGCAATAGGAAGAACAAGACTCTTCTCCACCATTTAGGTTCTAGGCCCTTCTCATATAGGATGGATGCACGACAGCGGGTAATAATAAAATAATTTTTATTTAATTTTTAATATGTCATTATTCTTAATTTATTTTTTGTACTAATAATATTTTTCTTCTCTTGTTCAATTTAGGGGGGGTCCAAATTCCCAAAGATCGACGTCTTTGGCAACGTTTATGTTCGACCTGGGAATGAGTTGGCCAAGTCCCTTCATGTAAGTATTCTTTACTTTTAATTCTTATGTTATGCATTCAAGTTTAAAGGTTATTATATGAATGTTTTAATTTATATTTTATGTTATGTTAAACAGATGACGATGGTGGGGGGGAGCCAGTTGGTTCTTCAGGAGTCCGCCTCCCAACTTCCTCCCAATACTTCGATCGAGTCTGTGGATCCTCCACAGGATGCTGGGTTTCAGATCTTGACGGAGACGTTGGATCAGACTCTTAGGAGGAGGCCGGGGACATATTGTCGAGGGATGGGGAATGCTCGGTGGAGGGAACCCTGACCCCGTTCATCAGCGCAGTCAAACAGTCAGGTGACTGCTTTGACAGCATAGGTGGCCACTCTTCAGAGTCAGATGTCAATGATTTTGTAGTCCCTCGTGCGGTCTGGCATTCCAGTCCCGCATTTTGATGCGTCGACCTCCGAGCCCATCCACCCCGAGCATCCCCATCATACCACGGCCTCTGTAGACCCCCAAACCTCCAAGCCGCATACGCCAGACGACAATGTAGATTTTGGAACTTTATTTGATTAGTTTTTTATTTTCATAATTATTTTTTAAACATTTCTTTTGTACTATACATTTATTTTATTTTATATAATTTTTTGTTCTCCTCAATTCATTTTTTTATTGCAATTTCATTATTAAAAAAAAAAAAAAAAAAAAAAAAAAAAAAATAAATAATTTTTTTATATAAAAAAAATGTAATATTAAATTCAAATAATATATATATTCATTTTGCACGACGAAACGGTTTTCGTCGCGCAAATTCACATTTTACAAAATAAAAACCGTAAAATTACATTTTAAATACATATATTTTATTCTTGTGCGACGAAGAATTTTGTCTCGCGAAATGGCTATGCGCGACGACGAATATTTCGTCACGCAATATTGTTCATCGTGCAAATGTTGGTGACACAAATTGCACAACGAAGCACATGTTGTCGCGCAAATAGTTTCGACTCGAACTGCGCGACGAATATTTTCCGTCACGCAGTGTTTTCGCGACGAGAATACTTTCGTCACGCAAAGGTTTGTGCGACGAACAATTGTGTCAGCCTTAAACCTTTTGTGCAACGAAGATTAACCGTCGCTCAATTTTGCGCGATGAATGCAAAAAATTGGTTGCACAAAGTCTTTCTTCACGCTCTTTGCGTGACGAATTTTCTGTCTTGCTGAAATTTGTGCGACTAAATGTAACTTTGCGCGACGAAATCCTGTTCGTCGTGCAAATCGTAAAATGTAGTACTGTTGATCCTGCTCATTTTGAATGGCTTCAAGCAAAGGAGTGTTCCCAAATTTATCTAGCATTAGAGTAACATTCGAAGCTAATCCACAATAGTGGTAGTAGCATTACAGTTGAATTTTTTTTCCTTGGGCACGTTTGAATATATTTAAAAAGTATAGTCGCGTGGCTATACTCTTTAAATATTAAAATACATTTAAACAGTATAGGCACGCGGCTATGCTCTTTAAATATTTGTATATATTTAAAAAGTATGGCTATACTCTTTAAATATAAAAATATATTTCCTCTATGGAGGTTGAGCTCAGGGCACAACGGTAGAACGTTATATGACTCGTATGAGCTCTGAGTGGTGACTCACTAGCTTAACAAAGCCATTCATGAAGAGAATATTTTGGGAAGGGGTGGTGTTGAAATCTCCAATCAAACTATGAGAGAATAAATCATCTAGCATGACATATCTAATATGTAATCAAAATAAAAATGGAATCATAAAATGGTTAGAGATTCACGCAAGTCTCCTTAGGTCCCAATCTTTATAGGTTTATGAAAATATGCACCAAACACTCTCTAAGACACATATTCAAGAGAGATGAGATGGTCATAACCTTGGAGCGAATCTTGAAACCAAGAATGGTGTTCAAGTAGTGGGATTGGTCCTTTTGTTGTTGGCTCTCCCCTTGATGTTGGCTCCCCACTTTGGATTCTCCAAATAGGTACAATAAGGTTGCAACAACCCAAAGCTCTTCACCAAGGAATGAAAAGGATGAGAAAGTGAGAAGACAACAAGTGAGAGAAGTGGGTGCTAGCCCTCTCACTTGAAGTGGCCGACCAAGGGGGTCTTTGCGAGAGAGGTTTGATGTTTTCCCTCTTCCAATTTCACCAACTTAAAACCCTAAAATGTTGGGGTGTTTTGGCTACATATATATACAGCCAAAATGTCACACATGTAGGCCAAAATGCCCAATTCCCTAGCATGTGCCGCGCCCCCTTCCTCCCTTGCCCTTTTGTGCTATCTTAGTCCACGACATTAATCATATAATGTGTCACACTTGTGTCTAAGTCCATATGGTCCATTTCCTTTTTAATTTCCAAGTCACATGGGACCTTAACTATAGTTCCATAACGTTAAATGAATGGATGATTACAATTTTGGTCATTGGAGTTTGGCTCGTAATCAAATTTAGTCACCATGATTTCAATTTTTCCAATTTTGTTAGTACACTTCAAGTCGTTAACAAATCAGGTCCTAGCATTTGATTGTTAGTTTGGCTGGGGCTTTATTGTCTTTTCCTCCCAACAAAGCTACGAGTGCTCCCAAGAAGCTTTGTAATCAAAGCATTTTTCCAAGGCTGGCACAAACGATCTATCGTAGTGTTTGAGAACGGAATACTTGGACCCTTATCCCCTCTTGAGATCATCACATCAACCTCATCATTTAGATATGCATAATCAGTCCAAAGACTCAACATCAATCTCTACATTCTTAACCAAATTCACCTTATTCATCAATTTATCGCGGCAACTTCCAGCCCTAAGCGGAACATTGAGCTTTTCTGACTTTGACATTGCCTCATGTATTAGATTCAACCTCACACTCAGGATCAGAAGTCTCATAAGCATGAACCCTTTTGGTAAACCAATGATTTCTCATGAAAACCCCACGAGAAGTTTCCTCCATGGACACAGAACACCCAGAGAGCACTCAACCCATAATCAAAGAACCAAAAACCAGGGAAGAGGCTCAGAACAATTGGCGATTTTGAGTTGGAAAAACGAAATAGAAAAGACAGTTAGGAAAAACGTTACACGTGCATGAGGCGAATTCAATTTTCGGCTTGAACTTGTAGCCCAATCCTCTTCTTCCCCAAAATCCCATACGTTTCTTCCTCTTTTAGCCTTTTTTACCCTTATTTTCCCTTGCTCTGAAAACCCCAGAGAAAAATAGCAGGAAGAGTGAAAGCCTCCAAAAATGTAATAAGGCTTCACATGTGGAGCTGGAGCTGGCAATGTACTTGATTTCTACACCTACGGGTTATCCATCTCCATCACCACAACCATGAACAACCACCACCACCACCGTTCTCAGCCTCCCTACCACCGATCTCCACTCCCCAACCTCTTCCTCAACACCCCAATCTCCCAGATCGCCCGCCAAACATAATCCCAATCCCAATTCCAAACCCAAAAACCATCAACTTTCATTGGCAAGCGCATGCTCACTGAGTTTCAAGCCCATCAGCAACACCACCACTACCACAATCCTAACAAGAACCTCTATTTACACTCACTGAAACCCAGAAAATTCCAACACTCCTCTCTCATATCCCCTCTCTCTCCCGTAGACTTCTCTTCTTTATCGACAATTACCGGCCCTAACTCTTCATTTACAATGATAATGAAATGAAATGAATATATCTAAGGTAGATTCCAACGAGGGAGAGAGAGAGAGAGAGAGAGAGGAGAGAGAGAGAGAGAGAGAGAGAGAGAGAGCGCTAGTACCTTTGTTGGGAGGAAAAGACAATAAAGCCCCTGCTAATTTGACGGAATCAAACGCTCGGATCTGATTTGTTAATGACTTGAAGCACATTGACGAAATCGGGAAAATTGAAATCACGGTGACTAAATTTCATTTCGAGCCAAACCCAGTGACCAAATTTGTGATTAACCCTTAATTGAATAATTAAATTTAATGACTTAACACATTAAGTCACTCGCTTGTCTAACAAGTGTTGGTCCTAGTCATCCTAAGTTGACCATGTCAAGTGTCATGGGGCTTGGGGTGTAGGGCGGTTGTGGTATGGGTTTGGGGATTGGAGCTTGCAGGTGGTGGTCATGGGGAATGGAAAGAGAGCTTTTTATTTCATTTTTCAGTATCTATTTATTTTTAACGTACGCCATGACCAATTTACCCTCATATTTAATGCAAATATTGACAGAATGTAATGGTAGGACCAATAGACCAAATAATATAGAGTTGATGGACCATTTGAACAAATAATTTAGTTGAGGAATCAAACTATAAATCGGGCATAAGTTCGAGGACCATTTGAGTAAACTATCATGTGAAGAGTTTATGGAGATCAAAGAATATTTTTGGAAAGCAGTCACTGTGTTTGGAAAGCAATCACCATGGTGACAACATTCCACAAAATATTTGTTATACTTGAACCTAAATTGAAGACTCCTTGGCCATCATCACATCTATATGCCAAAGTCTTTTCTTATGGTGGTGACTTTTTTGCCACAAATCCGTCGCCATCAGTACTATAAAAGCTCTTCAACCCTAGCAGCGGCAATATATATTAATGTTGAAAAAGAGAAGCTGCTACATCAATTTACAAATGCTCTATTATTTCTGATACGGCAGTGTAAGTACCAAGAATCATAACTGCAGCTCAAATTAAAATTATGAACCCTATAATCAACCTCACATCCGAGATTTCGGTACGTAGCTGAAATTCTAAGGTAGCAAAAGCATGGAAAGAGAAGTGAAGCTGACACACTCAAAAATGCTTCAACCGGTGACATGAGATATACAAAAAGGGGAACCGCCAAAGCTACTACAACACTGCTGATTACCAAGCTAGTACTGAGGAGAAGGTCGAAGGGTCTTTTATTGCAGTGATTTGGAAATCAATTTTTGGCTGAATTTATTATTGGTGTAACCATTAAAGCACATTTGGATAGTGGATTGACAAGGGTGGTCCATATTGCGATTTTTGAGCTAAGTTTTCGGTTGGGAGGTTTAAAGTTATTTGTGACTGAACTGTTGACCCAAATATTAAGTACCCTAAAACTGCCATTGATTCATATCCAATGGTGAATAAGATAAAGTGTTAATTACAGTTTAGTACCCAGTAGTGACACCTTTAAGACATGTTAGTCCCTATCTTTCCAATTTTTGCAATCATATACTCCGATCTTTTAAATTTGTTACAATGTGGTTCCGCTGTTAGAGTTTCTATCAGATCTCTCTGTTAGCTGCCTACGTGGCCTTTATGGGTCCCACATTTTTTATATTTTTTATATTTAGGTGTAATAAAATATTCATATAATTTTTAAACATCAAAATCAATTTTTAAAAAAAGGGCAAAAAACCCACACCACCCATTTTCTTCATCGTCCAATGGAAAAAGAAAGAAACAAGTGTTTGTCTTAGGGGTGGTTGCGGTTCGGTAACCGCGAATTTTTACTCAAACCGCAAATCGACCGACTATTTGCGGTTTGGTGATTTTTGAAACCGCAAAATGCGGTCGGTTACTGCGAATTAGCGGTTTAAAACCGCAAGTTCTCAAGCATTCACAAAAATATAAATTCACAACCTAAATTAATAAATACACAACCTCAATTTCTCAAACATATATAAATTCACAATCTCCTCAACTTCTCAAGCATTCACAACCTAAGAAAATTAAAGTTACAATTCCAAGCATTCCAATTAAGGTTAAACTTTTCAAGCATTCCAATTCCAAATTCTTTAAAGTTACAAACCAAAATGAAAATGCAAAGCAAAATGAATTAAAGTTACAACCAAAAATAAAAATCTAATTCAAAGTTAATTAAAGTTACAAACTAAAAGGAAAATGCAATACACCAATGTTACAAACTAAAGTTACAAACTCAAGTGTTGGTGGTGAGTGGATTTGAAGAACCCCGTTGTGTTGTTTGAGCACCAACGTTATTTACAAATAAAACAACATAGTTTAGTACATTTTATTATAAGAAGAAGCATAAATAATATTAGCATAAATAAACTAATTACTTACAAGTTGTCATATGTTCCATTTCCTTGTAGAATTCAACCTCATCATCCGTGCGACTATACTTTGTGGTTTGCGGTTTGCGGTAACCACAAGTTTTGAAAATCAAATACCGCAACCGCAACCGCAAATGCGGTTTAGTTCTTAATACCGCAAATGCAGTTCGGTTTACCGCGATTGCGGTTTCATTGCAGTAAATTGTCGATTGGTTTTTCCGGTTTTTTGGTTTAAAATGCCATCCCTAGTTTGTCTTCATTGCCAACACCACACCACCCATTTTGTCCTCTGATCTGAACCCTCTTCTTCTTCTCTGTCAGTTGCAACCTTTTTATCAAGACCTAATTTTCCATAGACTCTTTTTTTATCTATTTTCAAGCAATGGAGAAGCAAAAACTAAACCCATAAATTAGAGAATTTGGGGAAGGGAACCAGAAATTTGTGGCATAGATACTGAATGAAAAGCTCTTCATTTGTGACACAAAATTAAAACTTGAAAATTTTCAAAACTTGGAAGTTGAATGCAAAAAATTTCAGAGAGAGGTCAAACTCTTCATCCTCCCTTGCAAACTCAAACTCCAGATCCCATGGTCCCTAGTGCACCCATACCCGACCCAATAACTCAAAACGACTTTGGCGAGATCCGATGAGTGAGATGGTGCCTAGATCTGGGAGGTGATTGTGAGAGAGAGAGAGAGAGAGAGAGAGAGAGAGAACAAAGACCTGGAGACAGAGAGATGCGGTTGGTGGTTGGCTTAATTATAGGTATGTTTATATTTAAATAAATAAATATGTATGTTTATATTTAAATAAATAAATATATATGTTTATATTTAAATAAATATATATGTTTATATTTAAATAACTAAATATATAATTATAATATTTATGTTTAACCCTAAGTTAACCTCCCTCTCCTAATTCTTCCTAATCTTCTTTGAAATTTCATATTGATGTAATTTTGAATAGTTGAGTAGAACTTCATAGTTAATTTGGATGTATTGAATGATAATTTAATATGAAACTTAATGTTAAAATGTATGATAAATATTTTTTTATGCAAATAAAATCAGATATTTGGAGCTTGTATGGGGGACGGGGATTCCCCGAAACCTATTAAACGGAGATGGGTTCGGGGACGGGGGTGGGGATGGAGAGCAGGAAAGGGGATGGTATTGTCATACCCGGCCCCTACCTGACCCGTTGCCATCTCTAAGAAGAACTACAATAATATTTTAAAAATTTTGGTCTTCCGTATAAACCCTAGTAGCATAAACTAATATTTTTTTCTTCTTCTCTTTTTCTTCAATTTTTCCCAAAAAAAATTATATTTTATTCATATATTAATCAATTTAAAATTAAAAAAAGAAAAATATGAGACCCATAAATGCCACGTAGGCAACTAATGGATTGATCTGACGAAAGACCTAACGGTGGAATCATATTGTAACAAATTTAAAAGATCGGGATATGTGATTGTAAAAATTGAAAAGATAAGGACTAACATGTCTTAAGGGTGTTACTACAGAGTACTAAACTGTAATTAACCCTAAGATAAAGCACAGGAGGAGGACCTGCAACCAAAAAAAAAACATATTGAAAGTTGTTAAACAAATTTCAAGACTGCTGAAAAAAATAGAGTATCTGAATTATCATAATAAAATATCTATTGTGAACATCCACCAAATTTTCTGATACTCATGATATCCATAATGAAATCTCCTAGTGGAAAAAAAGATTAGGTGATGAAACCCTAGTATAATTGATGACGAAAGTCGAATGACATGTCACATGTATGTGATAGACAAAAACTAGTCTCAAAATTTTTTTTTTTTTTTTTTTTTTTTTTTTTTTCTGGACGATAAAACTAGTCTCAAAAGCTTGAACTGTTAGGGAATAGGCCAACCCTCCACCCTATAGACCAACAAAAAAGTAAGGAACAAGAATCAAACTTAGAACCCTTGCAAAGAAAAGTCTGATACTCCTTCAGAAAGTTTGAAAGCTTAAGCTATTAGGAAATGAACCCTGAGTGTATATAAAGCAAACAATTAATTTGTACTTACATTTGAGAACTGGCGTTTGTTTTACATTGATGTGTAGAGTGCAGGGAACACCGGATGTGCACAATAGCAGAAGGCATATAAGCTAACAGAAGTAGGGATTCCATTCCAATTAAGTGGAACTAATCCCTCTTGGTGAAATCCAATCCTATCAAAAGCACCATTCCACAAAATTGACCCAAGTAGGGGTGGGCATTGGAACCAGAAAACCGGAACACCGAACCGAATCAAATAGAAAAACCTGAAATGAAATCGATTGACTAAAAAAGTCAACAAATTGACACCGAACCAGATTGGACCGGTTTGAACTGAACTGGTTATATTAATTTTTTATTTATTTATTTTAAAATATCTTATACTTAAGCCCAATTCCATTTAACCCAAATAAAAACCCAAACTTTAAAACGCATGTACCTTTTATTTTCCAAGCCCATTCCAATCCCACTTCCCAAAGAGCTGCTCTCTTTTGGTATGCTTTTTATTTTTGCCCTTCTCTCTCTCTCTGTCTCCCGCTTCCCCTTTTCTTTTCTTTTCTCTATTCTTTCTTCTCTCTCTTCCCTTTCCCATTTCTTTTCTTTTCCTATTCTTTTTGTCATTCTCTGATCTCTCTCTCCCCCTTCCCCTTTTCTTCATTCCTTCTTCTCTCTCTCTCTTTCCCGTTTCTTTTTCTTTTCTTCCTCTCCCTTTACTTTTTTTATTTCTTCTTCTTCTTCTCTGCGACTTCTCTCTCTCTCTCCCTCTTTTCCTTTTCTTTCCTTTCTAACGTTCCCTTTTCTTTTCTTCTTTTTTCTTCTTCTTCTCTGCAACTTCACTCTCTCTCTGCCTTTTTTTTTCTTCTCTACAACTTCACTCTCTCTGTTTTTTTTTTTTTTTTTGCAACTTCACTCACTCTCTCTCTCTCTCTCTCTCTGTGATCTGATGAAGAGGATGAAAGGAGTTCTTGCTATGGAGCCTTCTTCATATGCTGGTAACGAAGATCCTAGGACTAGATTCAAGCATCAAAGTCTCATGCAAGGAGAAATTTGGTGTTGTATTCATTTTTTTTGTGTGGTTTCATTAGATCTTGTTTTTTTTTTGGTGAGATCATTGGTGTGTTTATGGGTGTGTTTTGTGTCTATCTCTAGCATTAGATTGTTTAGGGTTATTTTTATGTTGAGCCGTATGAGAATATGAAAGGAAAATTTTCATATTTTTTAGCCGAAAAGTAAGAATTGTTTAACCAAATTTATGTTTTTTTTCCTTATTGTCTACTATGTATGTGACTTGCTAGAGAACCGGTTCAAACCGGAAAACTGGAAAACTAGACTAGAAATAACCAGTTTCAGCTTGATCCGGTGTCTCTCTTGTTTTTTTCAAAAATTGGACCGGACTGGACTGGATGAATAGTACCAATTTCGGTTTTGGTGTGAGCTGCAAACCAGACCGCGCCCATCCGTAGACCCAAGGATGATAGCAGAGGCAAAAACCCCACTTGCAGAGACATAAGAAATAAGGCTCAAGTTATCTAACCACACAGATGGCAGCACAATAAGTGCAGCAACTGTTATAAAACATTTTTTTTCCTCCAATTATGAAAGCAGACTCTTGCAGTTCAATGTTTGGACATAAGTTGTGTAGGTTATCTCCTTCACTACTACATTTTACTATTTGCGCGACGACAATTCGCACGACGAATCAAATTTCGTCGCACAAGAGTAATTTTGTGCGACGAAAAATATGTACAGTAGCGCAAACTTTTATCACATTTGCGCGACAAAAATTTTCATCACACAAAATCAATTTGCGCGACAAAGAAATAAATCGGCGCACAAACCAAGTAGAAAAAACGTGGGCCAACTTTTATTGGTGCGAAACAATTGTGCAATGAGAAATATTGTCGCGTAAAACACTTAGCGCGACGAAAAATAGATACATGTGAGAAAGGAAATTTTTATGTGGTGCCAAAAGCTTGCATGACGAAAATATTCGTCGCAAAAGGAAATTTCACGCGACAAGAGAGATTTTCAGTCGCACAAAAAAAACGCAGGAATTATTTTTTGGCGCCATAATCGCGCGACCAGTAGACCTTTTGTCGCATAAAATTAGATGTCGGCTGCTTGTTGCGCGAAGGATGTTGAATTTGCGCGATGCCTTTTGGCGTTTGAGTGACGCAAAGTTATGCGACGAAAAAGTTTTTGTCGTGGCACTAAAGTTGGATGTCGGCTCGTACTTGCACAACGAAAATCAGAGTTTTGCGCGACGAAATCTTGGACAACGAATTATATTTTCATCGGACAAAGGTTAGTCTTCTTCAAATCTGAGTTTTGCCATGGCAGAGGCAGAAAGCTAAGAATTTCTGCCTCTGCTGCTGCTGCTTCTCCTAGGAATTCACTACATTTAGTAGGTGAGTATATTTTGTCATTAGTTTGAGTGTATTCATGTAAAATCATACTAATGCTATTAATTTCGTTCTCTGTAGAGATATTTGATGTGATTAGCAGTTGGTGGAGAACAATTGAGAAGGTACTTTATTTGTTTTATATTTGAATAATTTAAATTAATTACATTGTGTTAATTTAGGTTGTTAGGTTGTTATGTTTTTTTTTTTTTTTTTTTTTTTTTTTTTTTTGTTGTTGTGATTGATTGTGATGACGGACCACATGTGTTGTAATGTACGAAGTTAATTTCAATTAACTTCGTACATATTTTTTAATTTTTAATTAAACTTAGTTTCCCGTTTGAGAGTAGTTGGATTTCGTGCATGGATGCGTAATGCATGACTGCGGTCCAATTATTACTTGAATTGTCCCATTATTTGGACAGTTTGGGAATCCATAGGCATGTCACGTAATTTACGGCTACAGGATTAGGTTTCGGTTGTGGTGATTTCGTTGTCATCTCTATACATTCTTCGGGTGGTACGTAGGTATTTTGTACTTACGGTACACCTCAAGAACTATATCGAGATGTTGCCGGAATTTATCCATGTCGAAATTTAATCTCATGTAGCTGTAAATTACGTGACAAGATTATGCATTCCTGAATGGGATAGGACCCTTACCGGAGGCATAAGGAGAGGCATTATGATTGCGTATGAAGTGGTTGTGATTGTTGTATTTTGATTATGGTTCCAGGAATTATGAACAGGAGGTGGATACAGAATCCAAATAGATACGCAGAGGAATACTTGGATGGAATCGATGATTTTATTGACTTTGCACGTACACATAACCCGGGTGCAACTAGAATTCGATGTCCGTGTAGGAGGTGTAACAACACATTGTGGGAGACAATTGAAAATGTCCGATTTCATTTAGTAAGAAGTGGAATGATTGAGACATATAGCACTTGGAACCATCATGGGGAACAATTAGACAAAGCTTCCTCTTCAAGGGCCACAAGAGTGGACAATGTTGAACCTATTTTGGATCCTAATGAACATGTCATGGATATTATAAACGATGCTTTTTCATTTGCATCAACCAACATCAATCAAGAAGAGGAAGATGACATGCCTACATCAATAGACAATGCGAAGCTCAAACAGTATGAAAAACTGTTAAAAAATGTCAACCAGAGTTATACCGGGGTGCGATAGTTTTTCCGTTCTTGCGGCCATTGTGGAGCTAATGCAGGGAAAAATAAGGTATCGTATGTCGAATCAGTGTTTCGATTACTTTTTGGGCCTTTTCAAGAGAATGCTTCTAACGGACATTTGTTTGCCGAAAGACCATAGACAAGCGCAGAAGGTCTTGAATGGCCATGGATTGGGTTATAAAAAAAATTCACGCATGCAAAAACAATTGCATGTTATTCTACAAATAGTACGAAACATTGGATACATGCCCTATATGCAATGAGTCGAGGTTCAAAATGACTTCTCATAATAGAATGACTAAGATCCCACAAAAAGTTATGCATTATCTGCCCCTGAAACCTAAGCTGCAGTGATTGTAAATGTCGACGCATACTGCCACAGACATGAGATGGCATAAGGAAAAACAAGTAGACGACGATGTGATGCGACATCCTGCAGATGGGGAGGCATGGAAAGAGTTCAATCGAACGTTCCCCGAGTTTGCTGCTGATTCCCGAAATGTTAGATTGGGACTTGCCACTGACGGATTCAATCCGTACGGGGTTCTAAACTAACACCACAGCATTTGGCCAATTTTCGTATTCCCATATAATTTGCCGCCTTGGAAATGCATGAAAAAAGAATACATGATGATGATTGTTTTGATAACTGAGGATCCTGGCAGGTCAATCGATGTGTACTTAAGGCCGTTGGTTGATGAGCTGAAGGATTTACGGACAAACGGTGTGCGCACGTTTGATAAATCGACTAGGGAAAATGTTCACTTTACGGGCAGCAATTATGTGGACGGTGAATGATTTTCCCGCATATGGAATGGTTTCTAGATGGAGCACAAAATGTTAAATGGCATGCCCTGTATGCAAGGAAGATGTAACTTTTGGTTGGCATGCTGGAAAAGTTTGTTATCTTGGTCATCGGGGATGGTTGTCAGCGGACAAAGGATAAAGAGTTCGACGGGAACATAGAGCGTCAGCTCAGACCGAGGGTAATGGTCCGGTGATGAGATCTTGGAACATCTTCACCGTTTGGATTTTGCTTCGTTCAGAAAAACAGTTAGTCAGCTCAGACCTTTTACACATTTGAACTGGACGCACAAGTCTATGTTTTTTGAGCTCCCATATTGGTCGAAACTAATATTGAGGCACAATCTTGACGTTATGCATGTTGAGAAAAATGGGTTTGACATATTGATGGGCATGATTCTAGATATCGAGGGCAAGACAAAGGACACGATCAAAGCGCGTCTTGATTTGGAAAGAATGGGCATATGAAAGGATTTATGGATGAACAGGGACAACGATAAAGCTAGAAGGGATCTTGAATTTTTTTCCATCAAAACCGAGTGATAAAAAAGATTTTCTAAAGTTTGTATCGTCTGTAAAGTTTCCTGATGGGTATGCTTCTAATATTGTGCGCTGCGTAAATGTTGACGGGGGTAAATTTGCTGGACTAAAGAGTTATGACTGTCATGTTTTTATGCAACGCCTACCTCCTGTGGGTATTCGACACCTATTGCCGGAAGATGTAGTGAAATCAATCATGTTGTTGTCCAGATTTTTTTCACAACTCACGGCAAAAACCTTGCGAAAGACAAACATTAATCAGTTGCGGCATGACATTGTCCAAGTCCTATGCAAGTTTGAGATGATATTCCCTCCAGCTTTCTTTACAAGTATGATCCACGTGATGGTTCACTTGCCAGAAGAGGCATTGCTTGCTGGTCCTGTCAACTATCGTTGGATGTATCCAATAGAAAGGTACGCTTGTTCCTCATCCTTCATTTATGCATCATTATCCCACGCTTGCTAATTTGAATCGAATCATTTTACTTTTGCAGGCTTCTCGGCGAGCTGAAAAAAATTGTACGCAACAGGGCGAAGCCCGAAGGATCAATTATAGAGGCATGAGTTCAATACGAGTCGCTTACTTTCTGTGGAATGTATTGAAAAGATGTCGAGACAGCTTTCAATCGTCCTCAGAGCAATAATGACAGAGGTGTGAGAAATGAGAAACTTTCTGTTTTTGCCCAAAGCGCATGACCCTTTGGAGATCCTGCACGAGGAGAGTCGTTTTCTAGAAATGACATGGAGGTAGCGCATTGGTTCGTACTCAACAATTGTGATGAGATAATGGCATACTTAGATGAGCATGAGGAGATGATGAAGCGAGAACATCCATCACATTTGTATGCCAAGAAACACCGTGAATTATTTCCACAATGATTTTTAGAATATGTAAGTTATAATTGTTTTTCACATATATATTCTAGTATTTAATATTCTCAAACTAACAAACTTCGTTTTGTACAATATTAGGTGAATAAGTTGAAATCATCGAATTTCCCCACGTACAGTGGAGAGTTATATAACTTAGCGTTCGTGCCGATTCGGGCAAAATTATTTTGGGAACTGCACGAGATGACAAGTTGTGTACGCAAAACAGCGGTGTCCATGTCCCAGGGGGAGGCGAAAGTACGGACATTGATTTCTATGGCAAACTCTCAACTGTCGTGCAATTGCTTTACAAAGACCGATACCAAGTCATCATGTTTAAGTGTTCATGGTTTGATACAAACCCAAGTAGGCAGGGAAGTGTTAAAATCAATCATGGCTTACTATCTATGAACATTAACAAAACTTGGTATGATGACGACCCTTACATTTTGGCAAACATGGCTACACAGATTGTGCATCTAGATGACCTTAAAGTAGGGAGCGGTTGGAAAGTTGTTCAGAAGATGGATCAGAGGAACGTGTATGCTATATCAGAAATAGACCCAACCGACAACGTCGCTAACCATCGCGCAGAATCTTCAATTGAAAATGATGCAGAAACACTTCGAGATACAAGTGTTATACAAGAACTGTTTCCGATACAAGGAGTCTCATCAATTGAATACCGATTCAGTCAATTACAATTGACCTTGGTGATCTCCCGCGGTACGATGTTGCAGTGGGGCACCACATTGACGATGATGTAGTTATAGAGGAGAAGGATTGAGAGACCGAAAGTGAGGATAGCGACGATAACGAAAGTTATTATACTTCAGATGATGAATAGTATAATTTATTTGTGACTTCCCATGTAAAACATAGTCAGTGTAATTTTTTGTAAGTTAATTATGTTTATGTAAAGCTTTTGCCAAATATGCTTATTTGAATATATATGTACTGCAGAATCTTCAAAAGAAAATGATAAATTAAAATAAATTGGCCGACAAAAGAAATTGAGAAATTAAAACAAACTTTAACATTTCCTTAGCAAAATAGAAGGACAAAAATATGAATATGAGAAACAAGCCTTACAAGTCAATGTAATTATTCTCCATTATAATTGAAACAAAAATAAAAAAATTAACATTTTTGGGGCCACACTTAATGGGGTTCAATGATCTAATTCGTCATCTCTATTTAAGAATTATTCATGTAAAACCGAAAATTAATTGGTTGACTATATAACGGCGTTATTATGAACTAGGAAAAAAATGAAAAAAACGAAATATCTTTTTGCGTGACGAATAAAGCGAACTGTCGCGCATTTTTTGCGCGACGAAATGTGTACTCGTCGCACAAGAGGGCTTTACCCGACCAATAATTCCGTCGTCGCACAAATATATATAAATATAGACAATGTATATAATACATTATACTAAGTTATATTATACACTGTATATTTTTTTTTCATGTGTATAGAAATATATAAATATTTAAGGGAATTTATTAATACGATTTTATAAAATTTATATGTTATACAATTATATAAATATATAATGTATATATAAATATGAAGGTTTTTTATATATAAATATACATATATGTGCATGCCATCTATATAATGTATGTGTGTGCAAGGAGGAAATATATGTATATAGCAATACGTATATAAACAATATGCCTCATTGACATTGTGGTGAGTTTGTACAAGTTAATGTACTCAAACTTCATAATGTACCGGCTATGTTATCGATGAGTAATTAAGTCTTTGTTAAATTGAAAATGGTCAATCCTAATTCAAATCAGACCTTATGATCCACATTCTAATCATTTTTTCAAAATAATGGCAAGGAACATCCACTTTTTTTTTTTCATTTAAAGGGGAATTTAGAAATATGATTTCAAACAATTTTTGCGCGACGAAGGGAGCAACTTGTCGCACAAACGTTAGTGGTACGGCGATAGCTGTCGCACATATAACCTTTGTGCGACGAAAAGCCAAAGATGCGTTGAGCATAATGTCTTTATGCGACGATGGAAGCTTCGTCGCATTATGGTATGACTATGGCTTTAGGGTTTAGGGTTCAAGCAGGGTTTCCGTTTTGCGCGACGGATAACTCGTCGTCGCGCAAGAGTCTGAAATTCTGAACGTTATGACGTCCTTGCGCGACGGTTCGTGCTTAACCGTCGCGCAAGGGGCTAGAATTTTTAGGGTCGTTTAGGGTCCTTGCGCGACGATTTGAACTAAATCATCGCGCAAGGGGCTGGAATATTTGGCGGCCTATCATCCTTGCTTGACGGTTTGTTTTTTTGTCGCACAAGGGTCTAAAATTTTTAGGGTTTAGGTTCCTTGCGCAACTGTTTTTGTTTTTTGTCGCACTAGGGTCTGTAATTTTTAGGGTTTAGGTTCCTTGTGCGACGGTTTGTCTTTTTTGTCGCGCAAGGGGCTGAAATTTTTGGCAGCTTGACGTCCTTGCGCGACGATTTCTCTTTTTTTGTCGCACAAGCGGTTGAAATTTTGGGCGACGTGACGGCCTTGCGTGACAGTTAAGCACGAAATCGTCGCGCAAGGGTCCGAAATTTTGATCGTTGTGATATTTGTGCGTGACGGTTTTGACTTTATCGTCGCGCAAGGGTCAAAAATTATATGTTGCGTGACAGTTTTATTTATTCGTCGTGCAAAGGCCTGTAAATTTTCTGAAAAACACGACATACCCTAGTTTGGTCTATCTCCTCCCCTCGTCTCCCTCTCTCTCCCGATTGCCCCACAGCCATGACCCCCACGTCCTGCCTCCTAACCTACACCTAGCCCTTCCGCTGACCACCCCTTCGAAGCCTAGCCCTTCAACTGCCGCAACATCGCCTAAATTGCCCCGATTTTCGTCGATCAATTTCTCTCTCCTCCGGCCATGAAACCAGGCGATTGAGGTATGCATTGTCGACTAAATTTCATGCTCTAGCTGATGGTTGGATAGGATTTTATGAATTATTGGTTTTGGTATGTGAATTTGTAGAAAATAAATTGGCCAGTTATTGATTTCAATTTCCGACCACTTCCGGCCATTTTTCGGGGTAGGCCCAAGAACCAAAGTGGCTCCAATTGTTGTTTTGAACCTAGGGTAGGAAGCTTGGCCAGTAATTTTGTAATTTTGTGAATTTTCAGGCCGTGTGAATTTTCAGGTGCGTGTGTACTGTAGCAGAGCGACATTGTGTCCCACTGTGATCCCCTAGTTATCACGAGCACGTAGGTGTGTTTGGATTTCAAATTGGTTACCGTTTCAGTGTCGAATGGATTTCGACTATTGTACGATTTTTCAGGTTTAATGTGTTCGGACCGTTGGATCGAACTAAAAATCACGTATGTTGTTCCGTGTATTTCTAGGATCGTATAGGATTCGATTGATTTTCGATCGGAGTCCTGGATACTCTGGAATCGCTACGTTAATAATTCTGATATGTTTTTGTTTTATTAGTTGTTGAAATTATTATTTTTATTTCATTACACGTTAACCCAATTAGATTAACTATGTTACAGGCTTTACCAAAAAAATTATTAAATGTTACATTTTTTTCCTTGGCCAAGATGTCAAACCTTATTCGAAGCCATAAGGCGGTCACCATTGGATAGAGTTCGCCTCCTCCGGCTCAACCTGCTGCTATCATTGCTCTAGCACAGATGGAGCAGTTGCGTCGTGATTCCCCAGTATGAGTGACACAGCATCAACGTCATCTATGGCACAACCTCTTAGTGCCAGACGTCGTCATCCCCCCCTCCCCCCAGCATGAGTGACACAGCATCGACCGATGGTACTGGTGCGTCGGGATCACAGCCAGGTAAAGATTGCCTTGAATCCATCTGTTGTTGTCCAACATTTTTGTATGATTACCATAAGAATATAATTTCTATTTCTTTACAACCAAGAAGAACACACGGGGACCTTGTCGGCAGTTGAAGACGGCGAAGGTCACCCGAGTGACCAACAATCGTATTAGCATCGAATATGACGTGCGGCGTCGGGCTGCACCAATGGCTAAATTGCATAGCTCTTTGGCCCACGACGTTGGTCACGTCGTTTGGACCTATTGCCCTATGCAATGGAAGTCTTGGAAGGTCATGCCTGATGAGATGCGGACGAAGGTGCTCGGACAGTTGTCGGTATGTATCCTACTATTTAAATGTTTTTCTTTCAAACTTTCTATTTTTCTATTACTTAATGTATGTAATTAATAAATTGCAGACAAACTACAATTTAGAGGACCTCGATGACGAGTCGGTAGCGTACTTCAACAGACTCTTTGCTGAGAGGTACAAGCAATGGAAGAGCGACTTGCACCACAATTTTCAGTGATTTGATGATCCGCAGGTCGCTCTTCAGGAGGGTTGCCCGAAGGAGCTGGAGGGGCGGGAGGATAGCTGGGCATGGCTCTGCAGTCATTTCCAGGAGTCTGATTATGCGGTAATTTGTTTTAAAATTCATTTCAATATTATTACATGTTTTTTTTACTAATATTTATTTTTTATTTATATTTCATTTCAATTTCAATTTCAACTATACGTTTATTTTTTGTATAACAGAAGGCGGCGAAAGCAAATAAGGGCAATAGGAACAAGAAGACGCTTCTCCACCATTTAGGTTCTAGGCCATTCTCATATAGGATGGAGGCACGGTGGCGGGTAATAAAGTTGTTTATATTAAATTTGTAATGTCATTAAAATATTTTTTTTCGTACTAACACTTTTCTTCTCTTGTTCAATTCAGGGGGGTCCAAATTCCAGGGAATCAACGTCTTTGGCGACGTTTATGTTCGAGCTGGCAATGAGTTGGCGAAGTCCCTTCATGTAATTATTATTATATTTTAATTTTTATCTTATGCATTCAAGTTTCATAATTACTATATGAATGTTGTAATTAATATTTTATATTATGTCAAACAGGCGATGATGCTGTAGAGGAGCCAGATGGTTCTTCATGAGTCCGCCTCTCAGCTTCCTCCTGACACTCCACTCGGGTCTGTGGATCCTGCACAGGATGCGGGGTTTCAGACCCTGACCGAGACATTGGATCAAACTCTTCAGAGGAGGCCAGGGACATATTGTCGCGGGATGGGGAATGCCAGGCGGAGGGAACCTGTAGGCCCTTCATCGTCGCAGTCAAACCAAGTGACTGCTTTGACTGCAGAGGTGGCCGAGCTGAAGACCCAACTCGCCTCGTATAGTACCCAGATGGCACAAATGTCACAGCTTCTAGCATCGATCGTTCGGTCTGGCATTCCAGCTCCAACTATTGGTCCCTCATCCACCTCCGACTCTATCCAGCCCAAGCATGGCCACCATACCTCCGAGCATGGCGACAAGACCTCTGCCCCTATCGACCATGTCCAGACTTCGGAGCCGCATTTCCAAAATGACGACATAGATTTTGGAACATTATTTTGATTATTTTTTTACTTTTTTCATTATATTTGAAACATTTTTATTGTATTCTATATATTTATATATATATTTTCCTGAAATTTGGTTTTCTACATTTTTTTTTATTGCAATTTGATTTTATTAAAAAAATCCTACTTTTTTTAACAAACTATAAAAAACAAAAAAAACAAAAAAAATATATATTTAATTAAATAATATGTATCATTTTGCGCGACGAAAAGTTGTCGTCGCGCCAATTGCAATACGAAAATATATTTTTGCGCGACGAATGTAATCTTCGTCGCGCATTCGTCGTCCAAATGTTTGCGACACAAAGATGTCTCCCGTCCCCACAAAACGTGCGACGAAACATTTGTCATCGCGCAAAGTTTCGTGCGATTACAAAATCTTCGTCGCGCAGACATTTGGCACACGAAGGATTCCCTCGTCCCGAATTTTCAGCGCGAGAATTTCTTCCGTCCTACAAGGATTGGCGAGACGAAAAATTTATTGTCGCGCAAGGGTTGGCGAGACGTATGGTATATGCGACAAATGTTTCCCCGTCACTATTTTCGCATGACCAATGAACAGTATTTGTCGCGCAAACCCTTTCTTTACAATCTTTATTCGATGGACTGTGCGTGACAAGGTTTTTATCGCGCATTTTTTTGCGCGACCAGATTCCTCTTTGTGCAACAAAAAATTATTCGTCGCGCAATCTGTAAAATGTGGTAGTGCTTCTAGAGTTAGGAAAGCTGTTGAAACTAACTATTCTTCCCTTCTTCCCAAATGCATGTTCACCAATGTCAGGATAAGTTCTTATAGTAGAATCCTCATCCATGCATCTTTGAATTAACAAGCCTGAGTAAAATGCAGCAGCAGCAATCACAAAAATAGGTATCAAGCTTAGCCATCCTCCTGATGATAGTGCATAAGGAACTGACAATATCCCAACTCCTGAAACCAAATTAAGAAGAGTAAACGAAACAATTGGCTAAGGTTGCATTGAGGAAAGTACAATTGAAATGAAAATCTATCAATTTAATCAATATATGTAAAATATATTGAGTTCTTCACTGAACATGTTATGGATGAGGATTCCCTCCAGCTTTGCCGAAAGATGTAGTGAAACCAATCATGTTGATGGGGGTAATCAGTTGCGCTATGACATTGTCCAAGTCCTCTGCAAGTTTGAGATGATATTCCCTCTAGCTTTCTTCACAAGTATGATCAACGTGATAGTTCACTTGCCAGAAAAGGCATTGCTTGTTGGTCCTATCAACTATCGCTGGATGTATCCAATAGAAAGGTATATAATCCTCATCATTTTTTATGCATCACGATGCCACGCTTGCTAATTTTTATCGTTTCGTATTATTTTGGCAAGCTTCTTGGAGAGTTGAAAAAAATTGTACGCAACAGGGCAAAGCCCGAATGATGAATAATAGAGGCTTGGGTGCAATATGAGTCGCTTACTTTCTGTGGAATGTATTTAAAAGATGTGGACATGGCTTTCAATCATCCTCAGCGCAATAATGGCGAAGGTGTGAGAAATGAGAAACTTTATGTTTTTGCCCAAAGTGCACGACCATTTGGAGATCTTGCACGGGGAGAGTCATTTTCCAGAAATGACATGGAGGTAGTGCATTGGTTCGTACTGAACAATTGTGATGAGATAATGGCCTACTTAGATAAGCATGAAGAGATGATGAAACGAGAACATCCATCACATTTGTATGCCAACAAACACCGTGAATTGTTTCCACAATGGTTTTTGGAATATGTAAGTTACAAGAGTTTTCTACACATTTGACATATATATGTTGTATTATTTAATTTTCTCAAACTAACATGTGAATGTTTTTGTATAATATTAGGTGAATAAGTTAAAATCATCGAATTCCCTCACTTACAGTGAAGAGTTATATAACTTGGCGTTCGACCCGATTCGCGCTGAATTATTCTCAGGTTGCCATGTTAATGGCGTCAAGTTTTTGGGGATTGCATGAGATGACAAGTTGTGTACGCAAAACAGCGGTGTCCATGTCCTAGGTGGAGGCGAAAGTACTGACATTGATTTCTATGGCAAACTCACAACTGTGGTGCAAGTGCTTTAGAAAGACTGATACCAAGTGATCATGTTTAAGTGTCGATGGTTTGATACAAACCCAAATAGGTAGGGAAGTGTTAAAATCGACCATGGCTTACTATCTGTGAACATGAACAGAACTTGGTATGATGACGACTCTTATATTTTGGCAAATATGGCAGCAAAGATTGTGTATCTAGATAACCCTAAAGCCGGGAGCGGTTGGAAAGTTGTTCAGAAGATGGATCAAAGGAACATTTATGCTATACCAAAACTAGGCCCAACTGACAACGATGTCAACAACATCGCTGTCCAACATTTCGAATCTTCAATGAAAAATGATGCGGTAACACTTCGAGATACAAATGTTATACAAGAACCGTTTCATATACAAGGAGTGTCTACAACGACGATGATGTAGTTATAGAGGAGGATTGAGAGACTGAAAGTGATGATAGCGACGATAACGAAAGTTATTATAGTTCAAATGATAAATAATGCAATTTATTTTGACTTGCCATGTAAAACATAGTAAATGAAATTTTTTGTAATTTCATTATGTTAGTGTAAAGATTTTGGCAAATATGCTTGTTTGAATATATGTACTTGTTATATCCAAACCTTATATATGTGGAGAAATGAAACATTGTTAAATAAATTGAGCTATAAAAGAAAATGAGAAATGAAAAAAAATTGAGCTAAAAAAACATTGTTAAATAAATATATCCAAATCATTTTGGTAATATTTTTAAAATCGTTTGTAGAGAACATTTTCTCAACAAAGGAAATTGAGAAACAAAGACATTCCCTTAGCAAAATAAAAGGAAAAAAAATGAAAATGAGAAGCGGCTTCTTTTAAGTTGATACTACATAATATATTAATATATTAAAATGACATATAATAGGAGTTGTTGATTGATACTAAATCCGATGGCCACATATATATTTTTTTTTGGGGTTCATTATAATTAATAATTTGATAAACCACGGGTTTTTTTATTTATTATTTTATGTTCCTTGTTGAATTATTTGTTTGATAATCCTTTAGCTATTGATGTCTAGTTTCAAATTTGCTATCAATATATATGGTCCAATTCTTTAAATTTGCTATCAATATATATGGCCCAATTCTTTTTATATAATTTTGTTCAAGACTTGTGACATCTAAAATCTCATAGCCGCCCTTACAATGAGTAGTTTTAAATTTGCTATCAATATATATGGTCCAATTCTTTTTATATAACTTTGTTCAAGACTTGTGTCACCTAAAATCTCAAAGCAGCCCTTACAGTGTAATATAAAGTGGAAAAGAAAGATGGGAAATTATTGTATAATCACCCTTTGGTCTTGAGGTCTTCTTATACATAGTGTTTAAAAATATATATAGAATCATTTCAAATTAAATAACTAATTAAATAGTCTTTGGTAGGGTTGTGTATCATTTTGAAACCAATGTAATTTAGCCAATTCGCATCCAATCCAATATATATTGAATCATGATTTTTTTTTCAATCCAATCCGATCAGACTAAAGGTTTAAATTCAATATCCGATTCAATTTATATTGGATTGGATGATTAGTTTTCATAATTAAAAAACATAATAATGAAATATGTAACATTTATCGTTATGTTTAATCTAACCAAAATATTTTAATAGACATAAATCTCAAATATAAATGATATGCTAGAGAAAATTGTTTTGATTCTATAATATATTATACCTTAATATTTATTTTGCCCGACCAATTTATATATCCTAACCAACCATCAGACTAAGCAGATATTAAAATGAAATAAATTTGTTTTGTTCAACGAGTTCCTATTTATTTGATTACTTTGTCTTGGATGCTTGTTTAGTTCTGCAGATGTCAAACCTTCTTAGAAGTCGTAAAGCGGTGACGACTGCACAGAGTTCGCCTCCCCCGACTCAGCCGTCAGCTGCCACTGCTCCAGCCCAGTTGGTCCCAAGGTGCCCCATGCACCAACGTCATCAGCGTTATTAGTGGCACAACCTGTTAGCACTAGGCATCGTCACCGGCCCGCCAGCACCACTAACACCATATCGATAGACGCTACTAGTGCATCGGGGTCACAACCACGTAAAGATTTCCTTCAACTCCAGTTGTTTTGGACCAATATATTTATAGTTGAATTTTTTATTTATTTAACATTAATTTCATATTTGTTTGCAGCCAAGAAGAACACCCAGTGGCCGTCTCGGCAGTTGAAGACGGCGAAGGTCACCTGGGTGACCAACAATCGTATCAACATCGGATACGACGAGCGGCATCGGATTGCACCAACATCGGAATTGCATAGCTTATTGGCCCACGACATTGGTCACGTCGTTCGAACCCATTGCCCGATGCAATGGAAGTCTTGGAAGGTCATGCCTGACGAGATCAAGACGGAGGTGCGCGGACAGTTGTCGGTATGTATCCTACCTTTTAATTATTTTTCCTTCAAACTTTATATATTTATATTACTTAATGTATGTAATTCATTTATTGCAGACAATGATTGAAATATCGGCCGATACACCGATATATCTGCCGATATATCGGTATTTTCAACTGTCGACGCCGATACAGGGGGTAAGGTCATATCTTCTCCTGTATCGACGATATATCCCCGATAAGTGCGATATCCTTGATATTTCCCAATACCCATAATAGAACTCAACAAAAATTTAGAAGTTTGAAGGCAATTGAAGCAAATTGAAACCCAAAAATAACTAATCCTTGCCTAGAACCCTAGAATTTATTAATATGAAGAATCTACGCACAGTCCACTGCCCATATACCTCCAATCCATCTGAAGAGGACATGACAATCAATTTTGGATCTATGAGCATAGGAACTAGACCTAGTACTAACTCAAATGAATCTTTATGATGGCTATGGTTATGTCATGTCTGATTATAGTGGAACTAGTTATGGAGCTTAAGATGATAAAAAAGATTATGAACCTACTAGTTGGTTAATCCTAACTATCCCATATATGGGAGGACAATAGGGAGCTCAAAAGAGACCTATGCGCACCATGTTCAAACATGGCTTATAAACTGCTCGAGTTACATGACTTGGTATGACTATTGTATGAATCTAGATGGTTGTTCCTCATTGTTTGAACCTCATAGGAGGTCTTCATTTATGTAGATGGACGTTTATCTAAATTGTAATCCAATGTTTAAACAAACTATGAATTTATGCATGGTTTATTCATTCTAATCAATATTTTATTTTCAAACTTTTCATTAACGCGCATTACATACCACTTATATTTCATCATATGTATATCTTATTATTAGTAAATTTTGAGTTTTATTTGTTCAATACATTCATTGATAATGCACATAACATTTATGAAAGTTTTACACCAAAATTATTTGTTTCAATGCCTATATCTGTCATTTTTGTTGATTTTTTCCTGATACCTAAAACGATAACGATATATCCCCCGAAATATCCATAAATTGGAGGCCCGATATTATCTGCACGGCCGATGTTTTAATCCTTGATTGTAGACAAACTACAATTTAGAGGACCTCGACGACGAGTCGTTGGCGTACATCAATAGACTCGGTGCTGAGAAGTACAAGCAGTGGAAGAGCGACTTGCACCACCATTTTCAGGCATTTGATGATCTGCAGGGCGTGGCTCTGCGCTCATTTTCAGGCGCCCGATTATGTGGTATTTTTTTAATATTAAGTTCAAAATTATTACATGTTTCTTACTAATGTTTATTTAATTTTTTATATTTAATTTCAATTTCAACTAATACGTTTATTTTTTGTACAACATAATACGGCCAAACTAAATAAGGGAAATAGGAACAAGAAGACTCTTCTCCACCATTCAAGTTCCAGGCCTTTCTCATTTAGGATGGACGCACAGTGGCGGGTAATAATAAAATAGTTTATATTCAATTTTTAATATGTCATTAATATTAATTTGTTTTTTTCATACTAACATTTTTATTCTCTTGTTCAATTCAAGGGGGGTCCAAATTCCCAGAGATCGACGTCTTTGGCGACATTTATGTTCGACCTGGGAATGAGTTGGGCGAGTCCCTTCATGTAAGTATTCTTTAATTTTAATTATTATCTTACGCATTCAAGTTTCAGGGTTATTATATGAATGTTTTAATTAATATTTTATATTATGTTAAACAAACGACGATGGTGGAGAGGAGCCAGTTGGTTCTTCAGGAGTCCGCCTCCCAACTTCCTCCCGATACTCCGCTCGAGTCTATGGATCCTCCACAAGATGCTGGGTTCCAGATCTTGACGGAGACGTTGGATCAGACTCTCGGGAGGAGGTTGGGGACATATTGTAAAGGGATGGGAAATGGCCGGCGGAGGGAACCTAGGTCCCGTTCATCGTCGCAATCAAATAGTCAGGTGACTGCTTTGACAGCAAAGGTGGCCGAGCTTCAGGGTCAGATGTCTGTGCTTCTAGAGTCCCTCACTCGGTTCGGCATTCCAGTCTCGCATTTTGATCCCTCGTCAACCTCCAAGCTCGTCCAACCCGAGCATGGCCACCAGACCTTTGCCCTTGTAGACAATGTCCAGACCTCCGAGCCGCATTTGCCAGACGACCAAGTAGATTTTGGAACTTTGTTTGATTAGTTTTTTACTTTCATAATTATATTTTAAACATTTCTCTTGTACTATACATTTATATTGTTGTATAAAAAAAAATTTCTCTTCATTACATTTTTTTATTGCAATTTCATTTTATTACCCAAAAAAAAACAAATTTTTTTTTTACAAAATTAAAAAAAAACGTAAAATTAAATTTAAATAACATATATTTTATTTTTGCGCGACCAAACTCTTTTCGTCGCTCATATTCACTTTTTACAAAATAAAAAAACGTAAAACAAAATTTTAAATAAATATATTTTATTTTTGCACGACGAAGCCTTCGTTTCGCGAAAAAGAAATGCGTGACAAATATAATCCATCGCGTTGTGTACTTGCAACGAACATGCTTTTGTCGCGCAAAGATTTGCGAGACGAACAATTGGGTCGTCCCTAAACCTTTTGTGGAACGAAGGTTAATTGCCGCTCAGATTTGTGCGACCAATGAAAAAACTTGGTCACGCACAGTCTTTCTTCACGATCTTTGCGCGAAGGATTCTGTGTGACGAATTTTCTGTCGTGCTGAAATTTGTGCGACTAAAATGAACTTTGTGCGACGAAATTCTCTTCGTCCCGCAAATGGTAAAATGTAGTAGTGTTAGTTAAATTTAATTTAGGTATTCGAATATTAGATTAATTTGGAGTCCTCGTGGGAACGATACTCAGACTTGTCAAACGCTATACTACATTATTCTTGTGCACTTGCAAGGACAGACCAAGTTATTACAGGGAAGGGTGTGATGTGTTGCACTATGGCTCACATTTACAATGCAATCCAAGGACAAGTCCAAACCGCCCTTCATTTTTCTGATTGATCTTTTCTTCGAATTCTTCTCGGAGTGGCTATGCCTGCCCTATGGAGAAGAGGTTCCTAGCTGCGATTAGCACCAACATCAAAACCTGCTGAAAACCTAGGCCACAAGGCTGGCCCTGCAAAGAATTCAATCAGGTTCGAGATTTTTTTAATCAGATCTAGTAATACAATATCATCATATCTATCTACTCTACCAAACAAAGAAAAAAAAATAAAAAATAGAAATGAACCAAACCCTAAAAGAACAGATTGAAGAAAGGTATACAAGTGACGAAATGATGAGAGGGCCGTTTAGGTTAAACATACCTGATTCTGGTGAATCGCCAATTCGATTAATGCTTGAGAACGTCAGGTTCTTTATTAGCATCGTCTTCATCTTCATCTAGGGTTTCTGGAGCTACTCTACACATCCCAATTACCATCTCCTTAATCAATAGAAGCTAAAATCCCTAATGAATCCCCAAACAAAGTGTAAAAGTTTTTTTATTGTGCAAAACCACCTCGGGGTTGGATCAATTTATAGAGAGGATAGAGGGTTCCAGAAGGCCAGCCAGAAGAGTTTGTGTTTGCTCCAGGCTATCACCCCTGTACATTAATTTATTTTCTTAGTAGTCCAGTTGGAGATCCTCTCAAAAAATTAATCTGCAGAAATATTGATTACTATTTTTGGTACAAAAGGAGGAATTGTTGAATATATTTGTTTGAGGAGTTTTATTAGGAGTGAAAGTGATTCCAGACCCTCCCAAGAAATCAAAATCAAAATCAAAATTCAGCATTATTGGATAGGAAAGGAATCAAAATTATAATAATGAATTTTAAAACTAGTGTTTATCTATGTTTACACCATATTGATCAACCAATCAGAAGACAACAGGTGAAAAAAAGGACCCATGAGGATGACCCGATAAAATTAACCAGCAATTAATTGCACCCACAAAGCACCATCAGTAGGGGAGAGCCCTTGGCACCCAAGATTGCCGATCGTGGCAAAAGACTCGTTTCGTCAGGTATTTCTCACAGGTACACGTGGCACCTTCTCAGACAATATGCAAAGTCTCACATCGAAATTCCACACAAGATGCACACCTCCCAAAGTCTATAAAAAGGGGCATAAGTCCCAAAAAGGAGGTAACTGCTACATTCAGCAATTCTATCATTACTCTATTCATATAACTAGTCACTCCGTACTTATTCTAATCTAAGTATCGGTGAGCCTTCGGCTAGTACCACACCGGTGCCAAAAGGCTTACTGAGCGTTCTTTGTCTTGCAGATCAACCGCTCTGCCGAAGATCACGCAGGGCCGAAGGTGATATCATCACTAAGTTGGATCCAAAAGTGTTCGACCATTTTTGAGCATCAACAATATGCAATTGGGGACTGATGTTAGAAGATGCCATTTCAAATATCAGACCCTCCCAAGACACCACGGCTTGGAAGAATTCAATATAGCGGGTGTCTTGGAAGAATTCAATACGGCTTGGCTGATAATGTATTTGTTTATTTGAAAATATTGAAGGACTGACTGCCAAAATTGTACCCAATAAGCAATAGCAACCCAAATAGAATATTTATTTCAAAATTGTAGCTGCACAGTCTCTATTGTTTAGTGGTGACAATTAATTGTCTCAAAAATCAACTTAGGAGACAAATCAAAATCAGTATCTAGTGTGAGTTCTCAAAAATCAAGACGCATCTTGAATCTTGTACGAGTCTCCAAAGTTTTAAATTGGAAACAAATTTATATTCCTTCCCTCTTATACTAATCTAATATAATGCTCTATTCTAGAACCGAAGTTGGTCGCATTTTATTTGTTTGATCTTAGTTAGTACTTCTCTTTTGATTAGTACGACTTCTCATTTTATTGTGAAGTTGTTATTGATGTGAACACTTGTTAACAAGTGAATTTGTACCTAACAGATTAAGACATAATCACGCACATAACACAAGCGTTTGAGTGGTTCACCCATAATGGGGCTACATACACTATAGTTTATAGCTTTGTATTTGTATTTGAATATGGAGATTACATTGTACATGAGAGAGATATGGGGAGAGAGGCTTAAGAGCTCTTGTAGAAGAGAAATAAAGGGCTTGGGAGAGCCCTTGGAGAAGTGGCAGCTGCTGGTCCCTTTCCTGGAGGTGGTGAGCTCCCTTTTGTAGTCCAAGTAGTGATAGAGAATGCATGACTCTCTTTGATTTGGGGATTCTACTTAGCCTCCCCCTGATTTGGGCTGTGGGCATTGAGAAGGCATATGAGGGGGTATGGGTAGCTACTCCTTGTTTGGTGGGGTGTGAGGTATGACAAGCAAGAGTTATCCCTTAATTGGTGGAATTTGCTTAAGGTGAGGTCAACATGGTGTCAACAACACTTTTGGATCCGCATAAGAAAAGTTAGTGAAAAAAATATTTAAAGTAGATGGATGTATGCATTCTCATGTATTTTTTGGTCTTATTATGCGCATGCACAGGGGCGGACACACAGAGGGACAAATGGGATCAGGCGACCTTATGGTAGCTGGGAAAAGTAGTGGTGAAGCTTTGGTGCGACCCTATGGTGCGCTGGTGTGCAACCCCAAGGCACACACCAAATGCTCGACGAAGTGCCCAACAGAGGAGGAAGAAGCCTGCACACAATGTGCACAGGAGCAATTTTTTTTAATTTTTTTTTAAAAACTGCTTGGCCAAAACGAAGTTGTTTTGGTCTAGGCGTGTTAAATTATTATTTTTAAACATGACTTCAAAACGACATCATTTGAAGCCATGTTTAAAAAAATTTGAAAACAAAAACTAAAAAACTCCAACAGCAGCTTATCTTCCCCTCCCGATTCCATCAGCCCTTCATTGCCAAAATACCCAATTTTTTTTCAAAATTCCCTCTCCTCTCAAAACCCTAACTAATCCCCAACCTCCACCACACCACCACCAACCAATACAAGCCGCCTCCACCACTGACAACCTCTTGTTGCCGCTACCATCGCTTCTCATAAAGTCAAGTCAGTGATAATTTTACATATATTATTTTGGGCTTTGGATAATTTTAATGAAATTGATATATCTTTCATGAATTATAATTTATTGGTATGGTGAAATTGATTGATTTTCTTATTTGGATTAGACTTTATATTAATAGATTGATTTTCTTTATGAATTAGAATTTTTGATATTTTGATATTGAATGATTTTTTTTATTTAGATAATTGTATTAGAGTTTATATTGATTGATATTATTATTTGGATTAGATTATAGTAGTCTTTATAATTGATTGAATGAATTAATTATGTGTAGAATAAAATTATCATGGAACGATACTTTAAGAGAAAAGTTCCTATGGATGGTGAGTCTAATCCGGGTAGTTTAAGTGCAAGAGCAAGACCTATTGAATTAGATGAAATATTGGCTAATCTTCAGGTAGACCCTGGACTAAGAACTCAAATGATGGATTATAATCATTGAGATGAGATCCGAAGAGCATATCTTCAAACAAGACCTTGTCAACCTAAAGGTCATAGATTCCCACAAACTAATTAGTCCGAAATTAATAGACGGTTCATTGCCCAAAGGTTTGAGTTTGAGTGGTTGGAGTATAGTATAGTTAAAGATGCTTTACTCATCAACTTCAACTAGCTCTTGTTGCCGTGACAAAGAAAAATATTGATGTTGCTTCTTTTTTCACAACGGCTAATTGTTTGGTTAATGTTGTGGGAGCATCTTGTAAGCGTCGTGATGCACTTAGAGCACAATACCAAGAAAAGCTTGTAAAAGCTTTTGATGAAGGTTGTCTTATAACGAGGCGAGACTTGAATCAAGTTACTACTCTCAAACGTGCGGGTGATACACGATGGAACTCACATTACGCTATCTTGATTTGATTCATTTCTATGTTTCCATTTGTGGTGAGTGTGCTTCAAATGATTGTTGATGATACTCCAATGATAGTTCGAGTGAAGCATTTAAGTTAAGGAGAGAAATATAATCTTTTAAGTTTTGTGTTTCATATGTTTTTTATGAAAGCTATATTGGGAATAACAAATATTTTGTTTCAAGCATTACAAAAGAAGGATCAAGACATTGTGAATGCAACGGGTTTAGTTCAAACATGCAAGAAAAACCTACAATTGATGAGGAATAATGAGTTTGATGAATTGGTTGATCAAGCATCTTCGTTTTGTTACGAACATCAAATTACAGTTCCTAACATGGATGAGGAGTATGTAATTCCTCGGAGGTCACAATGTAATGCTCCAATGAAAACAAACAATCATCATTACCGTCTGGAGCTCTTTCTTCATGTCATTGATGGGCAACTTACAGAATTAAATGATCATTTCAATTAGGTAAATACTGAGTTGCTTACTTGTCTGGCATGCTTGAGTCCGAAGAATTCATTTGTAGCTTTTGGCAAACAAAAGCTAGTTCATCTTGCTCAATTTAATCCTCTAGATTTTTCGGATAGATCTTTATGGGTGCTTGAATATCAACTTGGGGTTTATGTTCATCATATGAGTTCGAGTAGTGATTTTTCTGAATTGTAAGGGATTGACATGCTTGAGGAAAAAATGGTGGAGAAAGAGATGCATAAAATATTCCTTATGTGTATTTGCTTATTACATTGGCTTTAGTTTTACTAGTTGCAACTACTTCAGTAGAGAGGGCATTTTTCGCCATGAATATTATCAAAAATCCACTTTGCAACAAAATGGGAGATCATTAGTTGAATGATAGCTTGGTTGTTTACATTGAGAGAGATGCTTTTCCTTGTATTGATAATGAAGCTATAATGCAACGTTTTCAAAATATGAAAACTTGTCATGGATAATTGTAGCTTGTATTGTTAGTTTTGCCATAAATTATAAATGGAAGTACTATTTTTATGTTTTTTAGTGTTATTTTCTACTCGACAATGGTGATGATTTGGATAATCCTGTATACGTACCAGATAAAATAACTCAAGTCACTGAAAAATCTTGTGGGAAGGGGAAAAGAGAACAAATCAACAACTTGATACACAAGTTAAGAAAGAGAAGAATGGAAATAGAGTTACTACAAAAGTGGGGAAGGTAGAAGGTGCTGCTAAATTCACTACAAGAAATCATGGATTCGGCAACAAAACATTAGACAATGACTAAAATCTCCTTGCCTATAACAACAATAGGCAACAACTTTTGAAAGTCCTTGTGTAGTCTGACATCTGTGAACGCGGAAAACCTAGATCATGGCTTATTAATTTCATTTTGTTGCCAATTTCATGGAGGGGGAAATTTGCCGCCATAATGAAAATGTAATTGGCAACGACTACATGTGTGCTTGCATATAGCTATGGGCAATAATTGTTTATTGTTGCTTAAATTATAAGGAGAGGACATGAAGAGAAAGAGCAACAACGTGTCACATACATAAGGCAAGGAATTGGTTTCCTTGTGTTTTAATAAAACCAAGGAATCTAATTAAAATAAGTAACAATTGGTATTGTTGCCTATTCATTTTTACACACAAAACCTAAAAAGAAAAAAAAAGAGATATTTTCAAGGCACTCAACTCTATCTCAAAATTCTAAAATCTCTTTTTGACTCAGACCTTCTATGCTTATCACAGCTCCTCCTTCATCTCCTTTCTAACCCCTTTAACCCTCTTACTTTCTCTCAATCATAGAAGAAAAACCAAAGGCCACCCCACCCACACAAGCTAGCTGGAAGATATGGTCTTGATTTATTAGTTTTTGTTTAATTTTTAATTTTTAATTTCTTTTCTAATCCCAACTTCTCATCCTCTCTTGTAGCACAAAGAGACACAAATACCCACTCATTCTTTGTTTTTCCAGCACCATGGCCATCACCTAGAATTGGTAATCCCAACCACACCATTAAATCGTTGTCTCTCTCATTTGGATAAAAAAAGCTTTTCTTTCTTTTTTTTTTTTTTTTTTTTTTTTTCACTTTTTTTTTTTTTTTTGGTTTCAATTTTTTTTTTCTTTTTCTTTTTGTCTTTGTTTCTTTATAGGTCATTCAAAATTTTTTGTTGGATAAGGTATTTAATCTGCAAATTTTCCTACTTCTTTGGGTAAAAACCTTTCTTTTTCTCTAGTTTCATTCTGTTTTTTAGAGTTTCATTTCCCTTTTTTTTGGTCTCTTCTTCTTTTCAGGTTCTTCAAAGAATTTGTTGGATAAGGTATATTTGTCATTGCACTAATATGTGATTAACTTATTTACAAATATTGTGGGTTTGCCCCTTGTTTATAAGGCTTTACTAAATAATTTGTCTGCATAACTTGTTCAGCTTTTGTTTTAGTTTTAATATAACTAATTGGTTGATTTTTATAAACTTTTATCATTAATATGATTGAGAAGCCTTGTTCTTTTTATACGTTCATGTCTTTCTGGAAGCATTGGTCTGCTAAAACATATAATTTGTTGGGTTTCACTATAAATTCTTCATTTGTTGAGGTTGGGCATTTGGTATTGTTTATTTGTTGTGTCTAGTTTAGGATTTTTCAAAAAACTTGATTTCATTGGTTGAATTTTGTGTTTATCAAAATCTGGAACCACATGCTATCTTATGTGGTTGGAAGTTTTAAAACTGATGAGGCTTTATTAATTTGTTGGTTGCATATAACTTGTTCATTTCATTTTGGTTAAAAAGAAATTTTTTGTGATATTATATCATGGTTATGTATATATATATATTGTCTATTTAGAGAATGTCTTATTTTTTCTGAAATTGAAAGCACAATGTTAGAGTTGCTCACCACCGGCCATAAAAGAGAAGAACTCATTTGGCTTGAGGAGCCCAATATGGATAGACAGTGGATTCATAATTGCAATCGACATACTGAGGAGTATTCAAATGGGGTTATGGAATGGTCGACCCCTCTCTCATTGGAATTGGCTTTGCGAATTGTTTAAGGATCCAGATTATCAGGTACACATTTGTATTTGTTTGTGTTTCATTGATTGGTTATATTATATAATGAATTATTGTCATTCATGTTTAATTTGGTATAATTTTTAAATGTAGGAAATTTGTATGGCTAATGCAAACAATTGCAAACAACAAAAATATAGCCATAGAAGAGGTGCACAACTATTTGTACAACATGTGCAAGCAAAAGCAAAAGTATGTATTTGACTACAAGTTAAACTGTTAATTTAAATTCTGTTTAATACAATGAATTTATATGATGGAAGTTAAAAATTGGGTTGTTTTTTTGATGCCTATTCATTTGTTCTTTCAATTTACGAAGAATGGAAAGCTCCCATCTTTCATTGAGAATTGGGGAGATCTACACCTAGACAAGAATCAACAATGGATCAGTGAGGCTGCCCAGGAGAAACATGTAAGTTAACAATGAGTAAATTTGATGTAATGATTGTTTTGTTATGTTATTCAAAAAGAGAATGAAAAATTGATATGGTAAAAAGAACTGTTTATTTATATGGTTCTCCTGGTTGGTATTTTAGTTGGATAGGGTGTCTAGAGTAGATTGGGTGCCCTTTCTCTTGTTTTTTCCATTTGTTTTCCATGTATGACTTGCATAATCCAATTACATATTGCAAATGTTGACGCATGGAAAATATGAATACCATTTCAAGTTATTATAATTCAGATTGAATCCTAGCTAATATGTATCAGATTTAATGTGGAAGTAACTTGGTTACTTTATGGTTTTAATTTACAAGAAAAAATGAAGCAGAAATGAGATGACCTTAAGGCAAGGCTAGCTGATAAGGCTCCTAAGGGCACTCCATTTGATTCCATTGAGGTGCCATTGGAATCAGAGTTCCAGATCATACCTTGGCAGGAAGGGTAGGACCATTCGTGGCCTTGGTTCATTTCCTCGAATGCAGAAATCCACATCAAATTGTGCTTTTTGTTCTGAGCCTTCTATGGATCAATGGACTGAGATGCAAACTCAGTTCAGCCAAATAGTGGGTAGAGTTTCTGCTCTTCAAAAAGAGAATGAAAAAATGAGGGCTGAACTGGAGGCTATCAAGGGATCTCATGGGCAAAGTAGTGGTGAATCATTGCAGCAGCAACACCAAATTCGCTGCCCATCAAGTGATGATGCATATGACCATTTATCACCTATAAACAGTGATGAATATAGAGCATGATGCTGCAAAGTCATCCGTATGAACAATTATAGGATATTTTGCTGAATCTGTAACCGCTTGATAAAAAATGCATTTTGTTGAACACTTAAGATTATTGTCTTATTTGGTAAACAGCCTTAGGTATTAGGCAGCAATAGATGGTGTTCAACTATTTTTATGACTACTTGTAAAAAGTTTTGAACACTTAGGCATGCAAACATTGCATATTTTGTATATTTTGAAGTGATGGAACAAGGTTCAAGACTTTATGAATATAAATATTGACTTTGGTGTGAAGTGCTTCATTATGTATATATCAATTCATATTTTATATAACTAGAAAAAGAATAAATTATTTAAAAACTTAAAAAGAAAATTTAAATATATGGAATAGGCAACAACTTCAACTTGCAATAGGCAACGCCAAGTCCTTCCTATAATAATAAGCAACGAGTTACGTGTGGTTTCTTTCCGTGATATGCAATGACATGAAAGTTGTTGGAGACGAGAATAGGCAACAACATCACGGTCGTTCTCTAAGACAGACGCCAACACGTAACTTTATCGTTGCATTAGTACTCGAGCAACACCTCATGTATTTCGTTGCGTATTCCATTAGGACACGAGTATAATGCAACGATCGTCGCAATGACAATTTTTCGTTGCCTATATGTTCAACCAACAAATTTGACGTTTGACAACGACATCCAATTGTTGCAAAATGGGTGTTTTTTTGTAGTGATTATCAGAACAAATTGAGCGGATCGTTGATGTAATGGAGAATAGGAGTACAACTTCAGTGATGATGAAAGGGTCACAAGGCAGCAGCATTGCTGAAGTGATGAAAGCAGTTTCGTCTTTACCTGATGCAGGGCCTGGGAGCCATTTGTGGTTGTTTGCAACTCGGTTATTTCTAAATCAATAGAAAAGAGAAATGTTCACAACTATGGAAGATCCTAATGTCAAGCTTCAATGGCTTAACTATGAGCTTTCTGAAAAATAAGCTAGCTGTAATTTCATTATGATCAATGATATATTGTGTGGCAAACAATATGGTCTAAAATTTCTTAGAACTTTGTTTTGCTACTTGGATTTATTTTTTAGGTTTCTTATTTGGGTTTTCTATTTGGATGGTTAGTTTATATACGACTGCTATATATTAATGATTTTATAATGAGTTGTTACTTGGATAACTTTAATTGGTTGTTTTGACTAAAAATTCATATGACTTTTGTTTTATATCAACGCATATGTGGATTTCAGTTTATTATGATGATGTGAATCTCTATAACACTGCAGGTTTATTTCAAGATATGGAAATTTCAAAAGATGAAAGGGAATTCAACCAAATTGTATGTGTTTGTATTTGTACTATGGAATATTATTATGAGAAGTATATTCTTAAAAGTCCTTGCATGGATTCTTTCCAAACAGGAAATAAGTGGGTGATGGAAATGTTACAGGGGAATGAAAAACGTTGTTATAGAATGTTTAGAATGGATAAAAGTGTATTTTTGCATTATGCACTAACTTGGAAAATAATTATGGGTTGAGAGGTTCTAGGAGAATGTGCGCTATTGAGATGTTGGGAATGTTTGTATGCCTTATGGCTGTTGATGTTATAAAACCGTTGGATCCTCAGTTTAATGGAGTCCCGAAAGAGATATTGAGAGATTCAAGATATATGTCCCATTTTAAGGTAAAAATTAGATGCAACAATTTATCGTTTATTTTATGAACAAAGTAATATTTATTGAAATGTTTCTCTTATTGTTTGCAAGATTGCATTGGTGCTATAGATGCGTAAATGTTCAAGCATCAATACTACCTGAAGATCAAGTACCATATATTGGCAGGAAAGGAATACTGACTCAAAACATAATGGTTGCATGTAATTTTGACATGCAATTCATATTTTCATGTGCAGGTTGGGAAGACACTGCACACGATACAAGAGTATATTTATCAATGTTATGAAACAATGCTTTAAATTTTCTCAAACCTCCAAATGGTAATGTTTCAAATATGTGCATATCATTAAACTTATAATTTTTTCACTTTCAAATTATATTACAATTAAACATATCTTATTGGTTATAGGAAAATATTATCATGTGGATGTGGGTTACCCACAAATGAGCGGGTATTTAGGACCACGTAAAGGTGAAAGGTATCATCTTCCAGATTTCCGTAGGGGTACTCAAACAACATGTTCCAGATTTCTATAGGGGGACCATGTCATTGAACGCAATTTTGGTGTATCAAAGAAAAAGTGGAGTATTTTATGAGACATGCCTAGCTATCCATTCCATAAGCAAGTGAAGATAGTAATTGCAACTATGGCACTTCACAACAACTAAGGAGGCATGCCGAGCGTGATATTAATTTTGACAAAGTAAATGACAACCCAAATGCAATGGAGATGGAGGGTGATGCAGAAGGAGAATATCATATTACTCAAGGGCCTGGAGCACAAGAAGTAGAAACATTAAGGAACAAGATTGCAACAAGGTAAATGCACGCATCTTCATAGACAATTTCTTTATTTCCATTTTTTATTGCTACAATTTAAACCTTATTAGGACGATGGATTTGTTAAAAAGTTATTTATTACTTATTCAATTTGAAGGATGGTTTATTAACCTACTACCGTGGTGATCTCTTTTTCTTTGTTGGAAGATTTATTCAATACCTAATTATTTTTGCTATTCCCAGACCTTGAGAGTTCAAATTTGTGTATACCCAAAGTTTTTCTAGTAGAGTATAAAGTGATTGTGTATATTGTCATTTAAGCCTAAACAAAAGTAGGCTATATTTGGACCTAAAAATAAATGATATATTTTGTTGAAAAATTGAATTTTTATTTTTCTTTAAGCAAAGATTAATATAATTTTTAGGGAGAAAAGTATAACAACACTTTCAAGGTTTATAAAACAGATTAGTAAAAAAACACTTTAGCATCATGTCTGTTTTAGTCATTATAAACAATTACAGCACTTTTACAGTAAAATTACCAAACACTTTGACATTGCTTTTCATGCTCACAACACTTTTAAATTACAATTTACCAAACGTTAACTGCTTTACTTTACAACTGATTCTTTTTAAAGCACAGCATAAATAGTTTTTTTTATATATAAAAGCAGCAGAAATACCAAACTGGGCCTAAGACCCCATGAGCTCACAATCCTGTTGTCACAACACGATTCAAAAATAAGAAATATTCCCGAATCAGGGTGTGAGTCATACCATAGTGATAAGAATAAAATACTAAAACCATGATATGATGAGAAAAAGAGCCACAAATAAATACAAATTTACCTAACAACACAGAATCAGAGTCGCAGTAGCTCATAGTTAATTACATACTAAGATCTTTATTAAACCGTTGACTACTTACAAATGTTAATTACACAAATCAACAACAAAAGCATAGTAGCTTGGTTGAAACCCGCTCCCTCAACTTCGCCTTTAATCCCGCACAATCTATTAGGGTATGAGCATTCTAATGTCCAGTAGAGTACCGTCAAACCCCTCAAGGTCAACTATCACAGTTAATCAAAGTGTCATGCATCAAACAACACAAGATATATAAGTTATGCAATCAGACCAAATAAATAAATTTGCATATGTAGTGATGCCATGAACTCACTCCTTTCTAATTCCACTAATTCATCCCTTAGGGCAACAAGCCTGCATGTCCCATACCATGCGTTTTACCACTGTGACTCAAAATACCCTAAAATATGAACTAGCGCCCATCCGTCCCTTAACCCAGTTTTCTTTTGTTACAAATTTATCAACTTTCACTTTTCATTAGAGGCCCTGCTCCTATCACCTCTATATATTCAAGCCCTACTCCCATCACCTGAATATATTCCATATTTTTATTTACTCAGATATATCTAAGGCCTTCTCCCACCCCTTAGATATACGTCAAACGACACACACACACCCTTAACATCATTGTATTTATGATGCATATGTAATGCAGCGCAAACATCATTTATCTCTGTTGAATAATAATACAATAATAATAATAATATATATCAGGCTTAATCACATGAATAATAATATTCATCCAACATTAAAAATAATATCCATGGAGAAACATCAATAATAATATTCACCAAGCAAAGCAACAATAAAATTCATATTTATAGTATTATATATAAGCATCAAGATTAAAAGTGACATTAGCCCAATCATCGGGAAATCAGGAAACCCTACCTCATGTCTAGCTAGCTAAATTACCAAATTTACCCTTCGGAGATTCTCGAAGTTGTCAAATCTACACTTTTGATCCAATTCCTGAACAAATTCAAATTCAAATTATTGTTGAGCAATCTTCACTTTATTTAACCTAAGTCCAACCTCAACTTTATGCATTTCAAAGATTTTGCGTAAAAATGACGAAAATGCCCTTAGGACCAGCCCGGGGTCCAAAGTGGCCAAATCTCATCCAAAATAATCTAAAACTCTGTCCTATGCCCTGTCAACACCGAAACAAGGCCAACTACATCTGTTATCCAAAAGTTACCATTTGGGTCTCATGGGCCTCACAACAACCAATACTGTTCAAGACCTCGGATTGACTCAAAACATATACCATCGGACTCGGATCGATAAATCGAGTCAATTGGACTAAAATATGGCGTTAGAGGCTACTAGAACAGCCGCTATGCGCCGCCACTCGCCGGAGCTGTGAATGGCTTGTTTCCGGTTACTGTTCATCGTCTTCCCCAAAAAAAAATCCTGCAACTTCCCCTGTTTTTCAGTTTAAATGTCAGATTTTGTGAGACATTTTGACCAACCTAAAGTTAACAAAATCGGGAAAATTTGCAGTGGATTTGAAGTTTATTCTCTCTAGTTTCTAACCCAACAGACCACACTCAAAACGGAGCTAAAACGAAGGAGAAAACTAGCTCCAAAGTTGGACTCGTTGCTGGTTTTTGTGCAGAAAACAGATTGTTTTCCAAATTTTGCACATGTGTTTGACATAACCAAACTCAACCGAATTC